GTGGCAGAATTGGAGGACTCTGCCTTTAGCAACCGGGGCATCCAACAGCAGTGTCCGCCGCAACCTCTCGCTACATATGTACGATGCCGTACGTACCTATCTTTCAGCGTCCATGTCCCCTTGCTGTCAATCCTCATGTCCGACCAGCCGTGTCCGAAGCCCCAGAGCCTGCATGTACGATGAGCAAGTGATGCATGTTTGATTGGTGTGGATCAGTCAGCAGCACGGTAGCTGGGAGGAGGGCTGACATATCATGGTTGGGAACTTGAGATGAACGCATGAGCTAGATGCGGAGGAAAGGTGATCTGGGTCGGACTGCACAAGCTTTAAACGGCCGATATGGGTCGGGTTGACCGTGCCATTGTCAAGCATGGTTACTGTCAACTACTGCTGGGTCAGGAGGCGCCACGGACCTAATCCTTGACTGCGCACTATGAAACCTGAAAGCTTTACCAACCACAGCTCTTCTGCAGCAACCAACGTAGGAACCAACCAACCCGGTCTACCGCACCTGATGACCCTCAGTCCGTTGGCTGCGTGGTCGTGGATGACTCCCTCGACCTCCGTGTCTGTCAGCTGACCATCGCTCGCGGGACCCAGCCAGTAGTGGTTGGTGCCTGAAAGCAACGGAAGGATGTAGCAGAGTCAACGTTTGGTCGGCTAATAAGAAGAGTGTGAAACCGTCGAGAAGAGGGTAAGATACCGTACTGCAGGAGATAGGTTACGAGCTCGCTAACAAACGAGCGCCCGCCGAGCGCCCGCTGAGCGCATCTGGCGACAAGCGCTGAGTAAGATGGCTGGCTATCGGCCTTTGCTAGCTTCTGGTCCCAGCCTTGCCCCATTCTAAAAGCTATCAGTTCGTAGTACTTCCCCGCACGCCCCACCTTGGAAGTAGAAGGACTTGTCTCCGTCTAGGAACTTGGTCCCGTAAGCACGAATAAAGTTTAGTTTGTTACTGCTGCTAGGGTTGCTACTACTGCCACCATAAGCACCAGCCACAGCAATACAGAGATGGCTTGCCGCAAGTCCGGCCAGGAAGACCAGCAACAGCTGTCGGAGCTGCGCAGACAGGAACCGAAAGCGGACCGTGCCGGCCGCACGCTGGCGGGTTGACATCGGGCTTAAACAACTTGTTCAAAACGCTGGTCTAAGCTAGAAGCAATACATAAGTTGTGTGATCACGAGGAGTAACACCCCTGCCCTACCTAAACCAGAGCTATCCTAACATACTATTATAAATAAAATACTGCGAAGCGGGTCACGAGAATTCTATATATCTTGGCTGTAAGTGTCTCCTCCCCGAGGAGTTCAATAAGTAGTCTGGGTTCCGTACGGCAGAAGCAGAGTGCTGACCAGGATGGGCACCAGTAGACCTAGCTTTCCACAGCCTTCAAGAAATTGTAGATGGTCAGTAGCAGGTTATGGTTTCTGCAGTCTACCGGCTGAAATGTGGCAAAAATGCGACCCGTACCTCCCTCACCCTTCGCACTTTATGCTGGCTACGCTTTAGGAAAGCCAACGACACCAAATCCGTATAGCTCGTTAGCAGATCCCGGTGGTGATCGTGAAGGGCTGCGACCGCAACCCCTCGGGCATCAATTTGGCGGAACCCAAATCGCTGCTGCTGCTGCAGTTGCTGCTGCAAGGGCTGCGCCCATCAGCTCTTCAGTACCACCAGAAAGCACAAGGCCACAAGAAAGGCAACGCACCCTCCATACAGCGGCTGTTCAGCCCGAAATGGAGCCACCTGGTGACGACCCTGCCGCGAATTCGCCCGCCGGACCGGAATTCGCTCCTGCTGCTGTGCGCGTGACCCAGATGACCCATGGGTCACCTGGAGTCTTTCAGGCCTCGGGCTATCGCCGGGTCCCACCGGATCCGACGTGGAGCCCCACGGGGCCTGCGGGACAGAGCTACGTACCAACGCGTGGACCGGGTCTCGAGTTATACGGATCGTACGGCGAAGAGTACGAAGAGATCTACGAGGAGGAGGAGTACGGCACGTCAGAGCGGCTGGTTACGGGCTACTACGCGCCGGTGGCAATCCACATGCGTGGTAAGACCGTTGAACGTTGGCGGCAATGGTGTTTTGCAGGAGAGGTCACCGTTCTTTTAGATGGCTTGCGAACTTAGGGGTTACACGCGATGTGGGTCGGAGGCGGGAGGGCACTCTGCGGCAGTGAGACATACGGCTAGTCCATTAGTTAGCTGGGCGTGCGACTCAGACCATGTAAACGGACCCACCCCAGCAGCAACTGGCATGCTGGTTTCTGGGCGATGTGGGTCGGTAGCTGGGAGGCTGCTGGGCCACGAGATAGAAGTGGCACATGGCTGGCCAACGAGATGACAGCGCGACGACCCAGATCATCCACATGTGTTGCCTCCGTCCTGCCCCCTAGCCCCCTGCCCCCTAGCCCCCTGCACGCTCTTGCTACCATTATATGCCCTGTATTTATCCTCCTTCTCGTCCTCTAGCCGCCTGCCCCCATTCCCCCTGCATCTATCTCGACAAACCCAACAAGCGACAACCCAACAAGAAGCAACCCTACAACCCAACAACCCGACAACCCCACAACTCCACAACCCAACAACCCGATAACCCCACAACATCCCACCGCAGGCTCCCCCGCGACAGCAGCCTTTCGACAGCCAGTCAGTCCCGCCTCCGCAGCCTCAGCCCCCCCGCATCTGGCCTCCTGGCGGCAGCACCCGCACACCCGCCTGCCCTGGGCCCCCTCGGCCTCCAGCTCAACTCCGCAGGTATGGTATGGCGGTGGTAGTGCTGACTGCGGGCGTTACAAGTGTGCGTCCCGTGGGTCACTTTGGAAGCCTTGGTTCTCACTTTACAGCGGTGGCCCATGTGTTAAGAAGACTGGCCGCGAGCCCATGTGTCTGTGTTACAGCTCCTAAGGGTAATCCTGTGATCTGGGTCGCACGCCAAACCTCCACATGCCCTTACAATACTCGTGTTCGCTACGTATCACCCGCTCGAGGCACATTCCGCGGGCGTCCCGTGGGTCACTTTGGGGCGGGTCAGCGTTGGCGGTAGTCCAACTGTTGTCCTGTTGCACTCTTGATCTGGGTCGCATGTCAAACCTTGCAAAAACGCTCAACACTCAACCCCTGGCTTCCCCTTCTCCGCCCGCTGGCCACATCAAACCCCACATGCTTCTGTCTGCAATGCGCCGCCCTACCGCACCTCCCACCCCACCATCCGCCTCACTCGCCCCGCCCAGCTCCGGAACCGCTTCCTTCGCAACGTCTTCGCCCTCAGCGCCGCCTCACTCGCCTTCGCCGCCGCCGCCGGGGCTGCCGTACTGGCGGCGCCGCCCGCCGCCGGCCGCCGGCTGCTGCTGTCGCGGCCCTGGGTGCTGCCGCTGGCGGGGGTGCTGTCGGTGGGGACGGTGCTGCTGCTGGCGCTGTCGGAGGGTGTACGGCGGCCGCACCCCAACAACCTACTGGCGTTTGCGGGTAGGGGGGGGGGTAAGGATGGGGGAGAGGGGAGTTGTGATGGGACGGGAGAGGATGGGAGAGACGGAAGAGGTGGATTAGGAGGGAGAGACACATAAGGAAGGCCTGACCAGGTGAGGGTGCTATTCCTGGCAATGGTATGATACGGTATTGCGCGGGGTAAAGGTGGATAAGGCAGATTTCCCCTTCCTCACCCCTTTCCGCCTCTCTCCTTCCCCCTTCCCCCTCCCGCAGCCTTCTCGGTAGGCCAGGCGCTCCTCCTCGCCGCCGCCACCGCCGCCACCGGCTGGTGTCCCCTCACGCAGGCCGCCGCCCTCGCAGCGCTGGCAGCAGCCGCCGTGGCGCTGCTAGCCCAGCTGCTAGGCCGGCGGATAGACCTGACGGCGCCGGCGGCCGTCGGCGTGTGCGCGGTTGCCGTACTGGTCGGCTGGGCCGCCGCCGCCGCGGTGGCGGCGGAGGTGGCGGCTCCGCCGCTGCCGCCGCTGGCTTCTATAGCGCACAACGAGCCGCTTGGCGGAGGATGCGGAGGAGGTGGTGGCGGCTGTCGGGGTTTTGCAGGTTTTCCGTGCGGTCTTGGCTGCGGCAATGTGGCTACAGATGCAACAGCACCGGCAGGGAAGGCATTGTCAACATCATCATCATCAGCGACAGCAGCGGTAGCAGCAGCAGAATCGTCATCGGCGTCGGCGTTAGCGGCATGTAGTTGGACGGGGTGGGGTACGGCAGGTGCTGCCGCCGCCGCACTTGCGTTCTCGGTGTACGAGGTATTGGACGTGCTAGCGCTGGTGTACGACAGGCATGCGTATGCCGTACATTTGGACGAGCATGTGTTTGCGGCGCTGAATGTGTACCTGGATCCGATCAATCTGGTGCTGTACGGATTGCATCGGGCGCAGCTGGCGATGATGGGAGTTGGGCGGAGGTAGGAGGGGTAAAAGGTAAGGGGCGGAGGTAAAAAAAGGAGGAAGGAACGCAACCATGTGATGCCGGTGTTCCACTGGGCGGGAGGTAGTAGGCGCGGGGAGTAGGCGGGGCTATCGCGCTGTTGCCTGGCCGAGTCTCCAACGGCTGAATTAAAAGCCGGGGGCATGATCTGAACATACGTCTAAAGGTGCTGAGCTGGGTTTGTTGTTGGCAATTGTTGCCGTTGCTGCTGGTATGCCGTACTGGTGAGTTGTTGTTGCATGGGACGTGGGGTGGCGGCGGTAGCGAGAGCGGTGAGGATGGTCGTGTCCGGAGGCACGTGGTGGGAGGGAAGCACATGTTGGATCGCAAGTTGTGCCCAGTCCGCGTAATATGGCTCCGGTGCGCATTGTTATCGGAGCGGAAAACCATGATACCCTAGGTTCATGGCGTCTTACAAGCAATTTACAATCCATTCTCATTGACCAACGACATAAGCTCTTCTCCTCCACCTAACGTCGTGCCACCCTACCTCTCCTCACCTCCTCACCTCCCCCCAATTCCCTCCCTCCCTCCCTCCCTCTCACCCCCTGCCCTGCTGCCCGCCGCTGCCCCCCCTGCGATACGCCCGCACGAACCGCCTCACACCATAACAGTCCTCCAGCACCTCCACCTCCTCGAACGCACCCTCTGCCGCATGACTGCCGCTGCAGCCACCAGCACCTCTCCCCCCCACCTCGGCCGCGTCGCCACCACTGCTGTCGCCGCTGCCCCTGCAGTCGCCGCTCCGACTGCTGTCGGCGTCATTAGCACCCTGCTCGGGTATGCGCGCCGCCCGCAGCAGATCCGCAACCAGGTCCGCCTGCTCGCCACCCGCCGTCTAGCCGGGGGAAGGGGGAAGGAGAAGGGGAAGGTGAATCAGAGGTGGTGGAAGGAGGAGATGAGGTGAGGAAGAATGGCGGCGGCAAGAGGGGAAACGTCAGACAGGGATTCAGCGTCGGGGTACCGGTAAGGCGCTATGTTACATGCGCTACCTGTCTCCCCGACCACCGGGTTACCCACCACGTCCCCACCACGTGTGGACTCCCCCGCCCCCCTCACCTCCAGTGCAATCAGCCCCCCGGGAGCTAGCATGGAGGCGGCTTCGGAGCACAGCGCCTGCGGGGGGAGGGGTGGGGGCGGGGTTGGGGTTTGGGGGGGGGCCCGGGAGCGGGAGCGAGAGGTGTAAAGGTAGGTATGTCCCGGGTGGGGTCGGGGGCGGGGGCGGCAGGTAGACAGGTAGACAGGCAAGCGTAAAAGCAAACATAACGACCAGCACACTAAAGCAGAAAACACAAAGCAACACAGAGCAACATAGCACAACAACCACCTCAGCAGCATTCTACCCTCCCCCCTGCTGTCCCCCACCTGCAAGCTGTCCAGCCCCGCTCCCTCTCCGCCGTCCAGCGCACCCCAGGGCTCGTGTCGCCCCACCTCCGCCTGCAGCCCAGCCAGCATCTGGCAGCGGGGGATGTACGGCGGGTTGCTGAGCACCCCGCCCAACCGCCCGCGCAGGTGGCGTAACGGCTCAAACCAACTGCCTTGTACGACACGGACGGGGTTGCTGTTGATGTTGTTGTTGGTGTTGCTTTGGCGAGTAGCATTGGTGTTGTTGTTGTTGCTGCTGCTGTGGCTGCTGTGGCTGCTTTCACTGCAGGTGGTGGTTTGGCTAACGGTGCTGTGCATGCTGCTTATGCGGGTGCCGGTGGTGGTGCGGTTGGGATGTGGGTCGGGTGCGCTGCCTGGGGAGGCGGAGGTGGAGGACGAGGACGAGGCTGATGGGGGTGCTGATGGGGGTGAGGATGGGGGTGTACCCGTCCCCAGCACCATGTCTGCATTGAAGCGCGCGTAGGCCGCTGCCACGGGGCTCACGTCCACCGCCCACACCTCAGCAGTCTGTGGAGAGGGAGGGTAAGGGGTAAGGGGCAGGAAGGCGTGGAGGAGAGGGAAGCAGAGGGGGTGAAGACGGGGCATTTGCCTGGATGCCAGGTGAGCCCAGGATGTGAACGGCACAGGCCAAGCAGCATGACAGGCAAATGCAGGGTGACTGCCTGTTTCTCGCCCTCCTCCTCCATGCACCCCCCTAGGACGGCTCCCTCACTGGTTTCCCGGTTTCTCTACACACAACACCCCCACGACACCATCATCATCACATCACCCCACCGCACTGCGCCGCCGCAGCTCCGCCGCCGCCGCAATCGCAATCGCTCCGCTGCCCGTACCCAGATCCGCCCAGGGCGCCGCCGCCAGGTACGGCCGCGACGTGATTGCCGTACGGACGAGCTCTGGGAAGATCTCGGTTTCGGGGCGCGGTACCAGCACCCCAGGGCCCACTGCCAGCACGTAGGTGTGCCAGTGGGCGCTGCTGAGGAGGTACTGGAAGGGAACACGGTCCTACGGGGTGGGGGGGCAGGGGGGCGGGGGATGGAGGGTGAAAAGAGGAAGTTGACGACCTGTGCCGTGTCCGTCCTCCTCCCAACCTTCCCCCCTTCGGCCACAGGTTATACAACACGGCGTTTCTCCCCTCTCCTTCTCCTCCCGCCCCCTCACCCGCAGCCTCCGCTCCCACCACCCCCACAGCTCCTCCGTCCGCTCCCGCAGTCGCAGCTGCCAGCCGCCCTCCTCCGCCCCACCACCCCCACCTCCTCCTCCTCCCTCCAGCTGCGCCCGCCGCCCCCGGGTGGTTTCGGAGCGCACCCTCGGCTCCAGACAGCGCCAGGAGGTGGGCTCCCAGGGGGCGGACGGGTGCGGGCGGTAGGCCTGGGGGGGAGTGGAGGGGGGATAAAAATGAGGAAACTGACGTCCTGGCTTCAGGGGTGGGGGGTGGGTGGGTGGGGGGAAGTGATGCTACCAGCATGCCAGCATGGTAGGGGGTAACACGGATTGTGAGGAGTTGTGGCCCTGGGGTATATTGGAAGTGAGGTCTGGTGGCATCCCAGGTGGTTGGTGTCGTGATGCTGTCGCCCCCTCGCTGCCACCCCCACCGCAGCCGCCCCATCCCCGGCCACAATCACACGGTCAGTTAGATGTTTCCTCTTTGCCCCATCCCCGGCCCCGCGGCCCCGGGCACATCACCCCAGCCGCTCCTGCTCCCCACCTCAATCAGGTCGTCGAGCACCCAGTCTAGCTCCCGCTGGGGGGCGTGAGGGAAGGGAAGGGGAGGGGAATGAGGGGGGCGAGGGGAGTGGGAGGGGAGTGAGGCAGGGTGAGGAGAAAGAGGGATGTGCCGCTGCCTCGGTATTCCCTTCCTGTACTAATGCCTGTCAGATACAGCACCACCACCGCAGCCCCTCTCCTCCTCCACCCCGCACCATAAGGCCCCTCCCGCCCTCCTCCCCCCCCCACCATAAGGCCCGCCCTGTCCGGCCCCCCGTCCAGCTGCTCCCATGCGTCCCCCAGCTGCTCAATGCGGCCCGCCATCGCCTGCTTCCACCTCAGCACCTCCCGCAGGGGAGCGATGTGTACGGCAGGGCGCCGGCATAGCGGCAGCTGGGGTGACACTGGCGGCTGGGATGGTGCTGTTGGCGGTGATGGTGGGGAGGAGGCCGAGGGGGATAGTGGGGAGGAGAAGGGGGAGGAGGCGGGGTGTGGCGGTGGTGAAGTCGGTGGCGAGGGGCTAGATGGCTGGGGGCTAGTGCTAGGGCTGCTGCTGCTGCTTGCGGCGGCGGTGGTGCTGGTGATGGTATTACTCTGGTGGGAGCAGTACTGGCAGGTGCTACGCTGGGTATTGGGGGTTGAGCTGGTGTGGAGGGGTTGCCGTGGCGTTGGCAAGCACACATGGGGAGAAAGCCTGGGTTGGAAAGGAGGGAACAGGTTTCCTCTTATGTTCGGTAAAGGCTTAGAAGTATGGTCCGCTGGAGCTTTAAGGGAGGTGGGTCCACGGCTTTGCACCTGTTACGCAGGCGTTGCTGCAAGTGAACCTTACCACGTGGATGGCTGCAACAGCCATGCTACTCGGGTAGTCCGCAGCGCAGGCCATGCGCATGAGGCTCTATAACCCAGCGAGCAGTGTCGTATATTCCGCATAGTTCTTTACTACTTGCAAGGATGAGGCTTTGAGTACGCACTTATATAGGCGGCGGCAATGCAAGCCACGTTGAAGCAATGGTTACTCTTTACACCACGCTGGCGTTAAATGCCTTACGTAGATCACTATATATTGTAAATTAATGCGCAGCCAGCGCGGGTGAAAGGCTTATACAAATAGTTTAAGGGAAGACCGTGGCAAGAATCGCAAATCGCTTATCAAGGCTGTGTACAGATACGCTATGCAATCTACCAGCTCGTCATGGCATGAGTTAAACCTGACCTAGTTAGGTACGTTCTTCATTGTACGACTAAAGCCCAGAACCAAAATTCTCAGAACCATCGGCTGCCAATTTGTAACCTTAGAGAAGCAACATATAATATAGTCCTTACCTTTAGTCGGCTCTCTTGGCATGTGTTAGCTGTTTTAACCCTGCGTGCTGCCACACCCAGTCACGTCTATGAGAATCCTAAACCCTTTAGATGAAACGGTTGTGAAGGCGATGTTGTAGCCTTTTTGGAGATGTTATAGTCGGCGAGGGACAGAAATGAAATGCGGAGCTCGACGGACCTGTCCCTGGCTCCGCTTGAGAGAAGGCTCAATGCGAACAAGCATAACCAGGTCAGGATGATGCAGGCGTAGCCCGATTTCCTCTGCTCGCCGTCAGGACCTTCGCATGCGCATTCGCTATTACAAACGTACTTGGCTTCTTGCTGCCGTCTGGGGCCAAGTCTGACGGTATCACATGGCAGAGTCAGATGTCTTCGGCAGAGCTGTGCATTTCGCGCGCTCCTTGCAACGGCTTCTTCGCCAAATGTTGCACCTTGCATCCTCTCAACGCAGAGCTCCGGTGCTCGCGTGGCCGACACGTCTCCTCTTCGGGGCACATCATTCGCTGCTGGAGGCGGTCATCGGGGCGGTCCTTTCCCACCGGTGCCACGTCCGATAGCAACCGCTTCTCCCTACGTCATGAGTGAGTCCCAAGCACCAGCAGCTTACCTATATCTCCCATCAACCATCCTTAGCACAGGGTGCGGGCCTCCCTTTCCTTCCCCTCCTTCTTACCACCCGCTGCACATCCCGTTTCCTGCCTGCCTCCTTCCTCCTCCCGGCAGCTGCTCCCCGACGTCTGCCCCCCAGCGGACAGATCACCGAGTCCCTACGTGCCGCTCCGGAGCCGCCAACGCTGGCCTCCCTGCCCAGGTGGGCCTCCTGCGTCCTTCCACTGCGACCCAGGGACACGCCTAATTGCGTAGCTCCTGCCTAGAACACAGTCAGCCCCTCAGCAGGAAACAAACAGGAAACAAGCCCTGACCCAGGTTTGGCCTTTCACGAGGAAACAAGCCCTGACCCAACTTCAGCCCCTCTGGCGGAAACAAGCCCTGACCCAGATTCACCGTAGAAGAATCCGTATCGTACGAATGTGTGCTGGACCTACCTGCAACATTCCCGGCGCATGATGGGGCGGACTAGTGATGATGTGGCCAGCATAGGCAACGCCCTGGGTGCAAGCTACCAGAGGACAAGGCACACTCAAAGCCTTCCCAATGTTCCCATCCTCATCGGAGGAATGAAAGAAAGAAAGCCTTAGATGACCCGCATGGTCCCCAGGCAGCTATCATCCGCTACCGGTATCCACGCCATTCCCATGTGCCCATGTGGGTTGGGGATCACCGGTACCGCCGTAACATCCCATCCCCTCCCGGTCCCTCCCTCCCGCAGACTCGACTCCATCTCCGCCATCCTCAGCGGTGGCGGCAGCGGCGGTGGGATCGACAGGGTTGGCGCCGCTGCTGGTGGCGGCGGTGGTGGCGGTGGTGCAGCTGGGGGCGGAGGCGGGGGCGCCAGCAGTCACCGGCACTCGCCCACCCCCACCGCCACCGCCACCCAGCCCGGTGGCGGCACCGCAGGCACCCGGGCGGGACCCTCGGGCAACCCCCTGGGAGGGGCCCAGGTAGGCGGTGGAAAGCCAGCGGATAGCCGGAAGTCCAGCAAGGACGTGTGGCGTACATATTTTTCCATAAAATTGCAATAAATAGGGCTGCAGTGGCCCTATTCTTACCATACCCGTACGTTGCATGTCCTTGCTGACCATCCTGGCAAAGCTCTCGCTGTTGCATCTGACCCCGAATCGCACTGCTGTTGACTTGAATCGCACCAGACCCACATGTACGCGCTTGACCCACATCGGCTAACCGATCCGCACATCCGCTGTTGCTCCCACCCATGTCGCTCCCCTGTTCCCCGCAGGCCCCCCGCGGCGGCCGCAGCTCCGCGCCACCTCGCTCGCCCCGTGAGAGCCACCACGGGTGCACCGGGCCGGGGGGTCTCGGAGCTGGAGGAGGAGGAGGTGGAGCGGGAGGGGCGGCAGCAGCTGCAGCAGGAGGGGCGGGAGGGGGGCAGGGTGCTGGGGGCGGTGGCGGGGGTACGGGTGCGGGTTCGGCCGCTATCACCTGGGCGCATGTGCGTGAGGCGCAACAGCATGCGTGGGCGGAGTCGTCTTCTTCCAGCTTGTTCAGGTGCGTGAGGGAGGGGGGTGGAAGGGAGAGGGGGGGTAAGGAGGGGATTGGTAGGAAAGGAGGGATGGGGGAATGGTTGGACTGTTTGTGAAGCTGCATACGGGCAGCAGGAGATATAACGGAGCGGCCTTGTTTTCTAATGGGAAGTGATTTGGTTTGGGGAAGTGATTTGGGTTTTGGATCGCGAAGTGTCGCGAGCTCAATTGCGTGCACGGGAACGCCCTTGCTCCGCTGCCCTTGCTGCCTTCCTGCATGGCGGATGTGTCTTCCCCACACCGCATTCGCCACACACCTCGCGCACACGCCACCCCGCTGTACATTGCCGCTGTACAGGTCTCAGCACTACGGCATCCCATCACCGCCCATCACCGCAACAACAGCAGCCGCAGCTGCCGTCGCCGCCGCCACAGCAGCCGGCTCCGCAGCCCTGTCCATCGCCTCCGCAGCCCCCTCCTCGCCGCTCCAAGCCCAGTCGTCCCTCACCGACCTAAGCACCACAGGCAACGGCACCTGTGACGGCTCCCTGCCCCCACCTCCGCCTCTCACCGCCGTTAACAGCGCCCTCTCCGTCTCCTACGCCATCCCCCTCGCCAGCTCCTTCCCAGGCGGCGGCGGCGGCCCCTCCGCCGCTGCCGCCGCCGCCGCCTCAGCCTCCACCAGCTCCCTGCGTCTAAGCGGCGGCGTCCTCTCCTCCACCGGGCGCTGCGCCCTGGGCGGCGTCAGCGACTTGGCCGAGTTGGATCGGGACCTTCGAGACCGCGAGCGAGACCTGATCAGCGGCTATCCTCCTCGCAGCTCATGCATGGCGGGCAACAGCCCGTTGGGCAGCGCATGGGGGTGTGCTGACCGGGGGGGCTCACCCGTACGCGGCATGCGGGATAACACCGCAGCCGCGGGGCTGCTAGCGTTCGAGGCCCTTGTGGGACCGCCCTTTGCCTCCCTGGGATTGCTGGAAGGTGGCGGCGGCGGAGGTAGCGGCGGCGGCGGCGGAGGCCGGGAAAGTACGGCAGTGGTGACGTCAGCGCAGTTGCAAGCCATGCAGCAGCAGGCGGCGCAGGTGCACACGCTGCAGCGGCGGACGCTGATGCTGCGGCTGCCGCATGGCTGGTCGACGCTGGGAGTCGAGCTACCGGCGGTTGCCGTACAGGACGGCGGCGGTACGGCAGGAGGTGGTGGCGGTACGACATCAGGGGGTGGTTGTACGACAGGAGGTGGAGGCGGCGCGTGTTTGCTGGTTCTTCCCAGCGACAAGCCGGCTACTCGAGCTGAGGCGGTGGCGGTGGAGGCGCTGCTGCTGGAGATGCTGAAGGACCCGGCGGGGGCGGCGGAGAGGTAGGGAGCGTGGTGGGTGGGGTAAAGAGGAAGGACGGGGTGGGGCGGAAAGGTAGGGGCTGCCTGCTGCGGGGGGGTAAAAAAATATATATATATATGATGATATATATATATGCGGGGGGGGGGTAAATGTAAGGAAACTAACGAGGCCACTAACGGGGGGAGGGAGGGCAGGGAATGAGGTGGGGAAGGGAAGGGGTGGTGGAGGGCGCACGCCTCGCGGAGTTTCCTGGCTCTCCTGCGCTGGCCCGGATGAGAGTCCTTGCACTGCTCCTGCATGCTACCGGTGCTTGTGTAGCGTATCCATGATTTTGCGTGGCTGGCACCGCATTCCTGCCCCTTCTTGGGTACCTATTCGTAACTTTTGTTGTCTTTTGTTGCGTCTGCATGTGGCTGGCTCGCGGCATCAGGGCTGGCACATGGCGTGCGGAGGTGCTGGGCTCGCTGTGCAGCGAGGCCATCGCCTGCATCCACGAGGCGGGCAGGCTGCGGCAGGCGCATGGTCTGGGGGGCGGCAGCGGCGGCGGAGGAGGAGGGGGCGGAGGAGGCGGCGGCGGAGGAGGAGGAGGGGCGGGTGGGGGTGGAAGCGGAGGCGGAGGTGGAGGAGGAGGAGGAGGTGGGGGCGGACAGGGACCCGGGAGCGAGGCGGCTGGCAAGTGGCAGCTCAGGTGGGTTCAGTTGTCGGTTGGTGGTTTGTTCGGTCGTTGCGCATGCATGCAACTGCATGCGACTGCATGCCTACTACCGGCAACTGCATGGGCTTGTGGGCTACATATAAGACATACGGATGGGGGCCTTACGCTCCGTTACCTTGCGGCACACCATGCTGCGTTGCGGAGCCTCCCAACCTTCATCACCCTCCTCCTTCATCACTTGCCCGTTGCAGGGGTCTGGGAGGTGTGGAGTTGTCTCCCCCCGCCATCCTCGCCCCCTTCACCACTCTGCTCCAACCCAGCTTGCAAGCGCATACAGCGGCCATGGAGGCGCACCGGGCCGGCCTCGCATCCGCACACACGCGGCAACTGTCGTCGTACAACACCGGTAACAACACCGGCAACAATAACTACAGTAAAGTAGAGTACGGCAATCTTACAACAAGAGAATATTACAGCCCCAGCGGTTGCGGTGGCCGCGCCACAAACGCTGGTGACGAATTACCACCGCAAGTTGAAGCATGTAGCGGCTCAGGCGGCGGTGGTGGAAGCGGCGGAGGCGGAGGCGGCAATATCGCAGGAGGGGGAGGTTCAGCCACCGCAGATGGAACGATTGTCGGGGGGAACAGCAGCAGCGGTGCAGGCGGCAGTGCGGGGTTGCAAGGGGACGGGCGCGGAACTACTGGCAGCGGCAGCGGCGGCGGCGGGGGTCTTATGTCGCCGTACACTTCTGCTAGCTTGACGGTTGGCGCATGCGTGTGCGTGGCCGACATCATACGTCAGGTGGGTGTGGTGTGCTGGTTGGGTTTGCAGGGGGGGGGCGGCTTGGGGAGCAGCGTCGGAGTGTTCAAGTCTGCAGTTCCGACCCCGCACTGGCGCCCACTGCGCCCGGTCTACTGGCACCATCATGCTCCTCCCTCCTCCTTGTCGTCCTCATTTGCCCGTCCTTGCAATCAGTGGGGCCATGCGAGACCGGGATTCCAGTGCGCCACCGGAATACCTGGTTACCTCCCGTCCCTGTCCCCTGGGCCCTACAGCTCCTGCCCTAGCCCATGGCGGCATGCCCCCCCCCCCCTGCGCTCCCTTAGCCTGGTGAAGCGTCGTCATACAGCTCGTCAGTTTCCTCCTTTCACCCCCTCCCCCCCTCCCTCTCCCCCCCTCCCTCTCCCCCCCTCCCTCTCCCCCCCTCCCTCTCTCCCCCCCTGCCCGCAGGTTGAGGTGCACTGCTGCGAGCGCGGTCGCGCACTTGCCTCCGCCTGGAACACCTTTGTGGCCGCGCACCAGGAGAGCGTGGAGGCGCTGAGGAGGCGGGCGGCGGGGCTGACCCGGGAGCTGGCGCAGGTGGGGACCGGGGGGGGGGGAGGAGGGAGGAGAGGGGAGGAGGAGGCGGGCGCTGCATGTGAAACGGGACTTATAGGCAGACCCTCACACCCACCCACCCACCCCACCTCTTTTCAACACCCCCTCCCCCTCCCAGCTGCAATCCCGGCTGGCTGAGCGGCGCGACTTTGCCCGCGAGATGGAGATGCTGGAGTTCCTGAAGCGCGAGAACGCGCGGTTCAAGAGCCGCGAGGCGGACCTGCTAGCCAAGGGGCTGCTGGTGATGCAGGTATGGGGGAAAAGGAATTCCAATGTGGGGTGTGATAGCTGGGGGGTTTAGGGGAGGGGGGTAACCGTGCTTGAGGGGGACTGGGGTGCATGTGTGTTGAAACAGGTTAGCCGCGTGACTTGCGTACTGACTATAGCTTTGTTGTGTGTTAGGGAAAATGGCTCTGTGTATATGCGGTACGGGATTAGGGACAAACAGGCGACATGCCCCAAACCGCTTTCCAACCCTTCCTCCTCTTGCTCTCCCCTCCCATACCTCCCCTCCTCCCCCAACCCCCCTCCCTACCCCTCCGTCTGTCTTGTCGATCCCTGCCGCCTCATTCCCCGATCATTTGCCCTTCTGTGGTTTCATATGGTTTGGTCTTGTGGCACCCTGCCAACTCCTTCCCCCATTGCTTTGCCCTAACCTGTGGTCTCCTATGGTTTGGTATGGTCTTTGACCCCCCCCCGCCCCCTTCAGGCTGCCCCCGGCGCCCGCGACGGCAGCCGGCTGGTGGTGAAGGCGGGCGGGGCGCTGGGGGAGGCGCTGGAGTGGGAGCTCACCAGCCGCATAGCGCGACTGAGGTGGCGGCATGCGATGCAGGCGCTGGGGACAAAGACGAAAAAGTGAGGGGGGCGAGGGTGGGGTGGAGGCGGGGAGAGGGAAGAGGGAGGGCCGAGGCGGAGTGAACGGGGAGGAGACGCTTCTCACCCGCCTCCTCTTCTCCTTCATCCCTTACCCGACGTCGTAACCTCTACATCTCCCTCCCTCCCCCCTCCTCCTCCTGCTGCTGCTGCAGAGTTGCCTTCCAGTCAGGTGTGGCCCTGCAGCCGCCGCCGCCCGCCTCCCCCCGCCTGCTCGCCGGGGGCCCGGAAGCCGAGTCCCTGGCGGCCAAGGTGGCCCTGTTGCAGCGCCTCACCCTAGCCGTGGAGCGGGCGGAGCGGCGGCGGGAGACCGCAGCCTCCGCCCGGCGTCTGGCTGCGGCTAACAGCCGTAGCGCCAGGGCGGGAGGAGGGGAGGGGGCGGCGGGAGGAGGGGCGGTGGACTTGGCGGCGGCGGTGCGGGCTGCGGGTCCGGGGTTTGGGTTGCGGCTGCTGGAGGGTCTGGATACGGAGGAGACGGCGAGGGTGCTGACGGCGCTGAATGTGGAGGCGCAGGTGGGGGGGGAGGGAGGGAGGGAGGGGGAGGAGGGAGGGAGAGGAGGAAGGGGGAGGGGGAGGGGGAAATAAATGTTAAACGTGCAGCAACTGGAGTCCCAATCCCATGTATCCCATATCGTTCGTGGGGGGAAGGAAGGGGGGGAAGGAGGGAGTGGGGATGAAGCTGGGGTTTAGGGGTATGTAGGGCGAGGTATGTATGGTGATGTGGGCTTCTTTGTCCTGCTGACCACATGCCCACAGGAACCGTCCCGACTTCCATGCACTTCGTCAGGTTCCTCTACCCCCCCTCTCCCTGTCCCCCTCTTGCCGCCCCTCCCCCACCCCCCCCCCCACCCCCAGGTCCTGCTGCTGGCCTCCATGCCCGAGCTGCGGCGAGCGGAGGTGCTGTCGGCCATGGGGGACCAGGAGCGGGCGCAGGTGGGGGGAGGGGTGTGGGGGGTGAGGTAGCTGCGAATCGGAACGTGGGTGGGATGTGTGCGGTGGGGTGGGGGCCGGAAGGGGGGGACTAACTGGCACAACCATGCAATACCGGTATGGCCCCAGACAGTGGCTCTGTTGCTCTTCCCCTCCCTGGATTCTGTTTCTCGCTGCTTAGTGTATCCCCCCCCTCCTCCGCCCCTCCCCTTCCTCCCCCCCTGCAGGTGGTTGTGGTCATGTCCTCCGGCATGCGCACCCACACCGCTCACGTGCTGGGTCGCGGCATGTGGCATGCAACCATGCGCGCGGTGAAGGACCGGCCGCCGCTGGGGGCGCGGCTGCTGTCGGGCATGGAGACGCAGGAGGTGGGGGGGGGCTGGGGAGGGGGCTACTGGGAGGGGACATGGGGAGGGGGCTACTGGGAGGGGAGACAGAAGGGGTGGGCAGGGGGGGGACATGCAAGGGGCTCCCATGAACCCCGTAAACCGCGTTCCTCTTTACCCACATGCAATTGAGTTGTCCCGGCTAACCCCCAACTCCCCCCCCCCACCTACCCTCCTCCCCACCTACCCTCCTCCCCACCTACCCTCTCCCCCACCTACCCTCCCCCCTCCTTCCTTCTCCCCCGCCCCTCAGGCGGTCGACGAGCTGGCCGGCTGGACGCTCCCCGAGCAGCAGGACGTCTTCGCCGCGCTGGACCAGCCCGCAGCAGCCCGCCTGCTGGCCGCACTGCCGGGGGAGCTGCGGCAGCGACTGCTGGGGGGCATGCAGCCGCACATGGCGGCCAACATCGTGTCGGTGAGAGGGTGGGGGGTGGGGGACGGCGCTAAAAGGAGGCGTGTGGGGTATGATGCTCCATGCGTCATGCCGCCCTGTCGCGCAACATGACGCGCCCCTCCGAACCCCTTCCACTACCCACCTCGCCGCATCTCTGGTCCTCCCCCCCCTCGAGAGTGATACTTTTCCTCCTTCTCCCCACTTCCTTGTTGACATCATGTGGCACTCGTACGACTTCCCGCTCCCGGTCCTTAAATAACGTTGTACACCGCACATGTTACCCCTTCTCCCTCCCACCTCCACCCCCCCAGGCCATGCAGCCTCCCCCCGCCGCCGCCTCCCTGGAGCAGCTGGAGCTGCCCCGCGCCACCGCCATCCTCACCGCCATGGACCCGGCAGCAGCGGCATGCGTCCTTCAGGAGCTGGGGGTGGACAAGGCGGCGGTGGCGCTGCTGGTGAGGGGGGGGAGGTAAAAATAAGGAAGGGAGGGGGGGAACTGACGAGCTCTATGAGAGGAAGGGGGGAAGGGGCGGAGGAGGGAGAGAGAGGGGTTGTTGGAGGGAGGGGCGGGAGGGGTGCCAAAAGAGTCGAAACCATAGGGCACCACGAATAGAGCGGATGAATGGGGGAATGCGGCGGCAGGATGCTACAAGACAAAGGGAGGTGGGAGGGGCGGGAGGGGATTATGAGGCGGAGGTAGCTGTGGTTCGTCGCAATGGTTTGTGTTAGTAACGAGGAGAGCAGGGTTGGGGATGGGGTGGTCTGGGAGTGTGGCGATGGGAGGAGCCGCAGGAGAGATGGCCTGCGGGGCTGGCGGGAGCATGCATGCGCGCGTGGGTCTCTGGGCTCTGGGCTTCCCACATCCCACTTTTACTCGCCCATCACTACCTGCCACACCCTACCCGCCACACCCTACCACCATGCTACCACCTGGCACCCATGCCGCCTCCTACCCCCTTTGCTTTGCCCTAACCTGTGGTCTCCTATGGTTTGGTGCTATTGTCTTTGACCCCCCCTCCCCTCAACAGGGCATGGACAGTGTGGAGGCTCGTCACGCCATCTTGGAGAGCATGATGCCCCGGGTTGCCGCGGAAACCGTGATAGAAATGGACGGCAGGGCCGTAGCAGCCGCTGCGGCTGCAGCCGCCGCCGCCGCCGCAGCGGCAGCAGCCAACGGAGGAGCGGGAGGAGCAGGGCAAGGAGGATCTTCCCCACCTGGGGGCACTGCCGGGGGGCCGGGGGCGGGGGCGGGGGGAGGCGGGTTGGTGTTGGGTTTTGAGGGCCCTGTGTCGCCCCCCCTGGTGCCGTTCCCGGGCACGGAGGCGCTTGGCGACATGTCGCCTCCCTCCGCGGACAAGATCATGGGCTTCATGAATGTGCAGGTGGGGGGTCAAAGACCATACCGAACCATAGGAAGCCACAGGTTGGGGCAAGACAATGGGGATAGGAGCGGCAGGGTGCAGGTGGGGGTGGGGGTGGGGGACAACAGACAAGACGAGGGGAGTGAAGAGAAGGTGGTGCGATACCAACATGGGTTGCTTGGCAACCTGCGCGGCAGAACGATGGCTCCTGGTCCACGTCACCCGTCTCATGGCTCCGCGGTTCGGTAGTCGTTTTTCCTCTTCCATGCCCCCGACGCTGCATGATGAAACGCTGTCATCAGTTTATCCTTCGCCACCTCTCCCCTTCCCCCCGTACCCCTGGTTTCAAGTTTGATAACCGTATGCGCAAAATCCTAAAATCCATCTTAATGCGGAATCTTCATCCCTATTAACCCCTGGTTTGGCCTTCAACCCCACCACCACCACAGGACAAGGCCGCCATCCTGTCCCGCCTGGACCCCGAGCGCGCCGCGGAGCTGCTGGCGCTGTTGAACCCAGCTGAGAGCGTGGCGCTGCTGGCCTGCCTGAGCGATGCAGCCAGCACACTGGTGGTGGAGGCGCTGAGGCAGGAGGACAGGGACGCGCTGATGAGGGTGAGGAGGAGGGCGGGAGGAGGGGTGGGCAGGAGGAGGAAGGCGGGAGGGCGGAAGGAGGGGTGGGCATGTGAGACACACGATACTGTATCATGGGAGTTGCGGCGGGTTGGTTTTCCTAGTCTCAGCGTACAGGTAGTTGGATTCGATCTTATTTGTTTTTTCTTTTCTTTTCTTTTCTTGCTCCCCCGTCCCCGCCCCCCCGCCCCGCCCCGCTCTCATGTTGTCATGCATCCTGGACGCATGCAGGTGCTCCACGAGGCTAGCGGCGGAAAGACGCGGGGTCGCAACTCCAAAGCCTCCAAGGGCGGTCGCAACAAGGGCGCGAAACAGCCCGCAAACGCCAAGACGGCTCCCGGCCACGGCGGCGGCGGAAGTACGGCAGCGTCCGCTGCTCCCAGCCATGCCCCCTCCTCAAGCACCCTCACCACCGCATCCTCACTCACCGCCGCCACCGCCGCCAAGCTACAGCCACTCGCCGTCGCCGCCGCCGCCGCCGTCGCGGCGGCGACGTCGACAGCGCAGCTGCAGCTGCAACCGCAACCGCCTCAACCGCCGCCGGTTGTGTCCGTCGACTCGCCCGTGGGCGCCCCAGAGGTTCAGCCGTCGGGGTCTTCCGTGGTGTTTGCTGACTTGCCGGTGACGAGTGGAAGTCGAAGCGCCACGGGAACTGGAACCGGCAGCGGCAGCACTGGCGGCGGAAGCGGCGGCGGCGGCGGCGGCGCCCGGGGTTTCAGGACGGAGCTGGCGAGATCCATGTCGGTTGTGGTGGATCAGCACACTCAGGACTTCATCGAAGATGATAGTGACGATGGCGAAGGGCCGTACGACGGCGATGGCGACGGAGGCGGCATGGACGACGCCGGGGGTCGGGGTTGGTACGGCGATGGAGGCAGCGACACCACGCCGCGGCGGCTGCTGCCGCAGCCGCCGCGCAACCCCGCGCATGGTGGCGGCGGAGGCGGGCATGTACGGCGGTTGTCGGCGACGGCGGCGGCGGCGGCGGCGACGGCGAACTCTTCGCAGTCGTCAACCGCCGACGGCAGCGCTGACGGCGCCGCATGGAGCAACGGCGGCGGCGGCGGCGCTGGTGACGACGGCGGGTACTACATTGACGACGACGGCAGCGGCGCCGGCGGCGAGTACGGCAGTGGCGGGATGCTTGGCGGCGGCGGCAAGGGCCTTCGTACGGCGGAAAGCGATTGCGGCGGACTGCCTAGCTACCGCAGCCATCGCCGTTCCAGCGAAACGGGAACGCCGCCGCAGAGCCAATCTCTGTCGGGCATTAGCACGCCCAGTCGTCCCAGCGTAGCAGCGACCCGTGGGTCATCCCAGGTAGGCACATCCGCCGGCACGCGATCCTCAATCGCCACTCGTGGGCCCTATCGCTTCGGCACTGACAGCGGCGCCGTCGGCGATTCATCCACGCTTTCCATTAGCGGCGCGCAACTCGCGAACAGCGGGAACCAACCCAGCGCTCGCGTCGCCTTTGCAACCATAAAGAGTGCCGTACGGCTTAGTCGTCAGCGGCAGCAGCTGCTGCAACAGCAGCAGCCCGACATTGGGCAGCTGCTGAGGTCCGCCGCGCCGCCGCCGGCGCCCTCCGCTGCCTCCTCCATGCGGCAGGCGTCGCTGGGGCAGCTGCTGGGGGCCTTTCGGGAGCCCAGCCAGGGGTAGGTGCTCGTGCGGGATGGATGGGGAAGGGGGGCGGGATGTGACTAGGTGGGGAGGGGGAGGCCTGGAGAGGGGCACATGGCGACAACATGGGATGCCTACGGCTTGCACTACTACCACCACTCCCCATGTACTCCCTAAATACTACTCTCTATGTACTCCTCGCCCCCTGTTGATTGCTACTCATAAACGTTTCCCCCGCCCCGCCCCGCCTCGCCTCGCCTCGCCCCTCCCCCTCCCCCCCCCTGCCCTGCCAACTCCTACCCCCATTGCTTTGCCCTAACTTGTGGTCTCCTATGGTTTGGTATGGTCTTTGCCCCCCCCCCCAGCTCCTCCTCCCAGCTGGGGGTGGCCCCCAAGAACGCGCGTCTGGCCACCGCGCTGCTGCAGCACCGCAACACCCGCCCGCGGCCTCGGGGCTGGCTGATGGCGCTGGTGGAGGCGGTGTACAAGGACGGTGGGGAGAGGGGGGGGAAAAAAGAAATTCCAAAGTGTGGTGTGATAATGAGAGGGGGGGGAGGGGGGAAGGGGGGGGGGAGGGGGGAAGGGGGGGGAGGGGGGAAGGGGGGGGGGAGGGGGGGAGGCGGGCAAAGACCATACCAGACCTTAGGAACCCCAGGTTCGGGAGGGGAGGGGGGCACTGTAACTGGGGGAGGGGGGGTGGGGGGACTGTTATCTGATGCTGTGGTGGAAGACGGCTGCGGGAGGGGAGAGGGCGGGTAAAGCAGTATGATGCGCTTGTTCAAAACGATAACAATAACCTCCATCCATCGCCCTCCTCCTCCTGCACCCACCTAATCCTCCTCTTCTGTCCCCACCCGCACCTGCACCCGCACCCGCACCCGCACCCGCACGGGGCCACCAGGCGAGGTGATGCTCCGCAAGGTGGGTCGCATGGAGGCGCTGCGGCGGCAGAGCGTGCCGGAGATTGTGTTTGCGCACTTCTCCAACAAGTACGGACAGCGCTCGCTGGTGGACGAGTATGTGGCGTGTCTGGCAAACACGCTGGCCATGCATCGGGGAGGTAGGACCGGGGGCGGGGGGGCGCGGGGAGGAGGCGAGGTGAAAACACATCCCACTGCGGTGCCTGCATCCTTCCTGCTTGCGACCTCTATCCGCAGCACCCCGCCTGTCGGGCCCCTCATAGAGGACCTGCTTACCCTGCCCGCTCCTCCCCTCCCGCCCCCTCCCCCTCTCATGTTCCCTCCCGCCACCTCCCGCCCCCCTCTCAGAGGACTTGCGTCTGGAGACGTTTGCTCGCTTCCTGTCCGAGGAGTGGGACTTCGCCACCTTCATCGACTTCCTCTCCGCTATCAGCCTGGCCATGCAGGTGGGAGGGGTGGGGGTGGCGGCAGAGGGTGGACGGGCATGTGATGTTGATTCTACCCACGCTGTTACTCCCTCTCCCTCCCTCCCACGTTTTCACTCTCCCATCCCTCCACTTGAATCCCACTGCACCTCACCTGGGGCTTTCTACCAGGTTCCCGTGCTTGGGACCTCATCTCCCATCTCCTTGGGCAGCCACAGCACCTTCCAGTTCTCGCCCAGCTTCCTCAGCACATCCTTTTCCACCCCGGTCTCATCCATTTCCCTCCCCACCTCCTACCCCCCATGTGTCGGGATATGGGTTTGGGACTCCAGTTGCTGTACTTCTCATTTCTTTCTTCCCACGATCCTCCCGCCCACACCCTATGGTTTGGTATGGTCTTTGAACCCCCCCCCCACAGCCCTCCAAGGCCCTCTGCATTGAGTACCCTCGTGAGGCGGGTCGCGACGAGCCCTACCCCTGGCTCTGTGTGCACAAGGCGGTCGCCATCGCGGACGCGGTGCTGGGTCCGCGGTCGCCCGAGGTGCGCGACAGGTTCAATGAGGCGCTGCTGGCGGCAGCCGCGCCGGTGAGAAAGGGCGGAGGGAAGGGGAAGTGGAAGGGGGAGCGGGAGTAAAGATGAAACGACTGACGAACCGTGTGATAAGGCGTGATCATGAAGGGGAGCGGGGGGGAGAGGGTGCAAACGGAGAGTGAAGTGCGGTGGGGTGGGGTTTGCAGCGGCAGCACCTGATCTTGGTGATCTGAGGCTAGCTGCTGGTTACTAATGTTGTTGCGAATGTTGTTGTGATCTGGGTCGGTGTTGTCAGGTCTTGCTTGCGCCATACCATCACTGTTGCTTCCCCCGTTGCTTCTTCCTCCGTGCATCCTCCTCCTCTGCCGCCGCCTATCCATATTACCCTGCTGCAGACCAGTCCATTGCAAGATCATGGACCCATGCATGCTACCCCAACTGCATTCCGATTCTCTTTTCATGCAACCCCCCCCCACCGACATACACAGGCCGATGACGCCGACGTCGAGAAGCTCAAACGTGAGCCACGTTACGCCATCGCCGCAGCAGACGCACTAGCCGGCGGCCCTCCCCTTCCCGAGCGCTTCTTCCGCCTACACCGCCCTCGCTTCCTAGCCCTTCTCGCATCTGAGGTCGCGCGGCTCAACGCAGCAGTTGTCAAACTCGCGCGCGGGCGTTTCGAGCTGCTAGATGCGGAAGGACGTGGCGCCGTACCCGCCACCGCGGTCGCGGGGTACTTGACGGGCGTCGTGGGCGCACGAACCCTGCCACATACGTTGGTGCAAGACGCGGCGCAGTCGTTCGTACGGGATGCCCTGTCGTACCAGATGGAAGCTGCTACGGGCGGCGGCGGCGGCGGGGGTGCTGCGGCGTCTGGCTTTGCCGGCGGGAGCAGCAGTTCTGCGAATTTGGATGTTCTGGGGGGTGGCGGCGGCGCAGCCGCCGCCGCAGGCGGCGGCGGCCCTGGCGGCGGCGGCGGAGCCGCCGCCGCCGCTGCCGCCGCCTCCGAGCCGCGTATCTCCCTGGATGCTTGGGTCGCTGCGAGTGTGCAGTCGCCGATGCTCCGGGACCATGTGAAGATGCGGCTGCTGCGGCCGAGACGCGGCGGCGCGGCGTTCGACGCCACTGACGACAGCGCGGATGGATTGCTGGATGGTTTGTTGTTGGGGGTAACGCGCCGTCACGCCAAACTCATGACATCTCGGTTGCGGTTGTGGACGGCGCCGGCGGTGGCGGCGGCCGCGGCTGCCGGCAGCGGAGGTGGGGGCAGCAGTAGCAGCGCCGCTGCTGGCGGCGGCGGCGGCGCCGCCGCCGCTGACGCGTCGGTTGTGGCTGAGCTGTTGTCGGCGGTGGATAAGGCGGCGGTTGGTGGGGATAAGTTCCGGGCGTATGTGCAGATGCTTTTGGCGATCATCAAACGGCAGGTGAGTGGGTTGGGTGGTTGGAGATCCCGGATCCCGGTGCCTCCTCTCACGCCTCCTCCCATGCCTCCTCTCACGCCTCCTCTCACGCCCCCTCCCATGCCTCCCCCCCCCCCTGCAGGTGGCTGGGGCCATCGCAGCCTTGACAGGCGACGACGGCTGCCCCAACGACTGGGCGGTGGGTCAGGTGGAGGACGCGCTCAGTCGGCTGGAGGACTGCGCGCTCATCATGCTCAACCAGGCCAGGTGGGGGGGAGGGGGAGAGGGTTTGCAGAGGGGGCAAGGAGACACTACCGCACACGGTTTTGACAATGGCTGCGGAGGGCAGATTAGCCAACATAGCCATGCATCCGCTACACTTTGCTCCTCTCATCCCTTTTCGCATCCCTATGCACCTCTCCATCGTCATCCTGCCTCCCACCTCCCCACCTCACCTCCACCACTTCCCTCCCGCAGCTACCTGCTGCAATGCGGCTCCCTGGAGCTGCAAATGGAGCGGGTGCGTCGGCTGCCCCCCGCCGCCCGCACCGCCTACCTGGGCCGGCAGCTGGCGTTACGTCGGCAGCACAGCGCCACCGCTCGTCACATGGCGGCGATTGTGGTGCAGAGCGCGTGGAGGAGACACAGGCGGGCCACGAGGGGGGCGGGGGGAGGAGGTGGGGGTGGGGGTGGTGGAACAGGTGGAGGAGGTGGGGGTGGTGGGAGGCATGGAAGAGGAGGATGAGGGGGGGATGGCGGGGAGAGGTGTGTGAGAGGAGGAGGTTGCGAGAAGGGGCAGCAGAGGTAGGGTTGGCTCGTATTGGCCCGTTACGCACAGGTAGTGTTGGGAACGGGATCCAAGCGGCGGCGGGGCTGCTTTTCTGGCTGGTGCTGAGGGCTGCCGTGCAAGTGAGAGGAGGGCCGTGTGTGGAGCGTTCTTCCTACTTGTGGTAGCGGTGGACAGAACTGTTGCTGCAGGGTTCGTGCAGGGTACTTGAGTAACTTTGCAATGCCCGTTGGGATATACGTATGTAGCGATAACGACGGCAAGACTACAAATAGCTTATAGTCAAGTGCGGTCGTAGCAGGTTTCACACGGCTGAAGTGCGTACGTGCAGATTGCCATTAGAACTTGAGATATGCAGTTTTAGATGGCGGATGGACGCATGTGGCATGAGACAAGCCGTCCTACTGGGGGAGAGATTGTTCTCTTGGCGGGTTTGGGGTTTGTAGACTTACGAGCCTTTCTTAAGCGCTTTTACATAACGGTGTAGCAGGCAGGCTTGGTATCGAATGCACGGTATTGTTAGGTTAGCCCCAGTACTAATAAGATAGATCATGGAAGGTGTACACGTGTATAGCCCCGGTATCGCCCATCCAATCCTTTTTTGCGCCTTCCTAGCAGTTGTGATGTTACCGTACCTTATCATGTTTCCCTTGGAGCTTGTTTCCCTGGCTAGCCGGATGGATGGACGACTGGCTGGATCCCTGGATGGATGGGTTGGCATGCATGCATGCAAAGGATGAGTCAGCGCAAGCGATGAGATTGGGCGTCATGTGATTGCATACACATACTTGGGACTGGTTTCCAAGGCACTGTCGCCTAGTTAGGACCGCTGCTATGGATGACGGTTCCTGTGCTGCTATGGAAAAAGACAGGCGTGAAGCTGCTCGGGCAATGCTGCTAAATTGGATGGGGTGAAAGGATGCGTACGACATATGCTTAATTGCATGTACGGCATACGTACGGTACTGTCAGTGTTGATGGTGGTGGTGGTCGAGGCTAGACCTGTGGAGCCGTATCGGTAATAAGCTAATAACCCTGACGGCGTCGTTTGGTGAGGGGGGATAACAGGCGGCAGCCTTTCTTTCGTATCCTTTCGTGAACCTCTTGTGGCGCGTGGTTGTCGATCATGGAAAAGCCATAATGCACGGCGCTTACCCGTACCGCCGACACCGAATCTGCATACGCATCCTATGGTTCGTCCATTACCGGTGAATCTCCCGTGCTCAAGTACAGAGCTGTACGACACTCCTTGCTTGACGTTGTTGCTGGTTTGACTTTGGCTAACGCTTCTAGAAGCAAGTCAGCGGTAGTATAGCTTTACGTCCTAATGAAACTTCGACACTTCTAATTGATGATGAGATATACCTGTAATGAAGTGACACCTGCTGGGTGGTATCGACCCATGGGTCACAGGCAACACTTCTGCGCCCAACATCACATCACACCCCTCATGGCCCTCAGGGGCTTTCCATGTTGCAAGGCTAGGTGCCACGCTTCCTTGCACCTTCATTACAGTCGGGGAATTTGCACACGCCATGTAAGCGTGAAACAGAGCTGCTCCTAGCCGAGTTTACAACGCCAAACCCCCCCAGGATGACCCTGTACACCCCATACAGGACACCCTCACATGGCACCCCACCACAACCGGTGCACTTTTAAGACCCCCTCCCACGTCCCGATACCAACACGCCACAAGACAGACCAGCAGCGCATTACAACAGGTGAGACCCAACAACCAATCACGTTGCGGACATCCAAATGTACATAACAAAAACAAACCTTGCGAACACAGCCTTAAAACGCCGACACAACCAGAAAAACGCTCCGAGCAAGTTTGGGAATAAGGCAGAGCACAACCGTTGAGCCTGGCACCAAGCCCTTTTACGTGCGTCAAGACCCTTGCATGAAACACAATTGTGTCCCGCAGCCACCGGTAACAACGCAAACGGCGCCTCTGTTCCCTTCCCCCTTCCGACTGACTGTTTTGTACACACAACAGATATATGACACATGCAGAGAGCGCTGCAGCATGCCCTTTCAAGAAGCAGCAGGATGCTTCCAAACCCAGCCACCCAGCCACTCTTCACCTAATAGAACTTCTCCCTGCGCGTATTCTTCACAACACATGCATGAGCATACACACGTCCCCTGCTTCCCACATGAGGAGGTGGTGCAATACACCCCAAGCTCCTACCCAGCAGACCCGCAGAAGGCGCGACAACACAAACGCCTCAACCCGTGCCGGCACCCGTGCTCCATTCCCCTCCAACCTTGCAACCCAGCCCCCCCGTCCCCTTCGACCCCGTTGGGGCTGCAAGGTTAGAACCTTGCCACGCCCCCTTTACGAGGCGTAAGCGGGGTCAAAGTCCGGCACCCTGAACTCCCCGGGCAGCACCCCCCGCACCGCCGCCCCCTCCGGCTTCACATACATGTTCTTCCACAGCCAGTGCTCCGGAGGCGCGGTGCTCGCCTTGGCCGCCTCAACCGCCTCGTCCACCTCCTTCTTCACCTCGCGATCAATCTTCTTGAGCTCCGCCGCCTCCACGCCGTTGGCCAGCAGCAGCTTCTTCACACGCTCAATGGGGTCGCGTTCCGTGCGCATGGCGTTGATCTCGTCACGAGTACGGTAGGTGGATCCAGGATCCGACATGGAGTGCCCGTGGTAGCGGTAGGTGTCCATCTCCATGACGATGGGGCCGTTGGCGAGGGCGTAGGCCTTGGCAAACGCAACCGCGTTTTTCACGGCCAACACATCCATGCCGTCCACCTTGATACCCGGGATGTAGTCCCCGCGCGTGTAGAAGTTGGGCGACTTGGCGGCGCGCCACTCCGCGGTTCCCATGCCGTAGTGGTTGTTCTCGCACACAAAGATGACCGGCAGGTTCCAAAGCCCAGCCATGTTGAGCGCCTCGTACTTTTGCCCCTGGTTCGCGGCACCGTCTCCATACATGGTGATACACACGTTCTTCTCGCCCTTGTACTTGTGGGCAAGCGCGATACCCGCGCCGAGGGGAATCTGTGCGCCCACAATGCCGTTGCCGCCGTAAAAGTTGTTCTTGCGGTTGTAGATGTGCATGGAGCCGCCCAGGCCGCGCGTGGCGCCGTCCTTCTTGCCCATCAGCTCCGCCATAAGGCCCACCACGCTGCCGCCGCGGGTGACGTGTTGGCAGTGGTCGCGGTAGGAGGTGATGATGGAGTCCTGGAGCGTGATGGCGGCCTCGATGCCGGTGAGAACGGCTTCTTGGCCGTCGTACAGGTGACAGAAGCCGCGAATGAACTTGGCCTTGTACATCATGTCGGCCTGGATTTCAGGTGGAGGGAGGGGGGAGTAGCGGGTGAGGGGTAAAGAGGAAACAACTAACTGACTGAGGGATATGCAACGGGGAGAGGAACGGGGGTGGTGGTGGGTTAGATGATGCAAAGCAGGAAGGCCGCAAATGGATGAATGGGATGGGTTTGTGGTATGTGGAGGGGTGTGTGGGAGGCGGGAGGGCGTGGAGTGGTGGAGGACAGGGAGGTATATGGTTGGGGTGGGTAGGAAGAGACGGGACGTTAGGTAGTAGGTTTTGAGGAGGGGCGCCCTAGGGGGCTTGCTTTACAGGATGGGAAAAGGTAATGAACATGCCGGCCAAGAAGGGCGAAAGGACCGAGAAAACATTGGTATTGCGGCAATCTTACATGGAGTGAAAAGGGGAGCGGGTGATCGGTTAGGGGCAAGCAACAAGAACAATTCAGACCATGGGTGGTCTAGAGTGAGGTTCATGAGCAAGTTGGACCAATCCATCAGCAGAAAGTGGCCCCGTCAAAGAGAACATGCGACATGGGGGCATCTAGGCTTCCACCTGCCGGAGCTTGGCTCGCAACAGTGCCGCAGGGGACCGCATCCCATCCGCGATTACCCACGCACCGCGATCTCCATGCGCCGCATTTTGTACATGAGCTTGTAGAAGTCCATGAGCTCGGTTACGTTAGTCTCCACGATGTTGCTAGGCGCATCAATGCGGTGCACCTTGTAGGGCATGACCTCAACCTTAATTGGGGCTGCTGCGGACGCAAAAAGACGCGCAACCGAAAGGCCCAGTTGCGATCCAGCCTGGGCCTTAAGGCCCTGAATTGTAGCCTGAAGTGCCATGGCAAGCAGCTCGGGCTGTGCTTTGGGCTAGGCTTTGTAATCTGCAGTCGACAGCCTAACCACGACTATGTACAACCCTAGGCAACAGGTATAGCACTGTGACTAACTGTGAGTATGCTATTTCCTGTCGTAGAAGCCCCAGTCATAGACCCAACTGCACGACAACCCTCAATCGCTTACACCATTCGTCTACGACAGCGTGTCATAAAAGCCCCAAGCATATAGTACGTTTCGTTATGCTTTTAGCAACCTGTCGTGCATGTACTTTTATGGCAGGATATCCTTGGCCTTTCGGGCAGGGTGACCGATGCCGTGGACCGCTGAAGTCTTTAGTGCCGGCAGAGCCATACCACGGCCACAACCAAAACCACTTTTCTATGCCGAATACCAGCCTGGCTGGCTTGACACGTCCTTTGTGGCCCATACCCTGGTACGGTATGCATGCCCACTTGCAACGAGGTGTCACCGCACAAGTTGGGAGATTGACAGGCCTCGTTGAAACTGGTCGCAAGGTTAGCGTAGGAAATCTCCGGGCCGGTGGCTTGCAACAACGCCTGGGACTGGTCTTAGGACTCCCTGTGTTCTGGTGTGCAAACTAACGGGTCGTGTCCCTGCCGTACTTCCCTTGAATGACAGCTCCTTACAAAGGTTAGCCAAACCACTTTGCCACCTTTCCTCATCTACACTAGTAATGAACAGCCTGGGACCAATACAACGGCAGACTCCCTCAAACGGTCATACCAGCCTGTCCTTACCCGCCAACGCCCCATGCTCTCCCCATATCCGCCCTCCTGCCTCCTCCTAACGTCCCCGGCCTTAATGTCCTGTGACTAACAAAGAATCACGGTAGCCCTTAACCCACCCCAGCTCTATACGGCTATACAACCTCTAGTTCGCAAGCCCCTATATACTCGATGTACGGGAAAGTATACGACAGATTGTGAAGGCCGTGCACAACGAGCTAACCAGCGGTAGCTGCACCATAACACGTCAGGACAAGATGAGCCGCACCACGCAAAACGAATCGCAGCCAACAAAAGGTCCCTTGCTTCGGGACTAGGGACGTATGCACTGGACCAGGAACATATGATAACCCTGCTGCGACAATATGCCATGCCTAGCATGGATTGGCAACGAATGCCTGAGCAAAACACAACGTTCAATTCTCTCTTTAGCAGTGTCTCCATAACAGCACAGAAATATACTCATTCCAGCCCCAAACCCATCCGCACACAAGATGATGCAACGAACCCCTAAATTTTCGAGGACTCAAGATGGAAGGCTGTTAAGCTGGAACATGCCAACTTCAACAACCCTCAGATAACCCCTAGCCCCCGCTTTCAAAGCATCACGATCTCCACCTGCCTCTGCCTGCCCATACATTTTATTGTGGTCTTAACCGACGAGACCCTGTACCATGCATTACGTCCTATGCCGCTATCTATCGTGCACAGACATAACCCTTCGTCGAACTCTTAATCTGGTCGCCTCCGAGTTACGTTCGGAAATGTAATGGCGCAGCAACATTGCATTGGCGCAGATCACCACACGGACAAACCCACCACTGCGTTCAATGCAGTGACCTGAAGGGCCACCGCAGCTGCCTCGACTCTGCCTCAACTACCTTGCATCAATCTTTTCCAACTCTGCGTGCCTCAGTCCTATTCCCCAAACCGTTTCTTTCATACCTCCTCGCCTCATTTCTTTTTACCTAACCAAGCATGGCTTGAGTAACAAAAAAGCAACCCCCGGACTACCCCTGCATGATGTTTAACTTTACTTCGATGCTCCTGCTGCTACTACTAAATGCTGCTTTTGCAATACACCGACGCAGCTGCTTCCTGCCTCTGCTGCCGCCTCTGCCAGTACGACAACCAATCAATGCTACCTCCAGTTCGTTACCAGTACAACAACCAACCATTGCCACCCCCAGTAACTAACTAACGAACCCCACCGCCAAAACAGTATTTCCGATGTCACCCCCGCTGCTCGGCAGCACCACACCGCTCAATGGCCGCGGGCCTGCGGCCCTACCTCGGCCCGCTGCGGCTTCTCATCAGGCCTGCAGGAAGCTCAGAAACGATTGCATATCTTCCATGCTGCCCTCTCCCTGTTCCCCCTGCTGTTCCTGCTCTTCCCGCTCTCTGACCTCCTCAGCCGCACCAACCTGCTCCGCCACCTCTGCCGCCAGCACCACCCTCAGGTGGGCCCCCTCCGCCTCCACCGCCCCTACCTCACCTCCTTCCTGCACTTCATCCCCTGCCACAGCCACAGCCCCCGCTACTGACACCCCAGCTGCTGCTGCTGCTGCCGCTGCAATCCCCGTCCCGTGCACGCGGCAGCCGGCGCCGGAGCACTCCGCGGGTCGCGGCGTGACCCATGGGTCATCACTGCATGTCACACTGGCGCCGCCTGCTGTGAGTCGTGCCACGTCACGGCGGTACATGTGCCGTAACTCCTGCAGCTCTGCATGCAGCTGCTCCAAAGCCTGATCGCGCTCGGCTGTGGGCGGCACAGAAGGAGAAGAGGGCAGGGGGAGGCAGGTAAGGACGATATGGTGGAAGGGGGGAAGCAGGTTGGGGCAGCAAGGACGGGGTTGCATCTATTATGACGGAGTTACGAGGATTGAGGGAAAGGAAGGGGTGGTTGCGTGGAGACGCGGCTAAACGTGCGGGACATGGGGGCGGTTGCTAGGGCCCCGCAGCGCCTCCGCGCACCGCAGCCGGGCTGTGGCTTACCTATACGTTGCAATGCCATCGCCAGACGCATGCGCAACCAGGCCAGCTCGTTCTCGTGCGTCCAAGAATCACTACAATCCCGGATTGCGCCCATGGAAGGCCCCTGACCAACATCTGCTGGCAGCAACGGTACTTCGCTAGCGCGACGGTTGACATTGAAGACATCAACCATCACACTGCTGCTGGTCGGGCTGCTTGCCTCGCTCATCGAACATGAGGTCGTTAACAGCGCACAGTCATCTCTTCCCAAAACGCTGCTGCTCTCGCAGGAGCTGGGGACCGAACTCATTGCAGTGTCGATGGAGCTGTTACTGGGTCGAAGGCGGTAGAATTCGTCGCGACGGGAAGCCGCCTTGAAGGCTTTTATTGTTATGGTGGTGGGACCTTCTGGTTGAGCCGTTTGTTCCATAAGGCTGGCCTCTGCCTTGTTGGTGTTCTCCCAGGGGCCCAGGAACTGTAGGACTGCACTGAGCCTGCGAAGATAGGAATTACAGCAAACATTTGTTGTTTCTTAAGCAGTAGTACCAATCTACATATTTGGAACGCCCATTGATAGCGCTCGTTAAACAGCATTCGTCAGCAGCGTTATTGCTCGTCGCCCGTTACCAGTATGCCATTTGGCTTAAGCCTCGCATCTCACATTTAATGACCGCTTTTCAAAGCTATTAGGGAGGTTCCCTCGGAAGTATTCCAGGGAAAAATTGAGCGTTGGAGCGGGCAGGCCACGCAGCAGGTCCACCGCTTGCGCCTGCAGCAACAGAGTGCCAGGGTCAGGACATGCATTCTTATACTACACTACAGTCCTGCTTCGTAACACTTTAACACAGCGGACGCCCCAAACCACTCAGAGGGCTAACGGCTCGCTAGCTACCATCCGACCGCCTCCGCTCGCGAGAATACATACAAGCCACTGTTGATTCTAAGGAACAATGGAGAGGTTCTCTATTATTTCTTCAGCCCAGAAACTGAACCGATTGAGCGACTTCCTACCGGACGCACTTACACACGTCGCACCTTCCAAAGCGCGCTTAGTATCAAGCTAAAATCTCCTGGCGTTTAGCTTCCCAGTATCCGTGCAGCAATAAATCAGGCTGATGGCTCGGTTGCAGTTTTATTTATAGCAAGCAAAAGTACCGGTACAATACAACACCTGATATTTTTTGGAGGATAGAGGGGCTAAAGCACTGCTGTATACCATCGGCTTGTTGATGCCAGTGCTTGGAAACCAAAAGTCACAAGCAAATCCCTGCCGGACAGGCAGTTGGCGAGACGGCGGTTGATGGCAATGATGACATTCAACCTGTTGCTTCTTCCAGTCGGAATGACCTTACCTATAGCTGTCATAGTTTTGCATTGAATCTGGTGTTGTTGCCCGTGGACTGCAATGCAAGCGCAGTCACTGCAGTTGCTTGCCTGCCCGTGCACCGAAAGCGTCCGCCGCAGTCAGCCATACCAGGACATGGGGAATATGGAATTTATTAACAAGATAAGAATCGCATACAACCTTTATAGTCGCAAGGCAGCTGCGCAGCACCTGCAGTACAGCGGCATGCATGCGCGCCACGAAGGTATCAGGAACATGTGGCCTGCCTGCAGCACTGTGAAGAGGGAAGTAAACATGCCTGGTTACGGCCAGTAGGATAGGTAACAAATTTCGGTACCTGTACTGGCAACCGTTACCTGCCAAAAGTAATAAGACCATATCCAGTAGATAGTTTGGGCTCCGCCGCTACATGTACTGAGAAAAGCCCAGGGTGTGTTGGACCAGCTGTAGGAGGGCTGTCGGGAACACTGCCACAGATGTATCACAAGGGACATGTAACGTACGGCCTTTAGACGAAGGGCTGCGGTCCTGTTAACACCGCACTCGCGCTCCGCAATGCACGTGCGGAGCCGCTGTGGAATTATGTTTGGCCCGATAAACATGATTGGCATTTGATGTTTACGCCGGATGCTGCTGGGAATGGCAAGGCCAACACGTACGGCCCCTCTCCAAGCCATAGCGCTTCCACGCCGGCCAAGCGTGTGCCCCAGCATGCCAGGGCCCAGCATGCTATAAAAGCATGAGACACTCGCCGCATCCAACTCACTGCGATTGCTGGCAATCCAAGTATGGCTGCCAGTAGTTGTTGCCCTGTCTGCTCCCTGATCTACTCCTTTCCCTGCACATGCACCCCAAAACTTCTAGACGCTCCTTTCCAACCGAGGTATTCCGCATTACGCTTGGTGCTTAATGGTCTACACTTGATGGTCTGTTCCCATGAGACCTTTCCCACCTTGCTTATAACCTGAACCCAACCGCGCACTGGCAGCCACGCTTGCATGCTTGATTTGGGCAGCGCCCCGTGGTATGCTCCTGGGCATGCACACTTTTGCGCGTGTGGAACGTATTGCTGGCACGGAGTTAAACGTGTCTGCGCTCACTAAAACTTTTGCTGACAGAATGGATGCGGACTGGGAGGATAGGAGTTTGGAAGTTGACCCGCGGCTTTTCGACCCAGTAGTTCCAGTACCAGGGGTTGGAGTTAAGATGTGTCGGTATAAAAATTGGATGGGTGTCCCGGTTGACAGGGGGTACATTTCTCAGCGGCAACATGTCAACCTGATGCGTTTTCGGCTGTGTGTGTGGGGCATTGAAGCTAATCGCCCAAGGGGTAGGCAACGAGTAGCGCGTGTTTGTCCTATGTGTGCAGTGCAGGGGTCGCCTGGGAGAGTGGAGGACGAGAAACACATCCTCATTGAATGTCCCGCTTAAGATGATTTGCGTGAAAAGATATGGGAAAGTGGAGTCTCACGAGATGCTGATATGATGTCTATCATGGGCATGGAGGACCAGGCATTGCTTGCTAGCGTGATCACTAGCATGCGAAGTCGTAGGATTGCGCAGACAGGGTACATCATCTGAGCTGCGTACTACGTTTCGTGTCATAAGTTTTCTTTTCTTCTTTTGTTTGTTTACGTGTTTTGTGCTCGCGATCCATGAGCCTTCTGGCTCGGACGGATCTTACGAGCTCGGTACGAAGCTTGTAACATACATACATACACTTTTGCGGGAAACTACAACATCCAAAGCAACTAGGGCCACGCAGTTGAGCCATGCAGGAAATGGGTTCCTTGTAACGGCTCAGCATTCCCATGCACGTTCACCTGCAACCATACTTACTGCGAGGCCATGATAACAAGTTATTTCGGGTTTGTTGCATGGTTCCCGTCCAAGGTCGTAAGGTAGTAGTCAGCAGCCGGGTACCCGTTGTAGGGGACTCGGATTGCCTGCTGCACACTTACAGGAGCAGCTGTCTTGGCGTGTCGTACAACCGACCTTTTCAAGGCATGCGTGCCATACAGCTGCGTGGCAGCAGCATTCGAAACATTCGCGCTGAACTACAGTACCAACGCCACATGAAGCAACAGGTCTTGGAGCGCATGGAACTTGGGTTGGCAGGCCTAACCCCCTCACGTGTCCTCCCGGCGGTTCCATGACCTTTCCCCGATATCTATAAGCTAACCCCATCCTGACACCGATCTCCTATCATCAACTTGATTGCGCTCTTTCATTGTCTGGTTCTCCTGTGCATGTGTAACGAGTTGGCGATATTCTTGCGGTGCTTAGGCCCTTACGTTGTATTGAACGTACATGGCACAAGACAAGAAGACATGTACCTTCATGAACCAGGAAATGTGGACGGATCACCAGGAAAGGCAGGAATATCGCATGGTCGAATGTGCCGTACGGTACCCGTCCGCGGAGACTTGAGTTTGTCGCAGAGAGCTGAGGGTTATGAAGCACAAGGACAGCAACTCGTTTGTAAGCTGTTGTGAACTGTGCTAAAAACATGAACCGCTAGAGTAAACAGACTAGGCAAAATGGCCGAGGGCCACGACAAATACCTCGAGACGCTGAATTTCGTTGTTAACTTCCTTCACGAAGAGGGCTTCCATAAAGCGCACAGCGTTCTTCTCCAAGAGTTTAGCACACGGCTGCAGGGCTCCTCAAGCCCGAGTGCAGAGGGCGTTGTTTTCGCGGCTTCGCGCCAGTCAGTATCAGCATGCTCTGCACCCCCATCTACTTTTGAATATGGTGAGCGAGCCTTGGAAGCACTATCACCCCCGAGGAGCAAGTCAGCTCAGCCAGGGCCAAGCTGGTAAGATTAAATGAGCAGGCTTGCTTGCACCTTCAGCCGCGACCCCATGGCTTACAGATAATTACTTGATCAACAGGGAGGGCTTTCCGGGACCATCATCGTTACCAAAAGCTGCTTCCACAGCTGGGGCGGTTGAAAGTGCGCCAGTCCAGAGCGCGTCCACTGCGCCCAAGCCTCCAGCAGCCAGCCCTCCAGCAGCTGCTGTGCGAGGCGGAAAGCGGAGGCCTTCACGTCCATCCGGAAATCGGCAACGACGTGAGCAGGGGTGGGACGTTGAAAATGGTTGATTTTGGCTGTACTAAAGGTTCTATCCTGCCCACGCAGCTGCTTGGGATGGCGAAATTGACGACTACGAGGGAATGGACGACCCGGGCTACAGCAGGCGGGATGTGCCAAGCCAGGCAAAGTTTGCGGAGACTGAGCTAGATGCCTGCAGCGATGATGGCAGCGAACGCGCGTACTTCATGCACCAGCCTGGCGACTTGAATTACGATGACATCGAGTCAGATGTGTCTGCATCAGATCCGGAGGGCATCACCGCAGCCAGCAGCGTCCACTCAGGTAACTATGGTGCCTACTCGGGCGACGTGCACGACGAAACCTGGGACCTGGGCCCTACCGACATCAAGTTTGCCGAGCCTGTCAGCACTCCCAGCAAGAGCCCTGAAAAGCAGGAGGCGGAGGAGCGAAGACCGGTGCTGTCACGCGTAGAGTCCCTGAGTAGCTCCTTTAAAGACTTTGAGATGGAGCGCGGCTTTCTCGGAGACGGCGAGGCGGAGGGGCAGATATCCTCGAAGGTGTCGGAGTCAGAATACGTCGCCGACCCGGAGGTGATTGATTTCCCCGTCACAGTTGTGAACCACGAGGACGTGGAGCTCTTCCGGCAGCGGCGGCAAAGCCCCACGTCGTCCTTAGACGTCGCCGGTGGCTCAGTAGCACCGTCGGTGACTCTTTCGGAGCCTCCAGCAGGGGAAGGCGCGGGCAGCAAGGGCAGGAATCGACGCAAGGGCAGCGGAAAGAACTTCAGCTTGCTAAAATCCTTGGCCACGGGGTACGTGGGTCTGTTAGCGACCTTTAGTACCTGCAGGATACGGGCGAAGGGGGTAGCTGTTATTGCGCTTCGGTTTGGTGGTGGACAGCTAAAGGAGGAGCCGATATGGTTTGAACCATAGCCCATAGCAAGGGGCAGAAATGCTTATGGTTGGCCTGCATGTGAAAGGTAGATGCAGGTAGTACCTTCATGTATCGTTCCTTAACCTTATTCGCCTTGGCATGTTCTAATCTGATCTGGGTCGGTTTTCAATGTACTCCGCAGGAGGGGTGGTGAAAACGGTGCCGGAGGCGGCAGCTTGGGCACTGGCGGTGCCGCATTTTGTGGAGGTGCAGGCGGCGGCTTTAGCTTTCCTGTGACACCGCCGTCGGACGAGCCGGAACAGCGGTTGTTCACCTCCTGGCCGTCGGTACGAAGCAGCTGCACATCGGAACCCGTTGCCATGTCGGACGACGACAATGCGTTGCCCGCTGAGTACGAGGATGACGGTGCGTTCCCCTGGGTGTGGGACCTCTTGGGTCCTGCAGAATGCGCCGGGGTCAGCGTACGGAAGGGTATACTTTGCTTCGTCCTTGGTTTGCATGCGGCAGTAGGACACTCTTGCAAGCATTTCTTGCGATCTGGGTGTAAATGTTGCCTATGTCATGCCGACCCACATGCCGTACTGGAAAACGTTACAGCCAATTCATGTTTTCCACTCGTGTCGCATGGTTTGGATCATCATACAACTTTACAAAATTTTGTTTGCAAAACGTGCACCACATATCATTTCGCGCAATCATCCTTATAGCGCCCTCGTGGCCTGTTGCCTTGCGCCGCAGAGTACACGAAGTACCGCCTCAGCAGCCACAGCACATCCCTCGCGGCTCAGGACTTTACCGCCGACCGCAAACTCACAGACGGCGAGGCATCCGGAGCGCCGCCCAGCCCCGACGCGGCCTCTACCTCGTGTCACGTGGGCGCCAGCGCTGCCGCATCTGACGCAGCAATTGAATGGGAGTTCAAACCGCCTGTCGACCGGTTGGTTGAGGGGACGCGCGAGCCGTCACTGGAGTTCTCCACGCATACCACTGACGTTGAGGAGAGCGCGGGGACACTCAAGGCTCTTGGCCTTGCGGCTGGTGACGCGGGTGGTGAGAGCCGGGATGACGACGCCGTCGAGGACAGCGTGTTGGATACCCACATCGGCTCGCTTTCCTTGGAGGGAGAGCTGAGGGCTGAAGCCGTGGCCGCTGATGCAGCAGCGGATGCGGCCGCAGCGATAGAGCTCCAGCCGCCAGCGCTGTCGGCAGAACAGCCGCCCCTTGGGCCCAACGAAGTCGGGCAATCTTCGCCTGTAGAGGCGTCGCAGCAGCAGCAGAGTCCGATAGAGCGGAGAGGTAAGCCTCGGTTGGAATAGCCTTTATGCCCCCGTGCAAGGTGCATCTGCCGCGCATCTTTGTTCCCGCTTGCCTAGTTCGCCTTTCGAACCGGGCGTACCGGCACTCCATCGTTATGTAAGCATGCATGCGTGCCGGTGGGCGCTTAGCTGGAGTCGCTATGCGCGTATCAGCTCTGCCCAAATCCGTACCCAAACCCTGGTTGTGTGATCTGCAGACTCGGCACATGTGGACTCACATCGTATCCATTTTGACTTCGAGGATTCCCTCTACGACGGTGCCGATGCAGAGCCTTCTTCCTTATCACATTCACATAGCGGCGAAGCTGCTGCGGGTGCGGCCGCTCGGAAGCGCCAGCAGCTGCAGCCGCCACCCGAGGAGCAGGACCAAGCGGCGGATGACGCCGCGGAGGACCGGGGGAGCGGGAGCGACGGCGCCGTACCATCGTTTTCCGAGCCGGCGTCGTACGACGGTGAGGAGGCTGACGTGGACGAACCCCTGGATGGCGGTCTTGACGAGCAGTACGACGGAGAGGCGGAGGAAGGCGGCGGGGAGGAGGAGGAGCTCGACGCTGAGCCATTAGGCGCTGCTGCAGCGGGACCGGCGGCGGAATGGGGCGAGGAGGAGCGGTCTCGGGCTGCGGAAACAAAGGGTGAGTCGGGTTCTAGCTTGGTTCCTGCTGCGTCCGTGCCGACCTGAAGGCCGGCGTTCCAATGCGGGTACTCAAGGTCACGTCCTTGCGCCGCAACTTGTGATGACGCCTCTTTTGTTTCTTGCCTGCCCGCAGACGCTGGGCGCTCTCGGGACGAGTCGGGCCTTATGCCTCGCTATCAGGTGGACGAGCACGGCAATGTGTTGTACGAGTACGAGCCGGACTACATCGACAAGAAGTACGAGGTATTTGAGCTGCGCGTGATCCACCGCCGCCATCGCACCGGCTTTGAGGAGACCAAGGACTTCCCCATCCGCCTTAACGACCTCATAGCAGGGCGGTGAGTCCGCATGGGTCACTTGGGAATGGGATCGTGCCGCTGAATGCCTGCTTGTAGGCCGCGCTGCTCTGTAACCTCATGTGTCAATGTCCACATGTTTATCGAGCTCAGCCTTGCACGGACTGGTGATGTTGTCTGCTTCTGCTTCCTCTCGCAGGTATCAAGTGATGGACTTCTTGGGCTCTGCTGCCTTTAGCCGCGCGGTGCAAGCGCTCGATGTTAAGACCGGGCAGCTGGTATGCTTGAAGATCATCAAGGTACGCTCCTCCAGCCTTTTAGATCTACATTCCGCTTGCCGTTTAAGCGCACCGTTTAAGCGCGCGCTCATGTCCTTACATGGTCGCCCTATACCGTCACGCTGTGCCGTGCCTTTTCGCCATCCAATGCGCACTGCAGAACAACAAGGACTACTTTGACCAGTCGCTGGACGAGATCAAGCTGCTCAAGTACGTCAACTCCATGGACCCCAACGACGAGTACGCCATCGTGCGACTGTACGACTTCTTTTACTACAAAGTGAGGCGGCGAGGCCTGACTTGTGGGCGTGACAGCGACTCTGTTTCCCGCTTATTGTGTCCCATGCCGTTTGCATGCCGCTTGTATGTCGACCGCGGTCCGTTTAAAGGCAAGCACGCAGGTTCCTTAAAAAAAACAGGTTGACCATTGTCATGCACCGTGGACGCCTTGTTGACGGTAGTCGAAACCACTAATCCAGTTAACCCTGGATCCTATTCTCTGAACTTCCTGACGCGCAGGAGCACCTGTTCCTGGTCTGCGAGCTGCTGCGGGCCAACTTGTACGAGTTCCAGAAGTACAACAAGGAGTCCGGCGACGAGCTGTACTTCACCAACGCGCGCATCCAGCGCATTGCTCGCCAGGCGCTCCGCTCGCTGGCGTTCCTGCACTCGCTGGGCCTCGTCCACTCGGACCTGAAGCCCGAGAACATCCTCATCAAGAGCTACAGCAGGTGGGCTCGTGCGCTCTCGCCATCCGCGGATATGGTGTTTGGAAGGCTGTCATGCATGCTACAGCCTACAATCCGACCTAAAGTGGTGTCACCCTTGCCTAACCATTGCCATGTTGCCCCTGTTGCCTCTCCGACCAGGTGCGAGGTCAAGGTGATCGACCTGGGCTCCTCCTGCTTCATCACCGACCAGCTGAGCAGCTACGTGCAGAGCCGCTCGTACCGTGCGCCCGAGGTCATCCTGGGGCTGCCGTACGATTACAAAGTGGACGTCTGGTCGCTGGGCTGCATCCTGGCGGAGCTCTCTAGCGGCTACGTGCTGTTCCAGGTGCGGAGGAGCGGAGGGCCGGGACCACCCGGGGTACCGGTATGAAGGAAACAGGGAGGGGCGAAAGGGTGCTTCGTCCAACGCGACGGGCTCAGCGTGTGACTGGAAGGACTTGAGTTGCTGGGTGCCTTGCTGGCACTGTTTGCCACTTGGATGCACACGCTCGGAGTAGGGTACCCCGTCTGCTGGGGGCGCACTGCATGGCCTACAAGCGGATGTTAAGTTGTTAACAGCATGCTAGTTCTGAGTCGATGTAAATACTGATCTGGGTCGCGATTCATTCGCTCTCCCTGCTGCAGAACGACTCGTTGGCAACGCTGCTAGCCCGGCTGGAAGGCATCCTGGGTCCCATTCCTGAGTGGATGCTGCACAAGGGCCGCTATACGCACCGCTTCTACACGCGCAGTGGCATGCTATACGAGCGCGCGTCCAACACGCAGCGTTATGAGATGCTGCTGCCCAAGCGCACTTCGCTACGGCACAGGTGGGCCGTGCCTGTGGTGGGACGGGTGGTGAGGGGGGTACACCCGCGGCTGGTCAATGCCTATAGCATAAGGGCTTGGCAGCTGTAGTAAAGTTGTAGTACCACTCTTCCTCTGACGCTTCAATTGTTCCTTTTTCATGCGCCGCAGGATGCCTGACGCGGACGAGGGCCTGCTGGAGTTTGTTTCGTACCTGCTGACTGTGGACCCTCGCAAGCGCCCGACGGCTGCCGAGGCGCTCAAGCACCCGTGGCTGTTGCAGGACTACCCGTCTCTCGAGGCCTGAAGCACGACTGGGTGCGCTACCCGGGGTTGCTACCTGTAGCTGCCTGCTCGAAACCCTGCGAGCTATGAGCCTGCTAATGCGGAGTAGTGTTGGTAGGGGTGTGGAGGATCCATGGAAAGGGCATCATGGGTGGGCGTGGCGGGCATGCGGCACCGGGCCAAGAACGCCGGCCGTCTGGTGCAACAGGACAGGTGGTTATTTTGTCCCGCTGGCGTAGTGCACAGCATGTAGCTTTGACGCCGCGTGATAAAGCGTCGTTATGTAGTGGGGGACCTTTGCGGTCGGGTTTGTCTGCCGGCCTTCGTGCCTCCACCCCGCTTTCATGCGTTCTAGTGTTATCGACTATTATTGTGGGCGGGGCCCCATGCATTCCTGGGTTCCATGTCCAGGGAAAGCGGGGAGGGCGGGCGCATGCTTTTGGTGAAGTCTTGTTTTAATGATGCAAACGGTGGTTGTAAGCAGTCGAAGGGGGGTGGCAGGTATGATGGCTTGAATAGATCTGTAGCGCTGTGTGCAGCTGCGGCTTGCGCTGCGGCCAGTTTCCGCGGCAAGAGGCTGTGCAGGCTGGAGTGGCTGGCAGCGTCCAGGGTGTTGGAAAGGAGGTGGTGTTCGGTTGCGAGCGACTGAAAGTTTTGTTCGAGCTATAGGTGGTGTAGTGCAGTGAGCATACAACCCTGCAGCTTGATGTGCGCTTGTTCATACGTCAGCAGCAGCTTTTCCTGAAGCGTTTAGCCTTGGTGGGTTCTCATGTTTGCGCCTGGCTATGAGGGGTGGCGAGCGAGCGCTTTGCACTGCTGCGTCGCATGCATGGCCGCTATGGCAGCGTCTGTAGCGGTGTTTTCAGGCTTAGCCCCATGTGCGTGGCATGTTACTGGTATCGGTATTCCTTTCATAATGCCTAGTGGCCCACAGGGCAGGGTCTCTATGCTTAGGCGATATGCGCATCCGCATCGGGAGCTGCTTGGAAGATACTTGTACACTGTAAAGCTACCGTGTCAGCGAGTAGTCTCTGTGAACAAGGCATCAATGGCACAGCAGGAAGGGAGAACGGGGAAAATAGCTTACGTTCATCCTTCATACAGAACACCGCTAGGGTTCGTTCAGCAAGGTCCTCTGCCGACGGTTGCCGATTCACCTCAATATGCTATTAGCGAAACGCCGTATAATTGTATTGGAACGAGCTTAGCATGGGCAAGGAGCCATGAACGCCTTACCGCATGCAATCGCGTTTGCGTTAGTGGTCTCCAACCGTAACTTGGAACCAACCGTTGCCGGGTTTCTTGTTTCAGGAGGCATCTCCTCGTGTGCCCTGCCGACTTATTACATGTCTCTCGTTTTCCAATACGGCTTGGCGGTATCTGCAGCCTGTCGCGAGAATTCTTTGGGACCTTAAATAGAACGCTGTTGCCGTTAACAAACATAACCTAATAGCACGACTTTGTTTATTCTTTCATTCTTTCAAGTCACCAGGAGTTATACCGGATAAACGGGCACAGACAAGCTTTCGTCATTGCCTGTGAAGGGATCAACCAGGAAACATGGCGGAGGCAATGGACATTGATATCAAACGACCCGATGAGCCTAGCGCGCGCAGTGGCTTTGAGCTTCCTTGGGTGAGTTGCGGTTGCCGATGGCCGACTACCTAAAATTGGCGCGCTGAGCTGTCACGCCTCCTTACTGGCTTGCCGCAGCTGGAGAAGTACCGCCCTCAGTTTATTCACGAAATTGTGGGCAATACGGAGGCCGTGGCTCGCCTTCAGGTCATCGCGGAGGAGGGCAACATGCCGAACGTCATCCTGGCGGTGCGTGTCGCCGAAGGCACTGTATATAAGTTGGTATCGTCAACAACCAGATCCAGCACAAGCGAATAAAACAAACGTCAGGGTCCAAAACCCTGCTAAACGAGGCTTCCAAGTACCCGTAACCCCTTGCCACCTTCCCCACCTTCTTCGTTGATGCACTTATCTATGTTTCTCCCCACCACCTAACATTTGCAGGGCCCACCCGGCACGGGTAAGACCACCAGTATACTCTGCCTAGCGCACCAGCTGCTGGGCCCAAACTATAAAGAAGCGGTCCTCGAGCTAAACGCCTCGGATGACAGGTGCGTCGCGCGCTCCTACACAAGATTCCCCATCCACCACCTTCCTTCTTGAGCCCACGCTTCAGGCCTACAGAGGCTACATTCCTAATAAACCCACTAGGATTGAATGCTGCTTTCCGGTGCCTGTCCATTGCACATACACTGCCTTATCCACCTGCTTCGCAACCCCAGCCGAGGCAACTCAAATGCTTGCTGGATCCTGTCGTTGTTGCTGCCGCTGCAGAGGTATTGACGTGGTCCGAAACAAGATCAAGTTGTTTGCGCAAAAGAAGGTGACGCTGCCACCGGGCCGCCATAAGATTGTTATCCTGGATGAGGCCGACAGGTGCGGAGCAGGGGGGTGGGGGGAGGGCGCAGGCGAGCCTCATGGCTCCCAAGCGGGGTTTCAGGGGAGGGGAGACAACTAACTAACTAACCGGCGAGGGGAGAGCGAGCCTTTTCTGGTTTGGGGCCCATGCAGGCTGTGGGTGTGGTGGTGATGGTATCAGTGGTGGTGCGGCCCTGGGAAGGGAAGAGCCCTCGCCCATGAAGTTTCTGAAGCCGACGTGCTTCGGGGTATGGGACTGGGACTCCAGTAGCGTCATTTTTCATTCATCCTTGCCCCCTTCCCCAGTGCTGCACTCCTCACTTATCTTTTCCCCCCACCCCGCCCCCACCCTCGCCCCCCCCACCACCATGCGGAATACGTCTCCCTCCTGTCCCCCCCCCCCCCCGCGCCGACCCCTCCCCCAGCATGACCTCCGGCGCGCAGCAGGCGCTCCGCCGTACCATGGAGATCTACTCTTCCACCACCCGCTTCGCACTCGCCTGCAACCAATCCTCCAAGATCATCGAGCCCATCCAGAGCCGCTGCGCCATCGTGCGGTACAGCCGCATATCGGACATTGACATCCTGGCGCGGCTGCGGGTGGTGTGCGAGAAGGAGGGGGTGAGACGTGCCGGGGGAAGCCTCGGGGGAAGGGGGAGGCGGAGTGGGGAAAAGGAGTAGGAAGCGAGGTTAAGCGGAAAGGGAAGAAGTTGGAGTGGGGTTGAGGTCGCTGGGTAAACGGTTTTGGGTTTTGGGGGTTTAGCGACTCGGTTCTAGGAACTGCTGCTATCGGGGTAAAAAAGCGGTAATGTTAGGGTTGGTGGGAGGTCGCAGTGTTGAGCTCCCTGTGGTGTTTGGGCCCGGTGTGTGCAGGTGACGTACAACGACGAGGGCATGGAGGCGATCATCTTCACGGCGGATGGCGACATGCGGCAAGCGCTCAACAACCTGCAGGCAAGTGAACCATGCATGGTACTCTCTCAGTTTGCATGCAGCGCTGCGTATTCCAACAGGGCCTTCCGCCTGTTTGTTGGGTTCTCTGGTCCTTGATCTGCCGCTCGTCTCTTACCCTTCCGCTGCTGCTGTCCTTCGGTGCTGCCCTTCCTGTCCTGCGCCCGTCTTATCCCCAACATGTTCGTAATACCCACCACCATCCCCTCCGCCCACCCCACTGTCCCACGGGTCGGCAGGCCACCCACAGCGGCTTCGGCTTCATCAGCCAGGAGAATGTGTTCAAGGTGTGCGACCAGCCGCACCCCAAACTGGTGAGAGCAAGAGGGGAGGAAGGGAAATGAGAAGCGAAGCAGCGGAGCCCCAATCCCAAGTCCCGACTCATGTAGTGAGAGCGAAGGGGGGAGGGGGAAAGAAGAAGACCCAATGCGTTGAGTAAGCTGAGGGGTAAGGAGGAAACAACTAAGGGGGGAGTCAAAGACCATACCAAACCATAGGAGACCACAAGTTAGGGCAAAGCAATGGGGATACATTGTGGGCGACAGGCATGGAGGGAGAAGAAGAAGGGCCAGGGAGGCAGGCAGGGAAACGAAGAAGAGGCAAGGAGGGAGGGCAAAAAAGAAGAGGCAGGCAGGGAGTGCTGGATGCGTATGCAACGAGGGATGGAAGGAGAGCGGGGTACCGATACGGAGGGTTCACCAAGGTTTGCAGGAGGAAGAGGGAAAGGAGGGCGTCTTCCACACCCCCTCCTTGCCCCCAGGTGATGTCCATCATTGAGAACTGCGCCAAGGCGGACCTGGACGCGGCGTACAAGGGCATGAAGGTACGACAGCAACAACTGTGCGACAGTACGAACGGCAATACAGCTGTGAAGGGTCTGGCCGTATAACGCTTTATCCGCTGCCAATAGCTTTCGCCGGTCCAAATCTCCTTTCAAGATGCGAGCCATATGCAGTTGCGGCGCAGACTTGTCTATTGCCGCTTATTCTGGCATTTCACTCCTGCCGTACAATGACTTTGTTGCACACGTGTCGTACTCCTTGCCGTACAGGAGCTGCAGGACATGGGCTACAGCCCCATGGACATCATCACCACGGTGTTCCGGGTGGTGCGCAACTCGGACCTAGCGGAGTTCCTGAAGCTGGAGTACCTCAAGGTGAGGATGGATGCATGACAATGCGGACATTGTGCGCGTTGTGAGTTCTTGTTGCGCGCGCAGCAGGTATTGCGGGAAAGCTATTGGTGTTGGAAGGAAGTAGGAAAGTGTTGTATGGAAGGTCGCGGCTTGTGGTTTACGTTCCTCCGGGTTTGCGGCTGAGGATGTGGGATGGGGCTTGCTTGGAATGGTTTTCTTGGACAACGACTATTTCTATGAAAAGTTCTAATCACAGTTTTCAAATTGCACCCTCGCAGGAGGTCGGCTTCTGCCACATGCGGGTGGTGGAGGGCGTGAACTCCCGACTCCAGCTAAGCGGCTTGCTCGCAAAGCTCTGTTCCAAGACGTTGATGGTGTCGTAGTGGTGTTTGCAACGCATTTTCGACAGGGCCAGGCTCACAATTGTGCCGTGGTCACGGCAGGGCTTCCTGTACAACACGGCCGTGACCAGTATCCGACAATCTGGACGCGATTCCTCTACTGTACAATACGCATTTGTGGAACGCTTAGGCATGGTGCCGTCCTTTGCTGCTCCCGCTGTCGGCTGGGCTGGGCATAATGTAAACTTTGGAGCTTTCAGCCTGGACTCCTTGTATGCTTCGTGTGAACAAGAAATACGCGAACTAGCATTAGAAACCAGTGCAATTGAAGAGGAGTTAGGTTCGCTAGAGCAACACTTACAGTCATTCCTTCTTCAGCAGAACACAGGACCCGGAAACACAAACCCACAAGAAGCTCTATCAGAGTTGCAGCTGGACACAGCCAGAACTATTGACCAGGACCTCCAAACCGCGCCGGAGCAGCCATCCTCTGGCCCTAGCGGTAGGGCCGAAGAAGTAATCGCTCTTCAGCAGCTGCAGCAGCATGACGCGACAACCAGCTTCCAAGCAACCGGTGATCTCGACGCACCTCCTGGCCATGTCGGCACAGGAACCACACCCGAGGTCAACGCTGCCGATGTAATGGCTCCTCAACCAACGGCTGCTCAAACTCGCCGCACCAGCTGCAACGCATCAGCCTCCACAGCCGAACCGTCCCCAACAGCTTCCTGCGATGAAATCAACGGGCGGTTGCGGCAGGTCCTGCGGTTGCTCCGTGACACGGCTGCAGCCTGCCGCCAGCTGCCGGCCCGCGATCAGGACTTTTCCCAGCTGCTGAAGGACATATACAAGGACATCCACGACTCTCTCAAAGCCGCCGTGGGCCCTGCTAAGCGACCCACTCCGCCTGCGGGCCGCGGGGCAAGTCGCCCTCCTGCATCCGCTGCTGCCCCCACCGCAACCGCAACCACCACCACCACAACTGCACCTGCTGCCAACCGCGCCCCAGCAACGAACACCTCAGCACCTCCCTCTACAACCTCAGCCCCAGCACCTGCACCAGCAGTGGCGGCAGCACCCACCGCACCCGCACCCCTGCCCGCCGCTGCAGCTCCTACAGCCACTAGGCCCTCCACCTCCGTCCCCACCGTCCCCACCGCCGCCCCCACCAACTCCTCCTCCTCCGGCGGCCCCGGCCACGGCCCCACCACCACCACCAACAACAACAACAACAGCGCCGCCACCACCACCAGCAACAACAGCAGGGATCTGGCCCCGCTGGCTCGTCTGGTGCTGGCGAAGCGCCTGCGCCACCAGGTTGACGGAGGAGGAGGATCTGCAGCGGCAGCGGCTGGCAGCAACGGTGTTGTACGACATGATCCCGACCAACCGCCAGCCCGGCGGCCCGCACGCCGCTCCCCAGCCGTTATTGCTGCTGCTGCTGCGGCGGCGGCGGCGGGTGGTCTCCCTGGGGGTGCGGCTGGCAGTAGTAGTGGTGGTGCTGGGGGTGGGGGTGGTGCGGCCAGCGCTCGGGGTGTGTTTGTTGCGGCAGGGGCGCCACAGCAGCAGCAGCGTGCCGCAGCTATGGCGGCGATCATGGTAACGGGCCCGGCAGCAGCGGCGCTGTATGCCGGGCTGCCGCCGCCTGCGCGTGTGAGCGCCGCCCCGGCAGCAGCAGCAGGGGTAGCAGGGGCGGCAGCAGCAGCCGCAGCGGCAGCAGCAGTCGGACCGACCCCGCTCCCACCGTCGTCACAACAACAGGGAGGGCAGCAGCAGCAAGGGCAGCAGCAGCAGCAGGGCCCGAGTAGCGCCGCTGCGGTACCCAGGTCCTCCGGATCCGGGTCTGAGCCCGCTGCTGTTGCTGCTGCTGTCCCTCCTACTGCTGCTGCGGTGGCGGCGGCAGCTCCCGGGGCAGCGGCGGGGGAGGGCGGGAGGGAGGCTGGAGGAGGAGGAGGAGCTGCTCTGGCGGCGGGAGGAGCTTGGGAACCACCGCCGCCTCCGCCGCCGCGGTCGTCGTCTTCAGGAGGAGGAGGTGGAGCTGGTGGTGAGGGTGTTGATGGCGGTTTTGGCTGCGGTGGCAGCGGTGCCGCCCGTGCTACCGGTACGGTCGTTGCCGGCGCTGGGAACAACGCGGCGCATGCTGCTTCCGTTGTTGCTGATCACCACCCGGAGGGCAGGAACAGCGGGGCTCCAACACGTCCCGGCGGCGGCAACAGCGGGTGCGGTGGTGGGACTGCTTCTGTGCATGCTGCTGCGAGCACCGCGGATGCTGCCAGAGCGGCGCCTACTGCACCCAGGGGGAACTGCAGCAGCGGCAGCAGCAGCAGCTCTCCCTCCTCTCGCCAGCTGGTCCAGGCGGCCCGGTCGGCAGGTGCGCAGGTGGCCCGCGGCCTGCTCCTGCACACCGCGCAACCGCAGCAGCAGCCGGGCTCCCCTGCCGGCTCGCCGCGGCAACAACCGTCACCACCGCAGCACTCGCCTCGTTGCTCACTGCAGCCGTTGCTGCTGGAACAGCAGCAGGACATGCTTGGATCGCAGCAGCAGCAGCCGCTGCTGCCGTATCCGCTGCAGTCACGACTGCAGCAGGAGCAGCAACAGCTGCAACAGCAACCGCATCAGGAGGTGACGGCAGTAGGGGGTGCATCGCACGCTATGGAAGTCGGGCAGTTGGGCGGGTCATCATCATCAGTGGCAACGACCACATTAACAGCAGCAGCAGCAGCAGTGGCCGCAGGAGTAATAGAAGGAGGAGGAGGAGGTGGGCGTAAGGTTGAGGGTGGTGATGGCGGGGGTGGTGGATCTCCCCGTGGGACCAAGCGACGACACGCGCCGCAGGAAGGCATGGAGGTTGAGCTGGGGGTGGCACAGTTGGGAGCCATTTCATGCCCTGCAGCAGCAGCGGCAGCTTCTGGTGCGGACGCGGGCGGCGAGGGTGTTGCTGCAGGCGGGAGAACGAGGGGTGAGGGTGGGGTTGAGGGTGGGTCGGGGGGAAGCGGTGCTGCGAAGAGGCGTCACACGTAGGTTTGGTACCGGTAGGTGGATGGGTGGGTAGGTGGGTAGGGGGCGAAAAGGAGCTGCGTAGGTGCCGGTAGGAGAAGGGCGCTGGCGTCGCATGGGGGTGAGACATGATGAGTTGCGGTAACTGAACGACTGGGTCGCAAAACTGGAACTCGGATTTGAGAGAGGAGTTGACGTGGTGTGTAAGAGGACGGTCGGTCGTTTGTTGAGGGGGCTTAGGCTGTTAGGCAGCAGGAGGAGGAGTGAGGGGCGGGTGTGTGTGGCTGAGGCGGCGGCGGAATATATACAGGCTTTCAGGGGGTGTGAGGGGTTTATATTATTACGGTGCATGTGTGCACGCTGCACGGGTGGTGATTTGACTTTTGAGCTCATAGGACTGCGGCACACATGCGTGGCGGGGCTTTTGTGAAGCACGCGTTTTTTTGCCTGTTGGCTGTTGCTTCGAGAGGAGGAGATAAGCCTTTCTCCAAGAGGGGAAAGACATGCAACGATGCAAGCAGGTGGTTACCGATAACCTGCACCTGTCCTACCACGCAAGGGTGTTGAATGCTTGGGTTGGGTGGTGCTGACAGGGGTGGCATGGTTGTCGGAAAGGGAATGCTACGACTCCTGATCAAGAAGCTTTCAACCCTGTTGCCAGCCCACGTGCGGTAGGTAGCGGCTGCAGCTTGGGGCTGTGCTTGGCGCTAAGGGAAGTTTACGGGCGGAGCAGAGCTGCATCAGCATTTTGTGGCACAGGAAACAAGGGCATGCAGGCCAGCGGGGGAAGTATGTGTGAACCTTCCGGGTGAGCGACCTTCACAACGCAACCCGAAAGCGAAGTGGAGGAGGAAGCTGACGTGTTCGCATTCTGGGACGTAAATCGTATATCAGTTGCATTGCCAGGCCAGACCATCACCGCCAAGGGTTTCACAAGTTGTTTTCGGTGATAGGCCTGCTTGTCGCTGCCGTCTAGGTGGCATTCCGACATGGTCAACGTTAGATGTCGCCAGGCAGTCCTCACCTATAGGTACCGGTTCTCAACAGACAGGGTTTGAGCATAGTGAAGTTTTCAAGGATAGTGCTGGTATACCCGTTTGTGGTAAGTACGGTTAGCCAGTTTGTTCGGCGACTGCATAACCTGGCAAAGGTGTAATCGCAAACGGAACGGCTTCGTTATTTTGTTAGGAAAGTAGGTGAACGTGTGCAGTCGAACACGGAATGGCGCCATGTTACGCGGGGTTACGCCAACCGCTCGCCCTAACCTCGTTAGTCCGAGGTCCCCAACCCAGTGCCTGCTCCAGCAGCGCAAAGCGTTTCGCTTATGTGATATGTGTAACGTGCGTTATCCTTAACACATATCCGTATGGATGATGACGGAGAGCTGAATGGTGCTGACGCGCCACCTGCTGACATGGGCTGACATGGTTGGTTACGGTTCCTCGCCAATCGTATATATACCAAGGTCTTTCACTCAACGCATAGTATACTAATACACATTCATCAATTACTATTCGGGAATTTACTTTTCTCATCCATAACATTGTCGCGTCGTTCCACCTGCCCTCCAGCTCCATACCCGGACTTATCAGCCAGGCTACAAGCAAGGCCGCATCACTTTTGCGAGCAAAGCGTTATCGATTGCTGCTTCCAGAGCTAAACATCACGCACAGCACGGTTTCTTTGCTTATAGTCGACAACCGCCATGGCCTCCTTTATGGGTGCTGAGGTAGCAGCGGATGCTATCCTAATCGGAAGGGTGAGTAGCGTACATATTTGTTGCCATGCATTGATAGTCGGCCTTCGTATCAGGCGACATGTGTCTTGGTCCATAGCCCTAACTTGCTTGTGCTTACCTGCTGGCCTGGCCGGCCTGGGCCGCTTCTGCACGCGTTACAACTGACATCCGCTTATGCTCCCGTATGAACGCGCATGCAGTACTTTGGTCGCACTGCTGCAACGTCGGCCCTGTCCCGAGCAACGGCATCGACTACAGCATCATCTGCGGCAACCCGCGGTGTAGCTGGCACCACAGAGGGTAAGTGAAGCATGGATAATCATTCTGTAAGCTCTAGTGCTCTTATAATATACGAAGCGACGTCGTCAACGCCTGGGCAGTTGCTTCGACTAGGGTTTTCCCGCCTGGGATGGACTACCGTTCCTGCTACCGCGGCTCCTAGGTCTAAGCCTTTCTTCAAAACGTATGGCTTAAGGCCCACATATATTACTTTCCTTGCTTTCTTAGCAACATATCTTGTCCGCCCTTTGCTACCATTTGGCTCTTGCAAATCGACATTTCCGCCCCGGCCCTACTTCCTGGCCGCTCCTTCCCACACCGCTTCCCGCAGGTGACGGCCCCGGTGTGCGTATGACGGCCACCTCGGCCTCCTCGGGAGCTGCTCTACCCGCTGGCATGTCGGCTGCAGGAACCACGGGTGTGGGCGCCGTGCGATTCATGTCAATGTTCGGTGGACATCGGCGCGCGGTGGACCCGCTTATCGCCGGTGCGGTCAACCATTAAGCCCACTAATAAAGGTGCTTTCTTTCTGGTTGGCGCCATCGAAAGATTCGGGATGCGGTGGCGGCCGTCAAGCGCTGCTGTTGAGATGGTGTGGGTGATGTTGAATCGGCAGCGTCATTCGGTGCAGTAGGGGTGGAGGGGCCATGTTGAGCTGGACCCCGTTAGAGCTTATGCATTTGCTGGAGGGGATTTTGTCAGGCGGGAAGGCGCCTGTGTATATATAGACAGGTCAAATTGAGGCCGCTGTACTCTTTTCCGCACGATTGTCGTATGGCGGTAGCGGTTGTACGGATTGTTGCTGTAGTTGTACCATAGGTGATGCGCACCTCGGCGGTTACCGTAAGAAGCATTATTCTTGGAGAGGCAGGCGCGCGGTGTAGGCACATACTTGACTGCTGTATTGCTATCCACTACTTTATTGCTACCCAGACCTAAACAACGACTGTTGTATTAATCGGGTGTGGAGGAAGATTGTATACTACTCTACTTTACTACGACATTCGCTGGGCTCAAACTGTTGCTGTTTCCTTCCATGTACGGCATGTACAGCACGTTTTGAGCTACGGCGGTTAGTAGGGTACGACTGTTTGTACGGAACGGCAAAAGCAAGCCGAGGGCAGTCCTTGCTTGGCTGCCGGGCTGCTGTTGAAAGGAGTTACAGTGTGTCTACACGGCGATGGCGCTTATTCCTCATTTGATCCCCCACGTTAACCGCGGATTAATAATGCGCACAGGGCCTGTGGTGCCATCCATTTGTTGTTGCCTGTCTTGTGTCTGTCCGTACCTACGCACGTAGGCAGTTGGTTAAGGTGGTGACCTCAGTTACCATACACATGTTACTTGCGGTGTGCTTTTTTTTCGGGAACATGTACGGTTGTATTTCGGACCTTTGTGCTGATCCTCTGTGCCTTGGCTTCTCAAGCGTAGATATGCACAACACAAAGCTTTGGTGGAGTATTGCGGTAGGGCGTCTGCGTGATGAGGAGGTTACATTCCATGGGATTTCTCATGAACACGGAACAGGGGCGGTACAGGATTAGGGATGGGGTTAGGATTAGTAGTCCGGTTGTTCGACCAATTGATGGTTGTTTGGTTATGTGTCATCAGTTCAGATGGATTGATACTGGTACGTTTGCAAACTAGGTTATTTGTCTTGACAACACTGATAGCGTACGGCTTACAAACAACACTACCGTATAATATACGTGTACATTTAACAATATGCAGAGATCGAACACAGCGGCTCTGACCCATGGCACCATCATCAACACTGAGTGAATGGCTGAATTACGGCAGCAGAGGGGCACCAAATCCACGATGGGTGGTCATGCAATCTATCCTTTCTACCAACACGTTCTCATGAGATCCATATAGCCATGAGAATAAAAGAGCTGACACAAAAGTAGTTAACAACGATATCAAACCATATCCCACCCTCCCCACTCAAAAACACCAAGCTCCTGGGCCACATGGAAAAAAGAACACATCATCAAATATTGCAGGGCGCTAAACTACCCTGTGCTAGTACAGGCCGGTCTAGCATTCCATCCCCATCGCACATGTGCGACACTAGATGCGACTTGCACTGCGCAGTATGCCGCCGCCGCCGAATCAATTTGCAAGTAAACCACATGGCGCAAACTTGCGCACCAGGCCACAACATCATAACAGTACATACACAGCCACACATGCATACCCTGGACAGTCCGCTTCCGCAGAAGGTGGCTGAAAACTATCTAACCAGCAGTCTCGCGGCCAGTTTTCTTAATATACGAGCTGGACGTTTGGCTGCTACCAGCCATGTCTTTGTCCGCCCCTCAAACTGCCCTGTTCTGCGAACAAACCCGCGAAACAACTGCAGACACTTGGAATGGCATCAGCTTACTAGACCCCCAGCGGACCGGAATGACAGCGCCGCATGTTTTGACCAGGAGACATGCGGCGCTGTCATTCCGATCCGCTGGGGGTCTATTAAGCTGATGCCATTCCAAGTGTCTGCAGTTGTTTCGCGGTTTTGTCCGCAATCAAAACAGGGGCACGACGGTGAGACCTGCTTAAACCACCAAAAGTGAGCAGTGCTGCCCCATGCATTCAGCAGCACCCGAATGCAGCTCCCCAACCTCTCACCCCCACCCCGACCATCCCCCGCTCATTGCAGAAGGCATGCCTGACTGCCTGACCCCGCAAGGCCCCGCCTACAATTGTGTGTGACACTACATGCAGGTGCGCCGGGAATGGAACGCAGCAGAGCACTGGGTGCAACCCAGCGGTCACCAGCCAGCAGCTCTCCCACCACGCCTGGCAGTCGCTGCTGCAATGAGGGAGGGGGAGGGAGGGGGAGGGAGGGGGAGGTTGGAAAAGGATGTCCGCTGGCATGACATGACTAGCAGTAATGCCACAGCACAGGCATTGCAACCAATAAGGCACTCGCTGAGGGCAACACGGCAGGGAAGGGGGAGGGTGAGGTATACATTTTGCACCTGATTTATTCCCCGCCCTGCCTGCTCTCAACACCGAGGTACACATCTTGGAAGCAAACCTGATTCCCTCTAGCATGGTTCAGCCGAACAGGAAAAGCTCTGCAGCAGCAATCCCCAATTCCCTACCTCAGGCGGCGGTCTGAGGCGTGTCGGCGGCCGGGGGCGTGTTGGTGTCCTTGACGAACTTCCAGATGTTGACCCACTCGGTGCCGGATCGCAGCATCACGCGCTCCACGACTGAATCCTTGGGCCGGCGAGCTGAGTTGTTGCCCACGTCGAAAGGCGTGTTGTCGCTCTTCTCAAGGAGGTCGACCTCCGCTTTCTCCAGGCGCCTGGCAGCATACCAGCTGTGGTACTGCTCGAAGGTGTTGTTGAAGTACTCCGACCAGAGCTCATCCTTCCCCTTTGCACGCAGCTTCTTCTGCAGCTTCGCGTGCGCCCGATCCGCCACGTAGCGACGGACAACGTTGCCGTACTCCCCCGACTCGACCTCCAGGTCCTCGATCCGCTTGTCGATCGTCTTGAAGTGGTCGAGAAGGCTGACTATCTGCTCTTCTTGCTTCTTGGCCGTCTGGACGAGGGAGTCTATCGTGGCGTCCTGGCGTGAGCATATCTTCTCCAAGCTTGCTATCAGGGAACTCTGGTCTGAACCCTGCGTTCTCAGCTGAACGTGACCGTCCTCCAGTGTTGCCACGCGCTTGAAGAGCTTCTTGAGGACGTCGGCGGCGTTGATCGTGACCTCGCCATGCTGGTCGTAAAACGTCTGGGCCGTGGCATCAATGTCGCTTAAGGGGGCCACGTCGTCGCCGAATTTCGCAATCAGATCCTGGTCCTCCATTCTCAGTAAATGTTACGAACTTTCTGTGTATCTGAAGCCGACGTCGCAGCCAACCGGCTCTGGAACCGACTCCCCTGGAGTCCGCGGACAGCAGGTTCTCAAGGATACAAGGAATCAGTTATCAGTAGCCTCAAATTTCAGCACACCCAGAAGTAGCTTTATAGCGTAACCGTTTATTATAAATGTCTCCTGCCAGCAAACAGGTTTGGTTGACTTGTTTTCCATGTTTCCATATTTTCCCATATTTCCATACTTACGCACGTTAATGCCCAACGTCCCGTCTTCCTTACACGCTAATTGTATATAATGACAAGTCAGGTCAGCCTTCGGCGGGAGCTACCCGTAGCTCGGTGAAGGGACGCGTACACTCGAAGATAATGGGAGGTATCGTCGCCGTGGCAACTGCATACGGCATACACCATATGGCGTGAAGGGGCCAACGAATGATGCAGTATAACATGAGCTGTAGCCGTTGTTTGCTTGAACTTGCCGCACCCAAGGCTTTCACTCCCCACTTTCGTCCTCCTCTCAAATCCACTGCCAGATGGGCAGAGCATTAGCCTTGCCAGCTCTGCGCCTGCCTTCCGCTGCTCATCCCCCTGCAGCGCTTGGCATACCCCTGACGGTGCCTGCCCAGTATCGGGCCCCCCCTTGCGCTTCCCCGCACGGTGCCTACATTCCCCGTGCAGTTATTTCCCCGACCGCCCAACTAGTTGAGGCCATGTCGCAGGCATCCTCGCCCTACCCGATTACCGGCGCTCTTGTGTGCATGCAATGCTGAGCCCTGCTAAAACATTGGCGCTTATGGTCGTCGTTACGCTTTGTGTAACCACAGAGTGTACCCCATGTTCCCACTTGGCAAAATAAGGCGAACACAGGAAATAAAGGATAGCAAGTGAGTGGAAATCTTTATATGTCGGCCGTGTACCTCGCCCATTGCACGCCATACCGGAGAGGAAGCTGCGGGCGACATGTGCGACCTCGAATCCAAATACACACGATACATACCGCACCACGCTCAACACTACAAGCCATATAACCAGTAAGCTTCATACATTACATAGAAGAAAAAAGTACGATAGGGGGATACAGTAGGGGGAGGAAAGGCCGGCTTTTCATATCCGGTAAACGCCACTCGCACAATTTTGCTTTCAGGTCAAATTTACAAACAGTAGGTAGGTTGCATGTGCTGTATGACACTGAGAAGCGACAACTGAGCCGGCTTTCCATTGACGAGCCACTTTTCCATTGCACATTGAACGCTCGGCGAGAGTTAGGCCCGTGGGTCATGGCAGCGTTCCTATGACTCAATGTCCAGTACCATTAACAATTATGCTTAACATATAACTATCTTCGCGTAGTGAGCGCGTTGCCGGCTTGCAGCCGGTGCTAACCGCAGCGTTGGGACCCCAAACCCCAAACAGCAAAGCTTAAGGGGATGCATTGTCTATACACATAAGTATAGTGTACATAAATATTGAAATGGGAATGGGTGGCAATTTCGGTTGCATACTGAGCATCGTGCGTTTGGAACCCATGTACGTAAGAGCCTCCCAGGGTTCCTCACCAACGTCATTTCACATAAATGCGGACGCTCTAGGTGAGTATACGTTGATCAATTGCGGGACTGCCTATACGTTCACAGTGAGTCCTGGGAAGGAAGGCATAGACAGTTGCAACACCAACGCTTTCGACTAACGCACCCTTTTCCTCCTGCAAACCTCACCGCCTGCAAAACGGCTTATTATTCATACAGGGCAGCATGGCCCAGCGACAGTTGCAGCTCAATCGGGTTGCTGGTGGTGCGCCTGTGGCGACTTCTAGGCGGTCCACGCGCCTTGTGCCTGGTCGGACAGCGTTGCGCGTTTCTGCTGTAGCTGAAGCCGACAAGACGGCGGCCATCAACAAGAGCGGCACCTCGTCGGTGCCTGCCACCACCAAGGACATTGAGAATAAGCTGCGATACTTGTTTGGTCGCAATGAGGTATCCACGCCCAACGACGCTTACCAGGGCACCGCATGGAGCGTTCGAGAGCGGCTGATCGATGCGTTCAACAAGACGCACGAGCACTGGAAGTAAGCGTCGGGATGACTTCTCCTATCCGCCGTCCTGTCGCCCTGCCTTGTTATGCATCCTCCACGCAAATGTGCGTTGAATTTTTTTCACTTCCTCCACACGTAGCTGATCTGAGGCATTCGCGTAGCCAAGGGTTGCTCATTTCCGCGCCCTCGATCTCATGGGCAACGCTAATTTACTCATCTCCTCCTCGCCCTGTTCCCAACCTCAGGAAGGAGGATCCAAAGTTCATCTACTACCTCTCTGCAGAATTCCTTATGGGCCGCTCGCTCACCAACACCGTCTTCAATCTAGGTCTTCAGGGCGATTACGCCACGGCCCTGAAGGAGCTCGGCCAAAAGATGGAGCAGGTCGCAGAGGCCGAGCGTGACGCAGCATTGGGTAACGGCGGTCTGGGTCGCCTGGCCGCTTGCTTCCTGGACTCCATGGCGACATTGGACCTGCCGGGCTGGGGGTACGGCATCCGCTACAAGTACGGCATGTTTAAGCAGGTACGGCAGCGTCGTACCATCGAAGCGCTTACGATATGATGGTTGCGTTGACGGTGGTGGTGGTGGTTGCGGTTGCTGGGGCCCGGCTCCCCTGGTGAATTGCCGTACCGCAAAGGAATGCGGAAGACTCTCAGGCTCTCTCCCCCCCACGCTGTCCCCTCCTCCCTGGCGCCTCTTGGCTCCCCGCCTTCCCTGCCAAGCAAATGCGGAATGCTTACCCCAATAACCCCCCCCCCTTTCGTTTTACCCCCCAAACCCCCTCAGGCCCTCAAGGACGGCTACCAGCAGGAGCTACCCGACATCTGGCTAACCAGCGGCAACCCCTGGGAGGTACGGCGGGACGACGTACGGCACATGGTGGGTTTCGGAGGCCGCGTGGAGCGACGGCGTGAGGCGGGCGGCCGGGAGGTGGCGGTGTGGACACCGGCGGAGCAGGTGAGGGGGTGGGGGACGAAAGGGGGGGGGTATTTTGTGGGGGGAGAGGTACGCCGCCACGCGTGCCTTGGCAAAGTGCACAGCCCCGCCCTTGGATGCTTCCAGCTCCTATTCAGCCTGCAGGAGGGTGGGCCCACTCGCCTGCAAGGGGGGGGGGCCCTGCATGCACCTCTGGGTGTCCAGGCGCCTGGTCGATCCGGGCCGCCCCCCCCCCCCCACCTGATCTCCCCGCCGCATGGCTCCTGCATGGTCGCTTAGGGATTAGTTTAATACTCCATTGTGCATGCTACAGGGGGTTTGGCAGGGGTGCATGCTAAACGGGGGGGTTGGCAGGGGCGGTTGGGAACCCACATGCGCTCGTAACAGCGCATCCAGGGCATTCACAAATACATTGGGTTTAACACCCGCACGGCACACAGCACAGGGTGGAGGCGGGTGTCGTTGTGCAGCCCTCTTTGGCGGCGGCACTGCCCCCGCCCCCACCCCTGCCCCCGCCTCCGCTGTAGTGACATCCGCCTGCCGCGCAGCCCCTTACTTCCCACCCCAAGTAAGGGGCTGCGTAGCAGGCGGAAGTCACTACAGCGGAGGCGGGGGCAGGGGTGGGGGCGGGGGCAGTGCCGCCTACTTTAACTTGTGGACTGCTGTGCTTGCTCTACACGTTGTCGATGCTGCTGCTGCTGCTGCTGCTGCTGTTGCCTATATACCACCAACTCATCCTCTCCCTTACCCTTCCCTCTCCCATCCTCTTCCCCTCCCCCTCCTTCTCCCTCCTTCCCCCCTCCCCCATGCAGGTCATCGCGCAGGCCTACGACAACCCCATCCCCGGCTACTCCACCCCCACCACCAGCAACCTGAGGCTGTGGGACGCGCTGCCGCTGAGCGAGTTCGACCTGGCGGCGTTTAACGCGGGCGACTATGATAGGGTGAGTGGGGGTGGGCGGGGGGAATAGGGGAAGGGGGGTGCTGGGAGGTGGGATTGAGGACACTGACGGGGCAGCCAACGAGCTGTGTGTCAAGTAGGCCTCATATGGGGGTGCAAACATGGTAGCCGGCCCATCCCGCCCTGCCCCGGGGCCAGGCCCACCCCACCACCCCAAAACCGACACCCACCCACCCACAGTGCATTCCGACTCGCGGCCAGTTATCCCACCACCCCAGAACACACACACATCCACACCCACACCCCTCCCCCTCCCCCCCCAATCCAGGCCATGTTGGCTCGCGAGCGCGCCGAGGCCATCAGCGCCGTGCTCTACCCCAACGACTCCACCCCCGAGGGCAAGGAGCTCCGGCTCAAGCAGCAGTACTTCTTCGTGTGCGCCTCCCTGCAGGTGGGGGGTGGGGGAGCTGGGGAAATGGGAGGGGTGGAATCTCGGGTTCTTGGTCTGATGGCCTCCCCCCCTAGGTACCCGGGGGCCGGAGCTCCATGACAGGTGACACTAGCCCCCCCGCACTGGCACCTTGGCCGCCTCCTCTTGTCGCCTCTCCCCCTAGGTGCTGTCACGTGCCCGAACACTTCGGTCCCCATCGCTTTGCCCTAACCTGAGTCTTCCGATGGTCTGGTATGGTCTTTGAACCCCACCCAATCCCCGCCCTCCCCTTCTCTCTCCACGCGCAGGACGTGTTGTCGCGGTTCAAGGCGACCCACGGGTCAGCCCGGTGGGACCTGCTGCCCTCCAAGGCCGTGTTCCAGCTGAACGACACGCACCCCACCATTGCGGTTGCGGAGCTGATGCGGCTGCTGGTGGACGTGGAGGGGCTGGAGTGGGACGAGGCGTGGGGGATCACAACAAAGGTGGGGGGGGAGGGTCAAAGACCATACCAAACCATAGGAGAGAAGGGGGTAAAATGAGGGAACTGAAGGGGTGTGGGGGTTTGCATGGGAAGGGAGGGGGGAGCGGAGGGAGGGAGGGAGGGAGGGAATGCATGGGGGGGAAGTAGTGAGGTGGAGGGCGCTTACTCCGGCATCGCGGCGTGAGGGCACTGCCAAGGGGGAGGGGGAGGGTACCCGCCTATGCATGTTGCCGCTCCCCAACCAGCGCCCTCCCTCCCATCTCCACCCCCTCTTGCACATCCCCCTCTCCCCTCCCCCCCTCTCCCCTCCCTCCTCCCGGCTACCATGTTTGCACCCCCCATGGTGAAGCCTACATGTCATACAGCTCGTTATCAGTTGCTTCGGCAGTGTGTCTCATGATAGGTATATTTTTTACTCCCCCTGCTCCCCCCCTCCCCTCCCCTCCCCCCCCCCCTGCCCCCCAGTGCCTGAACTACACCAACCACACGGTGATGCCCGAGGCGCTGGAGAAGTGGCCGGTCAAGGTGATGGCTAAGATGCTGCCCCGCCACATGGAGATCATCGAGGTGGGGGGGAGGGATTGGTGGGGTTGAAGGAGTGACCCGTGGGTCGTTGCGGGGTTCAACACCGCGTTCGTCCCACCGGGCCCTAGCTACTACCACCTCCACCTCCCCACCCACCCACACTGCCCACTGCGTCGTCATCTGGTTTCCCAATCTCAACACACACATTTGGGTTTTTCTCTTTCCGCCTTCCCCCACGTCCCCCCTCCCGCCCCCACCCCAGGTCATCAACGAGGGCTGGACTCAGTGGCTGTCCGCCCACCTGGCCTCCGAGCTGCCCGCACCCGAGGAGCGGGCCAAGCGCATCGCGGCCATGTCCATCATACATGAGAACCCCTGGAACAAGGAGGAGATGTAAGAGAGGGGGGGGTTGGGTGACCCGTGGGTCGTTTTGGGGTTTGGGTTGATGTAGTACTTTTGGTTGATTAACCCCCCCTCGGGCTTGTCGGCTAGTTTGCCTCCACTATCACACACCACACACTTTGGAACTTCTTCTTTTCCCTCGCACATTGGATATTCTTTCTTCTCCCCCCCTCCCCCCCCCTCCCTCCCCCATTGCTTTGCCCTAACTTGTGGTCTCCTATGGTTTGGTATGGTCTTTGACCCCCCCTCCACCCCCCTCCCCCTCCCCCCCATCAGGCTGGTCAACATGGCCTACCTGGCTGTCGTAGGCTCCTCCGCGGTGAACGGAGTGGCGGCCATCCACTCCAACATCGTCAAGGACGAGATCTTCAACGACTTCTACAAGGTGGGTTTGGCGGGGGGGGGAGAAGGGGGGGAAGGGGGGGTTCCTAGGGGGTTGGTCCTGGTGCGTTGTGTGAGGTAGAAGGGGGCTGTCAGCCTGACCACAGCGAACCACCATGATAGGCAACAGGTGGTTGGGGCCCCAATGTGATTCTCAATGGGGGTGGGTGAGCGGCAGGGTAGTACTGTCGTACAGTGAACCCCGGACTGTGAACCCGGCCCCATGCGAGTTTACCCCCCCCCCCCTTCCCCCGCCCCCGCCCCCCCCCCCGCCCCCCTTCAGATCTTCCCCTCCAAGTTCCAGAACAAGACCAACGGCGTCACCCCCCGCCGCTGGCTAGCCTGGTGCAACCCCGAGCTGGCGGACCTTATCACACAGCAGCTGGGCAGCGACGCATGGTGAGAAGGGGGGGGAGAGGTGGGGGGGCCGGGTGGGGGGACGGAGGGTAAAGTAACTGACAACTGACGAGGCAACTGATAACGAGCTGTATGACATGTAGGCTTCACCATGGGGGGTGCAAACATGGTGGCCGGGGGGGGGAAAGAGGGGTTGGGAAGCCAGAGACGTCGCAACCCGCAACCCACCCACCCGCAACCCGACATCAACCCCCAGCAGACACCAGCATTGTAAATGACTGCCGCAATGGTTTCCTCCTTGCGCTGTCCTGATCCTGCAGCTGCCGGTTGGCCCACCGGCTTCCTTAATTGAACCACCCCCCCAAACATCCTCTCCCCCCCAAAGGATTAACGACACGGCTTCCTTACTCCTCACCCACCCCCCCGAAACTCCCCTCCTCCCCCCCTTCCTCCAGGATCAACGACACGGAGCAGCTGACTGCCCTGCGCACCCACGCCTCCGACCCCGCCTTCCAGCAGCGCTGGGCGGCTGTCAAGTCCGCCAAGAAGGAGCGGCTGGCGGGGCTGATCAAGCGCGTGTGGGGTGAGGAGGTGAACACGGCGGCGCTGTTCGACATCCAGGTGTGTGTGTGTGGGGGGGGGGTTTGCGTGAGAGGCTTGCGAAACCCTGCTCTCCTACGGCTGCTCATCCCCCTTTTGCCATCGTTCCGCCGTCACTGCCAACCGCTGCCTTTTCTCTCCTTCCGTCACCCCTGGCTCCGTCAACCCTCCCTCTCCCCCTTGGGTCTTCTTCTTTTCTCCCCTCTCCCTTCCCCCCCTTCCCCCCCTCAACTTGTATTATTATCACACCACACTTTGGAATTTGTTTTTCCCCCTCCCCCTCCCCTCTTCCCCCCCTTTCAGATCAAGCGCATCCACGAGTACAAGCGCCAGTACCTCAACGTGCTCTCCATCATCTGGCGCTACAAGCAGCTCAAGCGCATGAGCCCGCAGCAGCGGCTGCAGGCGGTGCCGCGAGTGTGCGTGATCGGAGGCAAGGTGAGAGCGAGCAGGGGGGAGGGGGGGGGCAGGTGGGCGGCGTTGACCCACAACCACCCTGTCTCCCCCGCAGGCCGCCCCCCCCCCCACCCACTCCCCTCCCACATGAAGTTCTCCCACCTTTTCTGCATCGTTCAACTCATCATACTATTCCCCCCCCTCGGTTTTTCCATCAGGGCTTGTTGGCTAGCTGTGCCACTCATACACCACGCATTGGAATTTCTCCACCCCCCTTCCTCCTACCCCCATTGCTTTGCCCTAACCCGTGATCTCCTATGGTTTGGTATGGTCTTTCCCCCCCCATTCCCCCTCTCCAGGCCGCCTCCGCGTACGACATGGCCAAGCGCATCATCCGGCTGGTGACCGCGGTGGGGTCCGTCATCAACGCCGACCCCGACACCCGCGACTACCTGCGCCTCTACTTCCTGCCCGACTACAACGTGAGCCTGGCGGAGACCATCATCCCCGCGGCGGAGCTGAGTCAGCACATCAGCACGGCGGGTGAGGGGGGGAAGGAGCGGGGGCGAAGGGGGGGGAGGTGGAGGGAATGGGGGAGGGGGAGGGAAGTCAGAGAATACACACACGCATTCCCGCGCACCCCCATTCCGCCACACACACGCCCCCCATGCAGGCACTGAAGCCTCCGGCACCAGCAACTCGAATGCCCCCTTCATATCCCCACCTTTTCCCTTCCCCAAAACACATACACACACACGCTCACCCACCAATGCCCCCCCCCCGCTCCGGTCCCCCCCCCCCATGCAGGCACCGAGGCCTCCGGCACCTCCAACATGAAGTTCGCGCTCAACGGCTGCCTCATCATAGGCACCTGGGACGGCGCCAACATCGAGATCGCGGAAGAGACGGGGGTGGAGAACGTGTTTGTGTTTGGCGTGCGCGCGGAGGACATCAACGGCCTGCGCAAGGAGCGCAAGAACTTCAAGACGGACCCGCGGTAGGGAGGGGGTTGTGGGTGTGGGTAGGAGTGGGGGAGGGGGAGGGGACGTAGGTAGGAGGGGACGTAGGTAGGAGGGGAATGCAGATACCGGATATGTGTGGGAACGGAGCGCGGGTCCGGGGGACTGGCAAGCACACCGGTACATGCTTGTGCGGGCAGACAAGCAGGCGTGTAGTGGGGCAGGGGTGCGCAAACACACAAGGAGCAGCACCCATCTCCTCTCGCAACACAACACAACACAACACGGACAAGCCGCCTATGGGTTGTGTTCCCTTCTTGCCTCTCGTGCTTCTCCTGCTCCGCCCCCCACCTGCTCCTAACCTGTGGTCTCCTATGGTTTGGTTTGGTCTTTGACCCCCCTCCTGCCCCCGACCCGACCCGCCCTGTTCCCTCTTTCCCCCCCCCCCCCCGCCCCCCAGTTGGGATGAGATCATGCGCGACATCGAGGGGGGTATGTTCGGAGACAAGGAGTACTTCAAGCCGCTGGTGGACAGCGTGAACAACATGAAGGTAGATAGGGGGGGAGGGGGGAGGGAGGGGAAGAGGGGCTGGTGGCTGCATGGCTGAATGGTGATTCCCCCCTTGTTATTTAACCCCATCCTCCCACCCCACCCCCTCCACCCCACCCCCCCAGCTGTCACTCAACGCATGGTTCTTCCTCTTCTCCCCCGCCCCCTCGAACCCCCACCCCCGGTCATACACTTCGTCCGTTTCTTAAGTGTATGCTTTTCCCTTCCCCTCCGCCTCCCTAACATCCCACTCCCTCCCCCGGTTCCAGGTCGGCAACGACTGGTTCCTGCTTGCCAACGACTTCGCCGCCTACCTGGACGCGCAGCAGCAGGTGGACGAGTGCTACCGAGACCAGGCGGAGTGGCTGAGGAGGTGAGGGGGGGGGGTAACAACGGTGTAACAACGGGGGGGAGGGGCAGGGGGGAGGGGGAGGGGTAAACGTGAAGGAAACAAGTTACCGTGCTAGGGGGGAGGGGTGAGCAGGGCTATGTGGCACGACGTTGCTGGCAGGGAAACGGATCCTTGACCCACACCGTGTACTTCTCACTTTCTCATCTAATTCCCCCCCCTCACCCGTCTTTCAGTTCGTCAGTTTTCCTTATTTTTACCTCACCTGAGGCTTCTGGTGGTGTGGTATGGCCTTTGACTCCCCCCCCTTCCCCCCGCTCTCCCCGCCCCGGAAGGTCTATCATGTACACCGCCGGCAGCGGCAAGTTCAGCAGCGACCGCACTATTCGGCAGTACGCGGAGGACATCTGGCACGTGGGCCCCTGCAGGCCGCCGCCGGCAGCAGGGGGGCAGCAGTAAGCGGGGAGCTGGAAAAGGGAGGCAGGGAGAGGAAGCGGGGGGAGGAGGAGGGCGAGCGGGAGGCAGGTCCGTAGCGGCAGTGGCTTGAGGTGGGCTTTGCTAGTCGAGCCGTTACGGCGATGAGAGGCGGAGCAGATGAGGTGATGTACGGCTGGCTCGAGTGTGGGCGGGTGTGGGGTATGAGGGTGGGTGGGTTTCTCGGTGTGTGTTTGTTCTGGAGTGTATAGAGCTTGTTTGCTTGTTTCCATGTCTGCTTGCTTGCTAGCTACAGCTTGCTTGCTTGCTTGGTTCTAAGACTTCCAGGGTAGGCAGGTGAATAGGGAGGCGCCTCTTCTGTTGTGAAGCGGGGCCATGTGTCATGGACCATCGCACAATCATCATACACATCATCAGCACCATTCTTTGTCATCATTGTCATATCCGAGGAATTGCATCCGAGGAATTGCGGTGTTGGGGGGCGACGGTTGTGTCCGCTGTGCAGGGCAATACCCGCAGCAACGCGTTGACGAACATGTTGCATGCCGTGTCGTGTCGTGTCGGGGGGGACAGCGGATAAGCGCGGGTTGTAGGAGGGGGAAAGCGCTACGTTGTGTGGAAAGGTGGTATGAGTTGTGGAACGTGTGTTCGCTTCAATTGTATTCTTTCACACCTCGACTCGTTTGCTTCGTAATTAACGTAGTACAAACCTGTACGATTAAGTTGAAATGGAGCTAGGAGGATGGGTTTGGGACTCTGGGTTGTAACAATTAGAGGAGAAAGTTGTTGACATATGCCCGGACAAGTGTTTCATGCTTTATTGGCAAAGGTATGTTCCATTGCGACTCGTTGCCACGCTTGCCATCAACACGTGCCCAGAGAGCCTTGACTCGCATTTCATCCTTTCTCTCACTCTCACTCTTGCTCCGAGGCACGTGCCGTACCGTTCGAAAACTACCATACGGCAACATAACTCCGTACGTGCCGACAGGCATTCATGACACGACTTCCCATTACCCACTCTTCCTCACGCTTGCAATGCTGTTGCATTCGTTACCGCCTACAAGCGGCCATCATAGCGGTACTCCTGAACACGTGACGCCCAAATCCTCGATTAGTCACCCTACCCACCCACACCCCGAAGACCAAACAGACCCATGGGTCAACAGTTTGTGGCACTCCTAATGCAGAGATGCCTGATGCCAGCACAGTGGCATACCGTACCCACACACAGGCGATCACCAACTTATCCCAACTGTTTGCTCATGTTTCCGCTCAACTACACAGGTGATCACCACATATAACACGTTCATCGGTTGGAGGTTGCCAAACCAGCATCGCTGCCAAACCCACACAGAAAGCCGCACCACCGTCAGCATCACCTCTTGGCACGCGCACCTGCCCTGCCACTGACTGTTTACACACACAAGCAAAGGGTACATCCCACCACCCACTCGCCGAAAAGGACACGGGCGGTACCCAGTATACATACCACAACCGGCACAACGTAAAGCGACAGGGAAATGCGGATTACCGGCTGTTTGGCTACCGCTGCTTTTGCGCATTGAAGAATCAAAACATGCTATTAAGGGTATACACGGATATGGATTGGGTGCAAATCAAACTTACGAGGAAAGGCGGCGTCAACTAGCCAACTGCCTACCCAGCTAGCCAGCTGCTTGGGCTTACTACTAAATGCCTGCTGGTCTAATGTATATAACCTAATTGGGCATGTGAATGGACTATGACTGCTGCTGCTACTGTTGACGTAGCCAAAACCTTAAAAGCTTACCGCATTCGAAATATTATAAAAAGGACACCTATCAAGACCTAACCCCTGCATATAACGCGGGTAAACCTCGCTGCAATCACAAGCAGAGCAATAAGGAATTTGCTCACGTCTTGTTAGCTTGGCTTGCCTCTTGCCAAAACGTACACCATCATAACCCGATGCGCTGATCATTTAAACACTTGGATTCAACGTACGGCAAATGTACGATACCCACCCCCGCACCCCGACTCGCGTGCTGCACCCATGACTGTAGATCCATGCTCCTAACAAGGTAAGGCCCGCAATGCATTGCCCAGACAGACATTTATCACTTGTCCCCAGCCGGTTAGTCATCCTTGCAGCCCTTCATTCTGAGGCTTCGGCGGGAGCTGCCGGAGCCCTTTGACCGGGGCCCGTCTTGCAGCCTTAGCAGCAGGTCTCCGCCCATTGACGCACAGCACGTCATGCTGCGCTCCTCTTCCCTGGGGAGTCAAGGATGTATGGCATGCATAAGTATTGGGGGAGGAAATACGGGTTGGAAGAGATACATGGCGGGGACCAGCAACACCTGCAACAGGCAGCCATAGTTGACATACCATGTTTTGTTTGCACTTACGTTAGCGGTCCTTCAAGCCATGCCTTGGCGATATCTGCTGCGAAATCGCGCAGGGCGTTTCCAATTGGCAGCTGGTGTGCGTTCAGGCCATTCTGGGGAGAGGAAAGGGGACGCGGAATCTCAATCGATGAGCACTATTACAAAGGTCGCAATTATGTATGCTACCTCTTGGTCACTGTCTTTTGTGTAAAACTCCCTAAAGGATTTCCCTTGAACGCATGTTGAAAACTGTTATGCTGGCTTCAGCGCTAGATTACCATCTAATCGAAATGAAGTGGAGGCAACTAAAAGCGTAATTACACTTCACGCGGGATTGTGTCGAGTTTTCCCAGATGCAATGCCAAGCATGTTACCAAGCACCTTCCTTCGGCATTCCTTCTACCTTATGACTGCACCCCATTTTGCTTAGCGAAACTCACCATACCCCCGCTCAGCGGCGTTTCGTGACCTCTGCGGGAACGGTGGGCCGAAATATCGGCAAGGGCGCCCATAGCTCCAGCCAGGTCGCCTTTGTATGTTTCCAGGACCGCAGAAACCGTCTCTTCATCAAGAACGCCAAAATGCAGCTGTAAGGCGCTTACTGCCATTCGTAGGTTACTGTGACCTGAGTAGAAGGTGTCCTAATAGTCCGTGATATGCTTAATTGAAGAGAGTTGTTATGTCAGGTATATAATGCGACTTCATATGGGTGTGCGGACAAGACGTCGGTTATAGAACCCGATGCCATGTGTAGGGCTTAGTAATGTTCGCAGAAGTCGTACCGGTACGGGTAAGCGCTTCGAGTAACCAGGTTGCGCCCGGCACAACAAAATGTGATAGTTTCTCCCTTCCAGCTTATGTCGACCGCTGATGGAAATGAATCCGGCGGGCCACGCCGGACTACGGTTCAGGACCAGCAGCCTGAACTAGCAGACAGAGTCAATTGTGCCATTTGGATATGCTCAAGAGCGCTAGCAGTTGACATGCTTTAGGTGCTTTCCTGGTTCGTAAACCTAGTTGACCTGACTTTACGAACCGGCGAAGGAAGGCATTATGGTCCACGCAGCTTAACCTCAGCAACAGATATGCTAAGAAGATATTATGCAAGTTTTCTTTGCGAGGACCCATATTCCTTTGACGTGACTGCAGGTCGTTCTGTGTGAGTGAGTGGAGGGGGCCGAACATATTAAGCGAAGTCAAGGCGATTGGAGTACAGTATGCAACTCGTCGCAAGCTAGAAGACCCATCTAGGTGTGAAATGCGGGTGTTGCTCCTTCTACAAACAGCCATGTGAAATGGTGTATGCGTCTTGGTTACTAGGAATGCGATTGTGTTCGTTCACGGAAGCGTGGCTGTGGCACGCACTTGCAAAGCTACTTGCAAGACTACTTCGGGCTGGAAACTGAAAGACAGGACAGCGAGCCATGCTCAAGCTGTTCGGCATGCGGCAGTCACGTCCCAACGAGACCGATGCATCAACCACCACAACCCAATCTGGGCATTGATACACTGGTGTTGCGCGGCCTTTCTTTAACAGCGGCGAAGTCTCACTGTCTGCCACTTACAGTTACCATTCTAAGACGACTCGCCTTGGGCCTAACGCTTAGCTCTCCAAGGCTCTTAACCGGTTGCTCTGCCTCGCAAGCAGCAGCCTCTTATGTACAGAGACAAACAAAGCGAGGCATTCAACCAGGCTGCCTTAATGAGCCTTGCGGCCCGTGACATACAAGTAACCCTCAAGAACATGCCGACTGGCAGCAACAACTGCAGCGCCCGGTCACGGTCACTGTCGCGCGCGCGTCACAAGGAGCAGCATGCGGCCCTCTCATGTCCGCTGGTTCAAGTGGCGATCCTGGCGGGCTGGACGCTGGTGGTGCTCCTAACTGCCAAGAGCCTGGCTCGGGGCATTCGCACGAGCAGGCTGGAGGCTTAGGGGCTTTGGCGAGTAGGGACCGTACCTGGGAAAAGGGATGCGTATGTGAGGTCCGTGTGCTGCTGCTATACGCACTGTAACTGATGACTGATATTCGCCACGCAAGCCTCTTTCTTAACCTCATCAACCGCCTCCTAACCGCACGGCACCACGCACCCACCATCCAGCGCTGATTTCTTGAGGCAGGTTGTTGTCATAGACGACGTATGCAGCGTTACATTCCGTTGTGCTGCACATGGTTTACTTAAACGCATTGCTTCTGTAACACGCAGCCGGATGCAGCGGGGGGGTCAGATACGGTAGCCGGGTAGAAACCACCATCCGTAACCGCCCAACCCACCACGTCAGCAACCAACAACACGCTAATATGGGTGGTAAGACACCATTCTTCGTGCACATTGAGACGCACAACCTGCTCTGCTTGTTGCAAACTCGAGACATCATCACAAACTCATGTGTCCTCATCGAGCGTGTAGCAACTGGGGGGCCATGACGCACCCCTCACCAGCAACGACGCATCGGTAAAGACCAGATTCTTCAGGTTCACTACCGCTTAGCCGACTCCTTATGCCTGATAACGAGCACTTGGGAGGAAGCTAATTATAACCGCATAGCTGTTCGAAGGATGGCCAGGACTGACAAAAAGACACCCGCGTTAGCACCGCTGCTTACCCATTCACCCACACAACGGCCCGAGGCCACCCGGCCATCCTCGTCTACGAGCATTCGCGCTAGCTACGAAGCCAAAAGAGGTAAACAGTGCTGCACAATGCCCTCACGCGTTGCCGCATGCAGCACATAGCCGCACCAAAAAAGCCAGCAGGTCTGTACTCTTAGCCGAAGTCACGCCCTAACACACAAGCGCCCCCACAGCTCCCTCCAGCACAGCCCTCACCATCCCCAAACCAACGGCGTTACCCCAGGCGTGTATAGCAGTTGTGAAGCGGCACTTCCGACACACAGGGCTGTTGCAGCCATTTGGCTGCAACAGTCCAGCAGCACCAGCGCTGTTGCAAATCAACACCGGCCCCAGAAACCTGCTTGGCAACTGCTTTAGCTGAAGATGTTGTAGGAGTCCATAGAGGCGGTGGACATGACGTTCCAGTCCACCGGATCTGCGTGCGCCAGGTAGGTGCCGGCAGTGGCCCGCCTGCCGGCGCCCGTCAGGCTGAAGTACATGCAGCGGCCCTGGCCGTGCATCTCGTGGGACTTGGCGATGAAGGCCTTGACGCCCTCAGCGTCCTTGGGAAGGGGAGCCTTGGCCGGCAGCTTGAAGGCCGGGGTCTCGGCTGAGGATGGGCGAGGGGGTTGGAGCGGGGCAACCGCCGGCGACACGTCAGGGAGATTCCAGGCAGGCGCTATTGCGTATTACGTTTAAGATATAAGCTTGCAAGCTAGCGAAAGAGTGTGTAACGCCCACAGCGTAAGCTCGGAGCGGACATTGTGGCACGGTTGACACGGTAAGGAAATGCATGGAACAAGGATGCAGACCAAAGATCGAGGCATACTATTGTTGACATAAAAACAAAATCAGACTTTTGGCCGGCTATGTAAAGAACAAGCAAGGCACCATCCCGAGACGGCGAGAAAGGCGTAAAGCATAGGGTAGTGGCGGCTTACCGGAAACAGACGCTTGCACAATTAGCTTGCTGGATGCCGAGCGCCGCATAGGTGCGGCTGAGACACCGCGCTTGCTGACAAGCTGCTGCATTGTTGCTAAAGACTAGATTCTGAAACTGATTGATCTATTAGTTACTTTTGGTAAGCCTGTTGTGTAACTCAGGTGCTTGTGCAGTGGCATCAGTTGAAGCGCTGACGCCTTATCTTTGCAGGACGAGATTGGCAAAATGAAACTGAACGGCAATCGGGCGTATTACGTGCCATGCCACAATTCGAACTTCTACCTGTTTTTCACTTACAATTATAGCTGTTAACGAACGTAATATGGCGTACGCAAAATGCTGTCTCAGATGACCAGGGCTTTCACATGACCACACAGGTGGCGGCCCCTTGCCATAACCCGCATGCAATTTTGTCTAGTATTAGACCAATTGCATGGTACCGGGCCAGGTTACGGGCTGAGCAAACTTCGCGTCTCGTCGGCGCAGCCTCACGACCCGGAAGCTTGCAAAGTGACACCACCACCTCGCCTGTCCGAACAAGCCTTAACAACGTAGTTAGCATCCAACACGTTGTGGATATTGAATCGGAATTACTTAGGCTTCCGCAGCCGCAACGTCTGGCTCCGCCAGTCTCGCTTATAGCGCCCCCCAACCGCCCCCCAATTCCCGCTCAGCTCACCACCCTCCAGCCACCCGCACCTCGGTCCCTCCCTGCCTCCTCCTCCCCTCCACCACCCACACCATCCCAACCACCCGCAAACCCAAATCGCGGCATCCTCCGCCGCCTTGACCCAACCGGCAGCCATGGTAATCTCAATTCCAATGTGCCCCACAACAAGGGCAGCAGTCGCGACTCGGCCCTATCGCCGCCCCCAAGACCGCACAACCCACAACACAACAGAAACTATCAAGTTCTGCGGACTGGGAGCCACAGCGGCAGGCGCAGGCCGCTACAAGAGGCGCAAGTGGAGCTGGGAGGCGCTGAGACGCGCTCCACAACGACCACAGATGCTCCTGGTATGGTCATGAGCAAGGTATGTCTTGGTGGCAGTTGATGGCCCTAAACGCGCATGGCGGTGGTGGAGTTGGTCGCATACCGCTTGGACGCTGTTAGAAAAACTGTTACAAATCCTGTACGCACGCCCCGCTTGCGCCCTTCCCCCTTCCGCCGTCCCCCTTCTCTCACACGCCTCCCCCCCTCACCCTGTCCGCAAACATCGCGCACCCCCAACAGGCTGCCTGCTTAGCGGCCCTCTCACGCCTCGCCTTCCCTCCCGCTACCACCACCACCACACCCACCCGCACCATCACCACCTCCTGCGCCGCCTCCTCCTCTTCCGCCGCATCATCAGCAGCGCTCTCCCGCACCCCCTCCCTCCACCACTGTCACGCCAGCACCACCACCAGCCGCTCGGACCTGGACCCCCTGCTGCTCCACTCGCTGCTGCACCACTGCAGGTGCGGCGGGGGGTGTGGCGGGGCGGGGGGTGACGCCAGCAGCAGCAGCGACAACAGTGCCGGCAGCAACTGCAGCAGGGACAGCAGTGCCAGCGGTGACGGCAACGGCAGCAGCGATGGTGGGATGTCGCTTAGCCAGCTGCTGCGAATCAGTCGGCAGCTGCTCAAGGTGGTGAGGCCGGGGCCGGGGTCGGGCCCTCCCAGGCGGATACCAAGAGGTGTTTGCAGGTCGCATGCAGCAGCAGCTGAAGAGGAGGTGGAGGAGGTGGTGGAGGAGGAGGTGGAGGGCCCGGCAGGCGGGAGTAGCACGGTGCTGCTGGAGCTGCTAGATGCGATTGCGGGTGCGGCGGCGGGTCAGGTTGAGGAGTCGCTCATAGCAGGGGTTCAGGCGGTGCAGGCAGCTGAGGAGGAGCAGGAGCAGCATCGGCGGCGGATGCAGCAGCATCAGAGCCCCGGCAGTATCAGCAGTGGCTCGGCCTCAGCGTCATGTGTCACAGCGTTGCGTTTGCTTCACCTCCTCGTGAAGATGGGTAACAGCGGCGGAAGCGGAAGCGGCATGCAGCGTCTGACGGAGGCAGCGGCGGCGGCTGCCGTACGGTACTGCCTAGTGACGTCACTCGACGTACGGCTGCTGCAAGATCTGATCTGGGCGCTTGGCAAACTGGATCCGTCGTACCACTCCTTGCCGCCTGTACGGCAGCTGCTAACGGAACTAACCGCAAGACTAGCCGAGCCCGGCCTCCTGACGGGTATGGCTCCTGTTGGTTTGTCAATGGTGCTGTACGGCATGGGTAAAGTCGGGCTGCCGTACACTGATCTGAATGTACGACAAGCCGTGTGCGACGCGGTTGCGGTTGCGGCGGCGGCGCCTGATTGCTCGCCGCAAGCCCTCGCGAACATGGCTTGGGGTCTGTCTCGAACGGTGCGCGCCGCACTGACCCTCAACCCAACAACGCAGTCGTCGTCACCTGTGCCGTCCCTCGCCTCCACTGCAGCAGCAGCAGCAGCACCACCACCACCACCAGAGCTACCAAGGGGAAGCTTACCAACAACGTCAATGACGGCAAAAGCTGCCCCAAAATCAGCTTCCCCAACCTGTTCTGTTCCAACGGTTCAGTTCCCACCGACCGTACAGCAGGCATCGCATGGAGCGCTAGCAGCTGTCGCGCCTGTTCGAATTCCGCCGGGCGGTATCGCCATGCAAGCAAACCGCCCCGCCCACGCCGCCCAACTGCCGCACCCTTTGTCTGCTACTGTCCTTACACATGATCACCCGAACGACAATCTTCTTGTTGGCACCGCAGCTGCGGGTGACCCAACCGGGACCACGGACCCCACCATCCCAGCCCTAAACCGCGCCTTAGTAGCCCTCACAGAGGCCTCAGAACGTACCCTGCCGGACTTCAAACCGCGTGAGATGGCCAACCTGCTAGGCGCGCTAGCAGCACTGGGCGCCTTGGGACCGACCCATGCCGACCCGCGGGTCACTCGGCTGCTCGCCGCCAGTCGGCGTTACGTACGGCGCCGGCTGCACGACATGGAGTCACGTGATCTGGCGGAGGTACTGTATGCGTACGGCACGGCGGTTGCGCGGCAGGAGGTGGCGGAGGAGGCTGCCGAGGAGGAGATGATGATGGTGAGGATGGCGATGATGGGAGGGGATCTGGCGGCTGTTAGCAGGAGGACCTTTGTCGCCCAAAGCAGCAGCAGCAGTAGCAGCGGTGGGCATGATGCTCAGCAGCGCAGCGGCAACGGCAGCGGCGACTCTACTGTTGCCCGTGGAGAAGATGAAGATGAAGATGATGATGATGGCGGTAACAACACGGCGTTTTGGCGTGCACTCGAGCAGCGCTGTGTGGCGGTGCTGCCGGGCTGCGGGTCCTACCAGGTGGCCACCCTGGTGTGGGGCTTTGCACGGGCGGGTCGGCCGGCTGGGCCGCTGGCGGCGGCGGTGGTGGGCGCGCTGGCGACTCGGTGGCCCCCTGGGGCTTGGCGGCGAGCAGGAGAAGAGGAAGAGCCGCAGGAGCGGGAGGGTCACAAAGAGCAGCGGGAGCAGAAGGAGCAGCAGCAGCAGCAGGAGCAGGAGGTATACAAAGAGCGGCAACAGCAGGAGCGGGAGGGTTACCAAAAGCAGCAGCAACAGCAGCAGCAGCGGAGCGGGGGACGGGGTGGGAAGCCGAGTGCGTTGGTGTTGGATTTGGATTCGCCGGCTGAGCTGCCCGCCAGTCAGCTCGTGCGGCTGCTGTGGGGGCTGGCTAGGTGGCGTGTGGGGGTGCCCCCACCGGCCCTGCGGCGGGTGTGCGGGGTGCTGCGGCGGCGACTGGGGGAGTTCGACACACAGGTGGGGGCTGAGGGGTGAGGGGTGGGGGTTGCGGGTGAGGGATGAGGGGCATACCAGTGGCCCCTAGCTACCCTGTTTCGGCTGTCCGCTCCCACTCCCTTGCCACGCCCTCCAGCTGCCTCCTCCTACCTCGCACCCACAACCTGCCCCTCTTCCCCCTCCCCCCTTTCTCCCCACGCGCCCGCCAGGCCCTGCTGCTCACCACCTGGGCCCTCGCCTCCCTCGGCTGCCCCACCCACCCCGTCCTGCAAGCCCTAGCCGACCGCCTACGGCTCTCCGCGCTGCCCTCCCTGCAGCCGCCGCAGCTGCCGCTAGCCCTCTGGGCGGTCGCCAAGGCCATGCAAGCAGAGACACGTGGTGGCAGCGGAGGCGGCGGCGGTGGCGGTGGCGGCAGAGGTGTAGATCTGGGGGGCGGTTTGGCGGTTGTGCGGCTGTTCCATGCAGCTCGGGGGCCGCTGCTGGCTGCACTGCCCAGGCTGCGGCCGCAGGGTCTGGCGATGGCGGTTTGGGCTTATGCGGAGGTGGGGGTGAACCCCGGGGAGGGGGTGTTGGGGGCGGTGTGGGAGCGAGCTGCGTGGATGGTGGAGAGGGGGCTGCGGGTGGGGAGAGGAGCGGATGGAGATAGAGGAGGAGCAGCAGCGGCGCTGGGTTTGGGAGTGGAGGTGGAGGGTGGGCTGGGCGGTCAGGCTCTGGCGATGGTGGGTGTTGCCATGGCGGATTTCCGCTGCCGGCATGTACGACTGCTGCGTGCGTTTGTGGCGGCAGCGGCGATGCACATGGCGGGGGCAGGGATGCGGCTGGATCGTGGTGGTGGCAACGGGGTCGGCGGCGGCAGAGGCGGCAGCGATGGAGGCAACTTGCATGACCGCAAAGGGTGGAGTGCGGCTGCTGCGGCTGCTGCTGCTGACATGAAGCCAGGGACCGGGACGACGGCGGCTGCTGCGGCGGCAGCGGCTGCAGCTTCCGAGGCGGTTTGGTTGACCAGTGTGATTTGCAGCATGGGGCGGCTGAAGGTACGGGACGCCCGAGTACGACAGCTGGCCTGCAGGCGGGTACGACAGCTGCTGCCGTACATTACGGCGCGGGAGGCGGTACCGCTGTCGTGGGGCCTGGGGGAGATGTGCCGTACAGGAGACGTGGTGCCTGGCGGGGCGGGTGCTGAAGGAGCAGCAGCAGCAACACCGTTTGGGTGGCGGGAGATGGGTCCCGGGCAGCAGCAGGAGTGGGGCTGTCCTGCGGATGTGGTGGGGGGGCTGGTGGGGGTGGTGGAGCGGGCCATTCGGGCTGATGCGGCGGCGGCTGTGGCGGCCATGCCGGCTACTGCCGCTGCCAGGGGGCTGCAGTGGCAGCGGCAGCGGCGCGTGCGCTCTGCCGCCGTGGGCAAACACCCGCCGCCGCCACAACCAGCACAGCACCGGACACCTCAGGAGCAGCCACCCCAACAGTGGCAGCAGCAGCAGTGGCAACAGCAGCAACCACACCACCAGCCGCAGCAGCAGCAACCACACCACCAGCCGCAGCAGCAGCAACCACACCACCAGCCACACCAACAACAACAGCAGCAGCAGGGGGCGTCCCAGCTGGACGGCGGGCTGCTGTGCATGTTCCTGTCAGCCTGCGTCAGCCACCGCTACCGACCCGCGGGTCTGCTGCTGCAGGCAGCCTGCGCGCTGCTACTGCGCCACCTGCCTCGCCTCGCCTCCCACAGCCTGTGTGAGGTGACGTGGGCGCTAGCGGTGCTGCTGCCGCCGCTGGGAGGTGACATTGGGGTGCATGCAATGCTGCCGGTACTGGATACGGCGGCCGCTGTTCCTCCGGCTCCTGGTATGCAGCCCGGAGCAGCAGCAGCAGCAGCGCCTGCGGCTGCGGAGGGAGGACGGATGCCGCAGCATCACCAGCAGCAGCAGCGGGTGGGGGTACAAGCGCCGCCGCCGCAGCAGCTGCAGCAGCAGGCGGGGGTAAACGCACCCACCGGTGCCGCTGCTGCCCCCCCTGCCGACGCGGTGTTGTGGTGGGCGGTAGAGCAGCTGAGCCGCCGGGCGGCGGAGGCGACACTGGCGCGGCGGTTGGCAGCCAGGAGCCGAGCCATGGCAGCAGCAGCCAGGGGGCGGGTGGACCAGCATGGGGGGCAGCATAAGGCCCAGCATGGGGAGGAGCAGCAGCAGCAGCGGCTGAAGCGGCCGTGGCGGGTGAAAGCGGCGGCGGGCACCGTTGTTAGTGCGGAGAGGCTAAGGATAACAACACGCAGCACGAGGCTTGGGAGGTCAAGTAGTGTTGAAGCAGCAGCAGCAGCTGCAGCAGGGGCTGGAGCGGGAACGGCGGTGTGCAGCAGCACCCATGGCTTGACTAGCAGCAGCAGCGACAACGACGGCGGCACAGCAGGTCTTGTGGGCGGGCTTACGCCACTTCCCGAGCCGTCGGAGGGGCTGCTGGGTGCAGGCAAGTCGTCGTCGCCCTTCAGCAGGCGCTTGCTGCGCCTGGAGCGCCCGGCACCGCGGCTGGTGCTGTCGGTGATGCAGCAGCTGAGGCAGCAGCAGCAGCAGCAGCAGCTCCGCAGGCGCTACCGGCGGGGTGCTCCGGGTGGCGACGTGCGGCCGCTGTGGTCAGAACAGATGCCAGCTTGCGCCACCGGCACTGCCTCCGGGCTAGCAAAGTTGACGACAACAAACGCAGCCTCAACAGCAGCAACAGCAATAACGACTAGGCCGCGCGCGCAGCAGCCTCCGCAGCAGCTACGCCAAGCTCCACCACCAGCGCCAAAGCCCTCCGCTGCCTCTCCGCAGCCTGCATCTCCACGACAACATCAGCCGCAGCGTTCGGAACTGCAACAGCATCTCCAGCAGCAGCAGCGGCAGCAGCAACGGCAGATTCGTTGGCCTCGGCGCCGGCTCTGGTCACTTAGAGGACCTCATCCTCGCACCTTCGCGCCCCCTTTTTCTCCCTCCCCCTCTCCCTCTCCCCCTCGCCCCACTCCCGCCCCCGCGCCCATCTACCCTCCCCGCGGCCTGCTGGCCGCCCCCCAGCTGCTGGCGGGTCGGGCGCTGTCGCTGCTGTCGTCCCGGCTGTGCTGCCGGCGCGGCTGCTCGGAGGTGCTGACTCTGGAGTCGCTGGTGCGGCTAACTTGGGGCATGTGCGTGATGGGGATGTACACACCCAGGTAGGGGTACACACCCAGGAGCGGGTGAGGGGATGGAGCGGGCGGAGAGGGGGGAGGTTAGACAGCCCAGGCATCGGGTGGAGCGGAATGATGGACGTAGACCGCCCAGGTAGGGAAGAGGGGTGGAGGCAGGAAGCGGGTATCCACCCGTAATGGTAAACCTCACACCCTCTACCTCCTTACTTGAATGCATGCATGCTGTCCCACGCGCCGCCCTTACTACCACCCGTTTCCGATCCCCGCTCCCTCACCTGCTCCTCCCCCCACCTCCACCCGCTCCTCCTCCCACCCACCGGTACCCCTACGCCACCCCCTCCTCAGGCTCTTCCACTATTGCGCCGTCCGCGCCATCAGCTGCAACACCGCCCCCCTGGAGTCACGACCCGCCCTGCTGCGCTGCCTCATCGAGCTCCGAACCATGATCGCCAGACAACGCCCCTCCTCATGGCGCAAGCTGCGACTGCGCCGCCGCTGGCGCCGTCGTCTCCGCGCGGCCGCCACCGCTGGCGGCGGCGGCAGCGCCCGCTGGCGACTGACGCCGGCTGAGTTCCTGGCGGCGCAGCCACATGCCTGGGTACGGCAGCTCATGCGCTGTCGTACGACTCTGGAAGCCGCAGCGGAGGCGCGCGGGCTGGAGTTGGAGTGGCGTACAACGTACCAGGGAGATCGACATGCCGTACTGCGGTTGGGTCGTCGTACGAATTGTGCGTTGGTGCTGCTGGCGCCCTGGCACCTGCCGGCGAATGGCAGCCGGGCTGGTGGAGCGTCGCCTGTGTTGTTAAACGGTGGTGGTGGTGGTGGAGGTGGGGTTGGAGTTGTGCCGCTGGGGAGCGGTGCGGTGGCGGTACGGCTGTTGCGGCTGCGGGGTTGGCTGGTGGCGGGTCTGCATGTGGAGGGGTGGCTGGCGCTGAGTGACGAGCAGCGGGAGGAGCAGTTGGGGGCGTTGGTGAGGCGGATGTGTGGGGTGGCGAGGCGCAGGGCGGCAGCGGTGGCGGAGGTGGAGGCATTGCAGGCAGGAAGGGCGGGGGTAGCAGTAAGGGATGAGGAGGTAGCGGGGACGGGATGATGGGCGATGTTGGAAATGGAGGAGGGTGGGAAGGCTATAGGGCTATATAGGAGGTGGGAAGATAGTGGTGCGGTACTTCACGTTACATATAGGTTAGCTGAGTTGGGGATTTTCCCTGGATTTCCCACCAATTATTGCACGTACCAATTAGATGTTTTGGACGTGCCGTAGTAGGTAGGTTACAAGTGGTCTCGTTGTCCAAACTCTGCCATCTGCGTGTGGCTCCTAGCTCCGAAGCCGCGCGAACCTGAACTGTAGCAACCCTAGCAAGCTGCCTGTACGTTCCGCCTCTATGATACTTTACAGACGGCGCGAAGACTGCGAAACCACATGCTCAGCCTAGCTGCAAAGGCATCAGCAGCGTGCAGGTGGCCTAGCAGGCCATCCCTCTTGAAACGCCAAGCTTTACTTGTGTAAGCATATATCGTGCGTAGTTTTAACCTTTATGGGACAGTGCTTCACAATGTTTGATACGGATACGAAAAGGCGCAGGCTTGCATACGTCGCGGGGACTGCAGCAAGCCATTCCATGGCACCAGAACGCGTCTTCCCGATCCGACGGGGAACAAAGCTTGTCATCAAGCAAGGCGACATCACAAATGAGGACGTGGACGCTATCGTGAACGCAGGTAGTGCACAGTTGCAAACTTACCAGCAGCAGAGACTCGCATTGCAATTCGCATCAGTCGCGCGCCCTCAATTGCCGCAAACTTTCCAAACGCCTTGAAACCTTCCCGTTCTGAACGACCAACGCAGCCAACGAGCGCATGCTGGGCGGTGGCGGAGTGGATGGAGCCATCCACCGGGCCGCGGGGCCGCAGCTGGTGCGTGCTTGCGCGCAGGTACCCGAGGTTGAACCCAACGTGCGCTGCCCGACGGGTGAAGCCCGCATCACACCGTAAGTCCTCCCTGCCATGGCATCACCCCTCAGCAGTCTGTCGTACCGGTACTCAGCACCTGTGTTGTGTAACCATGATGACGCCCTACTACACGGTTCGTTACTTGTTTCCCCTTTAACCCAGCGCTCATCAGTAGCGTGCCCACGCATGTTGGCATATTTTTATCAACTGCTGCCGCAGCAGCGCTGATGAGCACCCTTGCTCAAGTACCGTGCTCCCTGCCCGCTGCAACCCCCCTTCCGTTGTCCCCCACCACCACAGCGGCTTCAACCTGAGGGCCCGTCACGTGATTCACACGGTGGGGCCCATCTACGAGAGCGCTGAGGAGTCGGCGCCGCTGCTGGCTAGCGCATACAGGTGTGCGTGCGTGTGCGGGTTGGCCTATCCGGTTGGCCTATCCGGTTGGCCTACCTGGTTGTGTTTTCGGAGACACCCGCGCACACCTGCATTGTGCTTCTGACTCCCTCTCACCCCATCCATGTGTCCTGCACCTCACTCCTCCGCTCCACGCGGAAGTCCTCCGCTCCCATGCGCCCGACATGCAACCCTCCCTGACATCCCCCCCCGACCCCGCCATCACCCCCACCGCCCTAACCCCACAGGAGCTCCATGCAGCTGGCGCTGCAGCAGGGGCTGGCCAGCGTGTCCTTCCCCGCCATCAGCACCGGGGTGTACGGCTACCCCTTTGAGGAGGCGGCGCAGGTGGGGGGAGGGCGAGGGGGGGGGGTCAAAGAACATACGGGGGGGCGGAACGAGGTTGGGGCCGTGGGGTGGCGGTTGCTGTGGATTGCGATTTAGGTTGTTGTCCGCAGGAAGTTCCTTTCAAAAGAAACTCCCTGTGGCAACACCTCTTTGCACCTCTTTCTCCCCCTGCGTCCATCCACACACGACACGACACACCATGTACGGTCCTACACCCCACCCACCCACCCACCCACCCGCCCGCTGCTCCTGCAGGTTGCGTTGGCGGCAGTGGATGGCGCCTTGGGGGCCACCGGGGAGGGTGCCGGCGTCAGGGAGGTTCGCTTCGTGCTGTTCGGACAGCGGCTGTACGACGTGTTTGTACGGGCAGCTGAGGAGCTGTGTCGGGACAGGGGGACAGAGGGTGCAGAGGAGGGGAAGGCTGGGGAGGAGGAGGGGAAGGGTGGGGAAGAGGGGAAGGCAGGGGAGGAGGGGACGGGGGCGAAGGCTGAGGGCGCGGATGAAGGCAAGGAACCAGCCCGGGAGAAGGCGACGGATGGGGGTGATGAAGCTGCGCAGCAAAAGGCATCAGAGCTGTGATGCCCTGAGGGTGGGTCAGAAGGCATGACGGCAGAGGATTATATGGAGTATGGAGTGTGGAGGGCAGGGATGAGGAGCTGTGTCGGTACCTAGCCGTTATGTTGTGACTTGCTGCACTCGTCAACTGCTGCAACGCTTAGCTACCCCAGCGAAGTGTAAGACGGCTGATGACTATTGCTCCTTTGACGCGAGTGACGTGCCTTTCCTGGAAGTGCATAGCGTCAGCGCCTTTTTAGGCTACAGAAGAAATATGTCTTTATCACGTTTCCTATTTAGGGGATATATCTGTGTCGGATTCTTGCTGGCTTTTGGGGTGCAGCGGTTGACCGCACCACAGTCCATATCTGTGAGGGACTAACTTGTAGAAGGTGATGTATGGAAAAGCGTGTATACGGTAGCTGCATGTGAAGTGCCCACTGGGTATGATGGGTGTCCTTTCAGCACAAACCACTGACCTTTGCGCGCTCGTGACCCTGTCGTCAGCCCTCCCAAGCGTGGCGCGCAACATGTTTACAACACGATGTCCATATAGGGTTGCATGCACTCATTTATCAGTCAAAAGTCAAACAAAAGATTACCGGTACATGACCCGTAAGTCTTTGCACGTTATTTAGGCAGCGAAGCGCCTTTAGAAGAGCGAGGCAGGGCGAGCCATGCCATGGGCGATTGATGACCTTGCCTCAGTCCCCACCTCGCACACGCCGCCTGTTCACCACCTCCGTGTCATAGGAACACGCCACGCCACCCGGGCGTATTTTGTTCACCTCACAGCGTGGTTTGCCATCGCCAGAGCACAACGTACTATACCAGTAAATGACAGGGGCCCACAGCATGCTTAGCTTGCACTCCCTTGGGAAAAAAGACACTAGCACACACCATGCCGGTCAACGCAGCGCCTGGCCGAACAGAGAACATACTCCAGAGCTTACCCGTCATTACCCATGGGGGTAACTGTGGGGCTGCTGATGATGACAAATGCGATGGGCAGAGGTGTGTCCCCATACCCTTGCCCATCGTATTTGCCATCATCATCAGCCCCACAGTTCAGCACGCATCATACGAAGTGTAATGCAGTCAGGGCAGCACCCGCAGAGGTGGGCACCGTTAAGGGTGCCATTTGCCGGCGGATGCTGGGCAGCCATGTCAAACGACAGTACATCATCATGCATGCTTGCGACACTTCCGAATTTCAGGATACAGCCCTAACGCTGTGTGGTCATTCTGGCAGGTTAACTAACAGCAAACACCCGCAGCGGACACCAGGCGCCGAAACCATGAACATGTTGTCCCATGTGCGCGCCTTGGTATGCAACACCAACGCTGATTACGGTATCCTAGACGCCTATCTAGAGGCTTGTGCAGCTGGGGCACAGCGGCTCCACAGCTACAGAGTAGCTGCAAGGGGATGTTCGACAGGCGCCTGTCAGACATCCCCTTATAGCTACTCTGTAGCTGTGGGGCCGCTGTGCCCCAGCTGCACAAGCCTCTAGATAGGGCCACGGCTACACACACTGGCTGGCCTACGTCTGCGCAAATGGCTCCATCATGCACATACCAGTAGCTGAGGCAGCAGCGACAGCTCGCCGGCCAACAGCCAGCTGTGGCTGGGGCTGCTTATCCCCTTGCCCGTTGCCCGTTGCAGGCAGCTAGCTAGCTTGGCCCCCGGGTCCACGAGGCACCCTGCAGAATAGTGAAGGGGTAGGGCAAGGGGTAACTTGGCTGCTCGTTCTGCAAGAATGAGGGTGGCCCCAGCAGGTTACCCAGCAGCCCGGTAGAGACCCACCCTGCTGTCAGCAACGAGCTCTCAGCGGGGAACCCCGCACGGCGGCATCCACCCCACAAACCGCACCTTTACTCCTGCTTCTTGAAGCCGTCGGGGAAGGCCGCCTTGATGGTGGCGTAGTTGAGGACCACGGCGCACTCCCACTTCGCAATAACCTTCAGGGCTGGCGTGATGATGGGCGTGACCTCCGCCACCGCCTCTTCCAGCTCGTCCAGGTCGCTGAATTGCACCTGCTTGTTGCGGCGGGTCACCACCATGTCCGCTTTGTTGATAAACTGTGCGGGCGTCAACCCCAGCGCCTCCGCGGTGTCCATGACGCCCTTGTCCGACACACCACGCGCCTTGAAGCGTGTGCACGTGGTGGTCCTGAACTCTTCTCCGTCAGCAGCGAGCATAATCTGTGCTGCGACGTTCCGCACCCGGAAGGCGTTGGACTGGGCAAGCAGAAAGCTGAACTCGGCATGCAGATCTTCAATCATCGGACTCATCTCTGTCTTCATCCGACTCATCATCCGACTCATCTCTGTCTTCATCCGACTCATCTCTGCCTCCAGCGCGTCAAGCCGTTGCAGCATGGTCGGTCCGCTGACGTGCACCACGACGTCCCGCACAAGCAAGCGGCCGTTGGAGTCCCAGCTGTCAATCTTCTCCCCGGTGTCGGCAAAGTAAACTGAGCCGGTTGTGACCTCAGTCCCAAGGCTTTGTGGAGCCATACTGCGAGCTTCCTGGATTGCTGGACCCACGGCTGCTCTATCTTTTTGTTGTGTTTGATTATTAGGATAACTTGAGCGGGCGGCACACGGTTGGCATACCCTCCAAGGCTGTCATATAGGGGCTACCGGATGCAAAGAAAGCTAGTTAATTGTGAAAGCCCCTACGATAAAAAGCTGGGCGCGGAGCTTAGTCTACGCAATGGAGAAGCGGGCACAAGAGCTCAGGCCCTTATGCTGTAAGGGGCAAGGGGTAACTGCTAGGATTTCTATCCGAAGAAAGTCTTCATAGCTAGCAGACCTGCAAAATTCCAACAATCATAGGGCAGCTGGTAAGGCTTTGTATAGCAAGGAAAGCTGAGGAAAACGCCAAAGCGGGAATCCTTATGGCGGGTGCCGTACGCCTAGGTCGCTCCGGACCTGGCACCCATGCGTCCTTGGTCCAGCAAGGAGTGACGGGTTGACCGTGTGTTCTATAAGCAAAGTACGTGGCCGTTACGTTGATGAATATACATATGTATGACATTTGGCGAAGCCTCAAAGTTGACGACCTACAGCTGTGCACATGCGCCGACGAGTGAGCAGCAAAAGGTAAGCCCGATGACGGAGATGGCTTTGTTAACATAACGATGTAAAAATGGGTAGTTTGGCACACGGCCCATATTCTCCCTGCCGACAGCGGAGGGTCATCGCGCTTGGTTCCTCCAACAGCAACTATGACCTTACCTGTTGACGCTTGGCCGAGAGCATAGAGCAGTTTAAATACTTGCACATATGTCCAACAGCAAAGGCGGCAACCACAGGGTGCGGCCTGCGGACCAGTAGCCAGCTGCCTCCGTCTCGGCTTCCTGTGGATCCCCTTCCGCCTAATCTCTTGCCATTCATAACTTACAACTATAACATACCCAAATGTGTTTCCTAATCCATCACTTCCCAAGCATCCGACCCCGTCACTTGGCTTCTGCTGTGCCCAATCTCCCTTAGGTCTTAGGTCATGACCGGCAGGCGATCGCCAGGCGGTCATCCTAAGGGCTCGGGGAGCGCGCTGGCTCCTGCTGCTGGAGCCCCAACCAGCCACGTGGGTCGAACAACGGGGCTTTAGCAGCAGCAGGCCGTTGTTGCCTACCTACCTGTGAGAACCCTAACCCAAAAGGTTAGGACCCAAGCTGCTGTCGCCCGGGCCGTACCTGCCGTACTCCCATCAGCAGTATCAAGGGAGGCGACGTGAGGACGTGGACGGATCAAATGGCGGACCGCCCCTCTTCAGCTCCTGTGGCGCTCCAATTCCCGGCTCCCACCACCGCTGGCTTGTCCTTCGACCACCATGCGGCTGCTGGTGCCGCCCCTCCTCCTGCTGCTGCCTCAGACGCTGCAGTATCGGTACCAGCAGCAGCGCTGATGGCTTTTGAGATGCCTATCGCAGCAGCGGCAGCAGCAGCGCCACCGCTACCGCCAGCGCACCACCACTCCGTCCCTAGACCTGCCAGCGGCACCGCCGCCGGCGCTGGCGCCAGCCATGGCCACGGCGGTGTCGCCAACAGCAATCGCCCCGGTGGTGGTGGTGGTGGCAGCAGCAGCAGCCGCAGCAGCGGCGGCGGACGGTATACCGGTAGCTCCGGCGGTGGCGGCGGTGGAGGGGGCAGCGGCGGCAGGTTGGTCCTAGGCCGCACGCCTGCCGCGCGGACTCAACGTGCGCGGGGGGTGTCTTCAAGCTCGGTACCCATCGCGCCGGCAGCAGCAGCAGCAGCAGCGAATGCGGGGGTGCGCGGCGGTGGACCCATGCTGAACTCCGGCCTTGCGTCCTTCATGGCAGCTGGTGGCGGCGTTGCGGCGGCAGCGGCCCCTGCAGGAGTAGGAGGAGGGCCCTCTGCTACGCCGGTAGAGCAGCGATCGGAGCCGCTGGGGCTGTGCGCTGTGGGGATGTCGGTTCGGGCACCGTCCGCGCCGCAAGACGTTACCGCCGGTAACGGTGCTGGCGGTGGCAGCGGTAGTGGTAGTGGGGGTGGGGTGGCTGCCGACGGCAACGCAGCAGGTGCTGCTGCTGCTGCTGCCAGCTCAGCGGAAGCTCGTCGCCAGAATGCCTCGCCTGGCGCACGTACTGCACGCAAGGCGGCGTTACCGCCGGAAGCAAGAGGGGGCTACCATATGGCTGCGGAGCCCTCGGCATCGGCAGTGACTCCAGCAGCAGCAGCGGCGGATGCGGAGGCCTTGGTAGCCCTATCGGGCCGGCGGCCAGTGTCCGCATGCAGGGGTGGGGTGTATAAGGCGCCATGGAGCGCACCGGCGGGGTCTGTACGACGGCGTGCCTCCGCTGACTGTGTCGCCACGCCGACAGCTGCGGCGGCTGCTGCCGCCGGCGGCGGCGGCGGTGGGAACATGGCTGACGTCGGCAGCCCGGCTGCTGTTGGCCCCCGGGGTCGCGATCGTAGCGGCATTCCGCTACGTCCCGGCAGTGCGGCCATGGCGTCGTCGCCGTCACCGGTCCGAATATCCGTGGGCGGCAGCGCGGATGCAAAGCTGCAAAACAAGCGGCCGCCTTTTGGTGGCGGCGGCGGAGGCGGTGTGGCTAGGAGTGCCGGAGCCGCTGGCGGCGGCGGCGCCGCCGCGGCGACGACGAAGCCAAGCACGACCCTTAAGCGCAAGACACCGGCGACAGTGTCGTCGGGTGGGAAGGCTGCTGTTGCTAGCCGGACCTCTGACCGGACCACCGCCGCTGGCGGCGGGCGTGTCGCGAAGGCCGGTAAGTCGCCTCCCAAACGGGCCAAGGCAGCTGGCGGCGCGGGGGCTGCGGCGGCGCACCACGTTGCAGCTACAGAGCTAGCAGCGGCGGCGGGGCCGGGAGCAGCGGCGGCGGGATCTGACAGAGCAGCAGCAGCGGCGGCGGAGCGGAGGTCCGGAACAGACCTGAGCGTGATTCCTGAGGAGTCTGGGACGGGCTCTGGATCCGGATACACACCCAGAGCAGGGGAGGTAGACCCTGGGCCCCTGCAGCAGCAACAACCGCCTCCTCCTCAGCAGCAGCAGGCCCCAGGGCAGGAACAGGGGTTCGGTGAATTGCAGCAGCCGCGAAACAGCGACGGCGGCATGCGGGTCGAGCCCTCAGCAGCAGCAGCAGCCGCACCTGCAAGCAAGAGGCCCCAGCAGGAGGGCTCTTCTGCCTCGGCTGGCGTATCCCGCGCATCCAAGGTCCGCGCCAGTGCTGATAAGGCCCGGCGGGCTGCTCCCAAGGAGCTGGATCCCGGGGGGTTTCAATTGGGCAGGATCCTGGGATCTGGATCCTTTGCAACGGTCTACTTGGCGCGTCAGTTGGACAATGCGGCGCGAGTGGTTGTGAAGCGGTTGGACAGGAGGTGAGGGGGTGAAGGGGGTGTCTATTGGGCTGCTGTGGGGGGTGTATTGGGGGAGCGCTGCAGGTGCTTCGTTGCTATCTGGCATATGGGCACCATTTGGGCACAGGCGGGTCTGCATGGGCCGTATTGCTTACGTCAGGGGGCTCCCGACATTGCATGCATGCATGCATACCGGTATGCGTGCACGTCGTATTGCCACCGCTGAAGATGTCCCTCGTCCTCCGCCCCCTGTTCCCACGGACGCACCTCCGCCTTGCCTCCCTTCGCTCTCCTTACTCCCCTTCCCCTCTCCCCTTCTCGCCCTGCCTCCCCACCAGGCCCAGCGGTTTCAACGGATCCTCCACTGAGGTGAGGGCTGGCCACCGCCAAACCTCCTTCCTTCCATTGGTATACTCTCTCTCCCTACACCCTTCTCGCCCTTGGTGCTAACCCACCTCGCCGTGCTGCTCCCAATCATCCTGCCGTGCTGCTCCCAGGTCGCCTCGCAGAGCCGTCTATCCTGGAAACTTGTGACCATCCACGTCCGCATGTGTTTTTTCACCTATTCACACTCTCTCTCTCTCGAGATGTTAATGCCATTCCCCGCGCCATGCCATTCACACAACGCCTCCTTCAAACATGCTTTCTTCTTTTCTGTGTACCCTTTTACCTCCCTCCCCCCTGCCTGTCTCCCTGCCTGCCGCCCCTCCAGGCTGACAACGAGGTGGCGGTGCTCACGCGTGCCGGCTTCCATCCCAACCTAGTGGAGTTCCGAGGCTGGTACCGCGACCCACGGGACGGCATCATGTGCCTGGTGATGGGCTACTGCGGGGGAGGCACGCTGGCGCAGCTCATTAAGGTGGGTGGGTGTAGATGTGATGATGCCGTGCCGCTTTTTGCATGGTTGCATGGCTTTGCATCACCTCTAGCAAACAAACCTCAATCGAGCGCCGCCCTCCTTTCCTTCATCTTCCTTTCCCTCGTTTCCTCCCTTTCCTTCTCCGCAGAACCCACCGAGCAGCGAACTCATAGCCCCTCCAGCAGCCGCCGGCCCCGACGCAGACGACGGATTCACCACCTTTGGAAACCCCGTCGCCCCGCCGCCGGCGCAACAGCAGCAGCCGGCTGACGGCGGTTTCGGAGCCGCTGCGACCCTGACAGCGGCGGCGGCGCACCACCCGCGGATAATGTCGTACTTTCCCGAGGATCTGGTGATGTTTTGGTTCGTACAGCTGCTCATGGCGCTGCACCACCTGCATGGGCGCAAGATCATGCACCGAGGTGAGGGGGGCGGAGCTGAGGAGAGGGAAGCGGATGGGCGTAGGGGAAGCTGAGGGAAGCAGAGCGGAGCTAAAGGAAGTGGATAGGGAAGCGGAGGGAAGCTAGGGAAGCGGAGCTGAGGGAAACGAAGGGAAGCAGAGCAGAGCGGAGGGATGCGAGGAGGTGGCCGGCGACCCACATGCAGGGGTGAACAGAGGAAACTGACAAGAGCTGTAGCTGACATGCGGGGGGGGGCGCTGAGGCAACAAACCGCATGTGGTGGTATCCTCCCAAGCTCACAGTCCCTCGCGCTATAATCCATACACGCAACAAAGTCAGGATCTTAGAAGGGAACTGCAACAGGAGAAGCCGCGTTGATCACTTTCCCATTCCCTGCCTCACCCCTCCCTCTCTCCCCCCCGCCCATGAGTCGCGTGAGTGCATGAGTCGGGATTCGGGATTGGGATTGTGTTGTTTCCGGTAAGCAACGATTCGGTAAGTAATTTGAGATGCGTGTTATTAGTGCCTCCGAATGCGCTCACTGCATGAGTCGGGATATGGGATTGGGACTTAGTTGTTTGCATTTCATATAATTTTACCCCCGCCCCTCCCTCCCTACCCCCCGCCCCTCCCTCCCTACCCCCCGCCCCTCCCAGACCTGAAGCCCGACAACATCTTCCTTGCCGCCAACCGCCGCGTCATCAAGCTGGGAGACCTGGGGGTGGCCAAGCAGCTGGAGGGCACCTTCGAGCTGGCAATCACATGCCTGGGGTAGGAGGGGGGCGGGAGGAGGAGGAGGAGCAAATGTGTCGTGTCGTGCTATCGCCGTGCCATGTCCTGCCGTCTGTCGACACGTTCTGCCTTAATCCACGCACACCCTCCTCCTTTCATCCCTTGGCTCTACCCCCCACCACACACAGCACGCCCTACTATATGAGCCCCGAGGTGCTGGCCAGCCGCCCCTACACCTACGCATCAGGTGCGGGGGGGGGGCAGCCGGGGGGGGGGGTTATCCGGGTGAGACGAGGGCGCAGCCAGTGTTTTAACACACATGCACCCGCCTCCAGTACGTTCCTACTCGCGGCCAGCCAGTTTTCTTAACACTCACACTCACTCACGCATCTCTCCTCACCGCCCCCAGACATTTGGTCGCTGGGGTGTGTGCTGTACGAGGTAGCGGCCCGTCGGACGGCCTTTGAGGCGTTCGGTCTGCCGCAACTCATGGTGAGGGCTGCTGCTGCTGCTGCTGCTGGCGGCTGCTGATGGGTGGGGTATGCCGGGGTGTAGGTGTGCATGCTGGTTAGGACATCACGTTAGCACATCACGTCTATTGAACACCTGCCACACGTTACACAAGCTACAGAAAGCATGGCTGGTGATCACAGACCGCGCGTTCCTCTCACCTGTCCTGCAGCTTCCACCCCCCCCCCTTTTACCTTCGCCACTCCGCTTCTTACCCCACCCTTCCACCCCTCCCGCAACTCCCCTTCCCGCCTCACCCCCCCACCCGCAGTTCAAGATCCTGCGGGTGGCCTACGACCCGCTGCCCCCGCAGTTCAGCCGCCCCTTCCAGCAGCTGGTGAACTGCATGCTGAGAGCCGACCCAGACGACCGACCCACCACACAGGCAGGTTGCCTGCGGGAATCGCGCGTTTGCAGTTTGATACCGGTAGTCCTTAGCTTTGCCGTACGAAACGGACTCCCCCCCATGTTGTCCTCCGTCGTACACCCGACTGTCAATCCGTCCTATACCTATACCGCAACTCCCTGCCGCCGAGTCCCTCTCTGCGCGCCTCTTCCTCCTCGCGCCCCCTCACCTCCCCCATGTCCCTCCGGCTCCCCCCTCCCGCCCTAATCTTCCCCCCTTCCCGCCCACAGGACCTCCTGTCGCAGCCCTTCGTGCGGCGACACCTGGTGCACCTGCTGGAGATGAGCGCGCCCAAGGCGGCAGCAGCAGCGGGGGCAACAGGTTCGCCGGGCTGGGGGTGGGCACGAGGCTGTTGACCCATGGGTCGGTTGGTCCCTTACTCCCTTCACAGTAACCACGAATGATGATGACAAAAGCGATAACACACTAAGCAGTAACCCAGCTTCGAGCCATGTGCATCGGTCCATCCAACAACATGCACCTTACCTTGTCACCTACGCCTCCGCTGCTGCTGCCTCCGCTGCCCTCCACTGCCTGCCTGCCCCGCTGCTGCCCCCCGCAGGCCGCCCCTCCATCATGCCCCCCATGGTGAAGCCCAGCGAGGCCCGCACCGCCGTGAAGCGGCTGGAGCGAGCCAATGCAGCACACCACCACCACCACCACCACCATGCACATGGCTCCGGAACCACTGCTAGACGCCGCCGGGTGATTGCAGCGGCGGAGAAGGCTGCGGCCGCTGCTGCGGCGGCCGCGGTTGAGGAAGCTGGGGGCGGTGGCGGTGGGGGTGGGGGTGGAGGTGCGAAGGCGAATAGTCCTAGCGGAGGAGGAGGAGGAGGAGGTGGAGGTTCCCAGCCGTCGTCGGCGAACCGTGCTGGCGGCAAAGCTGCACGGCAGTGGGATAACAGCGGTTCGCGGTTCGAGGCGCGGCGGCAGCAGCAGGCGGAGATGAGGTTCCGGGCCAGGGAGTTCGAGCAGCGAATAACCCGGGAGCAGGTGGGGGCGGGGGCGGGAAAGGGTGACGAGCAACTCTAGTAGCGGAGGAAGAGAGGTCCGAGAGGACGCGTAGGAAACCCTTGCATGGCGCGTCGCCGCGAGACACACACCACTTCCATGCCTGTCCTGCATACCTGCAACCGGCTGCCGTACTGTCGTACCCCCTCCTGCTGACAGGTACGGCAGCAGCGGCGGGAGCGTGACCCCGCCGTACGTGCTCGTGAGGCGGAGTTGGAGCTGCTGCGGGTGGAGCTGCTGGCGCGGAGGGAGAAGCGGCAGCTGCAGGTAACGGGGCGTGACAACCCTCACATGTGCGGTACTTCCTCGTAAGAACTCCGCACTCTCCGCTCCCTTACGCGCCCAGTTTGCTCTTCCCTTCTCAGCCATGGCCCTACCCTGCAAGCATCTCTTGAGCATCGCTTCCTTACCGCCCATCTCATCACGCACCGTCTGCCATGCTGGTGATGCACATGGGATTGGGATTCCAGTGCTTCACATCTGCCGTTTTTCACCTCCCCACCTCATCCCCCCACCCTCCTCCAGGCTGCCGAGCAGCAGATCCTGGCCGCCCACCTGGGCCCAGCGGACGCGGCCGCCGCAGCGGAGGATGAGCTGGCGGCCTTTCGCACCCGCAACCGCTTGCAGCGCACCCAGGCAGCTCAGCAGCAGCAGCAGCCACCGCTGCTGCTGCCACTGCCTGAGCTGTCACATGAGCTCCCGGGGCTGCTGCCTGACGAGCAGGGGCTGCTGCCGGAGGAGCAGCAGGCGTATCAGGAGTACCTTCAGGAGCTTCAGCAGGGACGGGGGGTGGAGTTGCGGGAGCAGCTGGCAGTGGGGCGGGTGCAGCAGCTGCAGGAGGGGGGATGGGAAGCGGAGGGAGCGCAGCTGCAGCTGCAGCCGCCGCAGCAGCCAGAGCTTGGTGGTGGGGATGGTGCGCATGATGGTGGGGAGGACGTGTACGCACGGGTGGCTCAGGAATTCTGGAACCCGGCCGTCGTCGGCGGTTACGTTGCTGTTGCTGCGGCGGCGGCGGAGGAAGAGCAGAGAGCAGCAGGGACAGCGGCCAAAGACCAGGAGGAGGAGGATGCGGGTCAGGCAGGGGCTGGCGATGATGCCACCGGGGACGCCAGTTGCGCTAACGGTGATAGTGACGTTGGTCGCAACGAGGCGGAAGAGGAGGAGCATGAGGAGGAGATTCCCGAGGAGCTGGACTTTGTCGCAGCAGGCAGCCACGACGAGCAGGAGGAGGAGGAGGGCGGCTCGCCGTACGACGTCGACGAAGACGACGAAGACGCGCTGTCGTACGATGAAGACGAGGGCGAGGCGGCCGCGTTGCTGTCCCACATGCGACGTGAGCTACGCGGCCTGGCGTTGAACCCCGCGGAGCAGGGGCAGGAGTGGGGCTCTGAGACGGCAGCACCAGCGGTGGCAGCAGCGGCAGCGGCGGCAGCGTCTGAGGAGGTTGGGCGTGAGCATGGGGTCATGAGCGGAGCGGGCAGCCGGGGGCCTTCGAGGAGGTCGGAGGTGATGGCTGCGCTGGCCCCCGTGTCCGCTGCTGTGGAGGCGGCGGCGGCGTTGGCTGAGGCGACGCTGGCCAGCCTGGCTACGGTGATTGCGGGGACGGGTGTGGAGGCGGAGGGGGAGGTGGAGCCGCATCCGGACGCAGCAGCTGCAGAGGTTGCTGTCGGTGCTGCGGTCGGTGTAGCTGTGGAGGCATGCGGTGATGGCGAGGAGCAGAGGAGCGGCTGTGAGGTGCAGGTGGAAGGCGAGGGGGCACTGGCGGAGGCAGCAACAGCGGCGGCGGCGGCTGGGTCCTCGGCGGTGGAGTCCTCAGCCACAGCGGCGGAAGAGGACGAGGAGGATGAGGAAGAGGAGTACAGCGATGACACGGACGATGAGGAGGAAGGGGAGGATGGGTATGTGGCGAGCCAGGACTGGGAGGAAGATGAGGAGGAGGAGGGCGAAGAAAGCTCGTCTGATGAGGATGAAGATGAGGACGATGATGACGATGAGGATAGTGAGGACGAGGACGAGGAGGAAGACAGCGACAGTGACGGCGACGGCGGCTTGTCTGGGTACCTTAGCGACGGCGCTGGCAGCGAACCGACTGCCGGGACCACAGCAGCAGCCGCACCTTCCGGCCGGCAGCCTGCACGCGGCAAGGTCGAGGGCTGCGGCATGTCGGGTGCCACAGCCGACGATGGTGACGCAGTCGGTGGTGACGCCGCTGTCGCTGACGCCGACAGCAATGACGTCAGCATCAGCATCTCCGAAACCAGCCTCGGCAGCAGCGACGGCGACAACCCCCCCACCAACCCTCCTCCTCCGCCGCCTAGCACCGGTAAGCACCCGGTCATGCCTCGCTCCGCGGCGGCGCGTCAGCGCAGCCTCCACCACGACTCCGACGACGAGCAGCAGCACCCGCCGTTCTCTCAGCACCCGCCCTCGCAGCGTTCCGCGAGAAGCGCCCGGAGGAGAAGGTGCAGCAGCAGCAGCCAGCAGCCTCTTCCTCGCTCCTCCCTGGCTCGCTCCCTGGGTGCTGCAGAGCTGGCCCGCTCCTTCCATGACCTGCAGCAGAAGCTGGATGAGGTGTGGCGCGGGCAGGACGAGGGGGCCATGCGGCAGGTGCTGGGGCGCATCTGGTCGCTCACGTTGCAGGAGGGGGAGGAGGAGGAGGAGGAAGGAGAGGCTGGTGCTGGTGGCAGCGGGGTTGCGGCTGGTGGTGAGGGGCAGGCTAGGGTAGCAGCTACAGGAGCTTCAGGAGCAGCGAGGGTTGGTGCGGGTGAGGAGGAGGGCGAGCAGCAGCTGCATGGTGGTGGTGAGGGTGGTGGTGGTGGTGGTGGTGGTGATGAGGTGGGAGCCGCGCTGGTGCGTGACGACATCAGTGAGGTGCTGTCACTGGGCTCAGTGGAGCTAGGCAGCGAGGAGGTGGAGGAGGAGGAGGAGGAGGAGGCTCAGCAGCGGCCTCAGCAGCCCTCCCGCAGCCCTGCTGCGCCCGCTGTTCGTCACCTGGCGGAAGCCGCAGCAGCGGCACCCGCGGGACGTGCCCAGCACTCCCGGCAGCCCTCGGCGGGAGCTCTCGGAGGCGACTGCCTGTCCGCCTCCCCGCCGCGACCGTTGGCCTTCCACCCGCCGCCGCCCCTCGTCGTGGACTGGCCGCAACAACAGCAGCACGTGGCCGCAGCCGCAGCCGCTGTTCAGGCCAGCCCGGATCACCTGCCACCCACCCGCCGGCAGCTTCTCCTCCATGCCGCAGCCCCGCACCCCCTGCATCCTCCGCCTCCGCCTCCGCCAGCGGCCTCCCACCCGCTCCCTCCCGCGAGCCCCAAGCAGCACCAGCGCCAACAGCAGGAGGCTCCTGTCCTCTCCTCCCGCCAGCACCCCCTGCCCTCCGTCCGCCCACCCGCCGACTGGGCCCCCACCAGCCACGAACCGCACCACACCCACCAGCACCGTCACCACGACAGCTCCACCTCCTCCTCACCCGAGCCGCCCCGCACGGCCTCAGGCCACCCCACCCCTCCCCGAGAGCTGGGGCCCCTGCGGAGGCCCCGGGCAAGCAGCGCATCCAGCGGAATCGCCTCGGTAGCAAGCGCAACCGCCGGGCTGTTGCATGACGCGACGGAAGCGGCGCCGTCGCCATCGCGACCGGCGCTGCCGCCGCCGCTGCGGGCGCCCAGCCCCGGACGCTGCGCAGCTACTGCTGGAGGAACCGCCGCCGGCGGCGGCGGCGGTGGTGGCAGCGGTAGCAGCAGCGGCAGCGGCCCGCCGGGCCTAGGGCGTGTGAGCGTGGGTCCGCTGGCGCCACTGCGTGCAGAGGTCTGGCCGCGGACCGCTAGCGCTAGCAGCGTTCCGGCGTCGACGTCCGGGGTATCACCGCCCGCAGCAGCAGCAGCCTCGGGAGCAGCAGCAGCCGCGGCGGGAGCAGCAGCAGCAGCGGGAGCAGCAGCCATGCCGCCGTCGCCGTCGGGCGCTAAGCGGCCGTCACAGGACGGCGGAGTGCAGCTGCCGCCGGTGAACCCCTCACCCGTGCCGCAGCGCTTGCGGCCGCGGGAAGGGCGTTTCCGCAGCCCTTCATGCTCCGGATCAGGCTCAGGCGGTGTTGCTGCCGGCCGGAGTGCTGCCCTGGCAGCGGCGTTGGCGGCAGCAGCAGCAGCGGGCTCAGCCGCCGTTGTGGATGGAGGGTCGTCAGCGCAGCAGTGTGCAGTGCAGGAGGGGTCGGCGCATGGAGGAGTGGGGGCCCCCAGCAGCCATGCACATGGGCCGAGCCATGGGCCATCATTGGGGCACCACGATTCGGCGAACGCCCTTTTGTCATCGCCGCCGCCGCCGCCTCCACCCCACAGCCACCACAACCTCCAACAGCAGCAGCAGCAGCTACAGCAGCATGATTCATCGTCATCGCGTCAGGAGCCCGCTGCAGCACAGCCGGTTCCCGCTAGCTCCAACACCGCAACCACCAACAGCAGCAACAACAACAACAAGAACAGCAACCACCATCAACCACTGACACGGCGCGCGTTATCAGCCCGAGGGGCCTACAGTTCCGCCTCGCCACTCGTGCCGTCGCCACACCTGCTAGGACCCAGCAAGAGCGTCGGATCGGGCGCGAACGGATCGGGCGTGCCGCCGACCCATGGGTCATCCCCCATGGCTGCCCACCCCGCGGCAGGCGCAATGAAGCAGCCCAGTCCCGGTCGCGGCTCTTCCGGTTCTGTGGGCCCGGGTCCGCATGCGGTCTACAATGCTGAAGCAACCGCGGCTGCGGCCGTGGCTGCGGCTTCCGCGGCGGGGGAGGTCAGCGGTAACGAGTGGGAGGTAAGCCCCTTCAGCATGCTGCGAACCGGCCGCACCGCAAGCGGTTCGCCACTGCTACCTCGCTTGCTGTCAGGCGCCTCGCATTCCGGGCCCTCCACGCCCAAGGGCGCAACGCTTGCAGGGGGGCTGGCAGGCGGGTGCGGGTCGGGAGCGGGCGCCACACCGGCGTCGGCAGCGGGGACGCCTACGCATACCAGTCGGCGCCGGCTGGGCAGTGCGTCCCAGTTTAGCAGCGGCAGGAGCCCAACCGCACCCTCGTATGTTGCAGCTGCAGCTGCAGCGGCAGCTGCTGCGGCCGCCGCCGCCGCCGCCGCCTCGGGATCTGAAGAAGGAGCCTCCAGCGTTGGCAACGGGAACGGCACTTCTGAAGACAGCAGCGAGGCCGCTGCTACCGCCGCGGCCGCTGCAGATGCAGAGGCCGCTGCTGCTACTGAACGCAGCAGGAGCCAGATGTGGCATGCCGCGGTGGCGGAGGCAGTGGTGGCACTCGTCCGCAGCCGCGGCAGCCCTGCACCTGCCTCTGCGCGCGCGGAGGGGAGAGCAGCCGCCTCGCCGCCTCCCGGAGCAGCGATGGCGGCAGCAGCGGGTGGTGGAAGCGCTGCTGCCGGCGGCATCAGCAGCAACGCCGGCGGTGACAGCACACCCAGCGGAAGCGCCCGGGGGCCGTCCGGAGGCAGCAGCAGCAGGTGGAGTGCTCGGCCGCTGTCCGGGCAGTCGCCTGATCGCATGGGTGCGGCTGCAGCTGCCATGACCGGTGCGCCTGCTGCTCGCATGCAATCCCGGGATGCTGATGCTCACCATGCTTACCACACGCACATCCAGCAACAGCAGCAGCAGCCACCACAGCAGCATCAGGCAAACGGTCAGCACTCAGCAGCCGGCGCCGTTCGGCCACCGCTGCCGCCGTCTCAAGCCGCCTCGACAACCGATCAAGGTCACCATGAGCATCAACAGCAGGAGCGAGTCGAAGCCACCCCAGGTATCGGTGCTGTAACGGCTGTCGTACCAGCTGCGGGCGGAGCGGCGGCTTCTCCAGGAGCCGCCGCTGAGGGGTCAGCTGGGGCTGCTGGTGGGGGTGCGGCTGCAGGGGCGAAGCTAGGTGAGCTCATGGCTGACATCCGGCGTTGGAAGCTTGACCGGATGCGGCACCGGGCAGGGGCGGGTGCAGCAGGGAAGCAGGTGCAAGGAGGGGGAGGCGGCGGTGGTGGTAAGAAGGCGGAAGGGGCTGCAGCTGGAGCGGCGGCGGCGGCGGTGCAGGTAGCCGAGTAGTCGCTTGGGCGGTGTGATGTGTGACCGCTCTGCACAACGCTGCAGAACCTGAGGCCTGGGTTAGGGCTTGATGTCGGTTGGGGTGGCGTAGATGTCGTAGGGTGTAGCAGGATGGTAGGAGCAGACTGCCCGAGGGCGCATGTGGCATGTCATGACGTGTATAGAGGCTGTGACGGCTTTCAGGACCGCTTACCGGTAGGACCAGCGGCGATGCACCGGCCGCGCGTGTGGAGGTTCTGTACGACATCCCTCGCGTCATAAAAATGATACCTGCTGATATAGTACATATGAACGAACCTCACGCGTGTTGTTTTTGAGTTTGTCCTACAATGTGTACTCTTGTTCGTTGGTTTGGGTGTAGTAGGGTGGTAGCACCTCATGGACGGGTTTCCCGATTGATACGGTGGTAGCAGACGCAAGCACTCATGTACGTATCGTACGGTAGTAATATGCATGTGGGTACGTGTGAATACCTGCTGTTAAGGCTTTAAACTGGCATGGCTTCCCGTTACGCGTGCGCAAAGCATGCAGCGGAGGTCGTATTTGGTTTTGTACGGTGCAGTGTTTTTGTGTGTGTACGGCAGATGTTTAAATAGCGAATGTGAATATGTGATGTTGTCCTTTGCAGCTTCATCCCGTCTCCTGCGTTGCACGGAGGCTGCATGCCAGCTTGCTTCCAACGCTGAACACTACGGTGTAGTAGTTGCCTGACATTCATGCATTTAACGGGCCGATCCACATGCGACTCTTCTATTCATGGTACCGTCCCATATCGGCCATATGTGTCGTGAGCAATGGACAAACGCCGGCCTTGCATGCTAGGCCGGTCAGAGCTGTAACCTGAATGCCGACTGTCGTTGCTGCATAATTCTAGCTACTTTACCGAACCCGCTGCCATGGCATGACACGCATTGCGGGGTTGTTTGAGTACCATAGCTAGCACAGCTGGGGAGTGTACGCAACTGCAATAGGGGGGATACGATACGGGTCATATGGCGCCAGGCTTAAGGAACCCGGTCATCGATATGGGTCGCGGTCGGAGGGATGGGTTACGGGAACATAAGGATAACCGTCCAGCTCGCCCAGGCTTAGTACGTAATATGAAGTTATTTGGTGAGTAAAACAGCGTTATCTGTGGACCATAGAAGAGTCAGAGCAATCCACCTCTCTTGAACCAAATAAAGTTCGTACGATGCTCGTGCGCAATTGACCGCCTTTTTGTTACAGCAAGAGCTGACCCTTTATGCTGACAATTACAAGACCTCTTGGCAAAGCTAAGCTGACGGGTGATCCATAGACTCTTGACCTGGCCCGATTTTTAAAGTTCTACCTTGATGGCTGACCTTGCTGTGCTTAGGACAGCTAAGCAGGCCCTCGATGAGGGTCTGCTGAATAGTGAGGACTACGATTTCATTAAGAAGGCTTTCCTTCGCGCGCAGCAAATTAAGGCGGGCTTAGATGCAGGGTTCATCAATCCGGAGGACTATGTACAGGCTCGGGACTCCTTCCTTCACTCTCTCGACTTCGCGCTGGTGGGCTCGTCCTCTCTAACGCGGGAGTCTTCGCTACCCACCCCTGGCAGTCCAAAGGGCGCGGTAGCGGCGGCACCATTCGTCCAGCCCATTAACACACGACCACCACAGGCCGCCTCCTTCCGGGCTCCCCCTCACCAGCGTGATTCCCCCACGGCAGCGCAAGCAGCAGCTGCTGCGGCGCCTCCTCCCCAGCCTGCCCGTACCAGCGGGGGTGCTTCGGGCTCGGGCACCGTCCCCATCCCCACCGACATCCCAGCCGCGCGCGGTGGCCGTACATCCATGACCAACAACAAGGTACTTCACAGCGGGCTGTAAAGCTAGAAGCCGAGTCTTTGTCATGCCATGTTTCGGTTTTCCCGCAAGCGATATGAAAACCTTCCGGGTTTGGGGTCAATGGCCGTTCGCGACCATTGAGGTTCCGTCACCCTGCCGTCACCCTTCTACCCGTGCTTACCCCGTCCCTCAACCCCCTCTCGCCCGCATCGCTCTTCTCCTTCTTCTTCTTTCTCCCGCCTGCCCGGTCAACCTTCAGACGTCCATGTCGGGTATCTCCGTCAACGATCAGTGCGTCGCCATCTTCCAGCACATCAAGAGCAAATCGGCGGTGAGCGCGGCCTCCGGCTTGTCCACCTCTTGGGGGGTAAAGATAAAGAAACACCTCTTGGGGGGGGGAGGCTACCGTAGCTTGACACCCCCAGGGAATCCTTGGACGACTGCAAACCTGCCCCTGTAATTTCGAGACCAAGGGCTTGATCCCCATGCTGTTCGCTTATGCACAGCCTTCGCACGGCCCCGTCGCTTAAGCCGTCGATCCCGTCCTGTGGGATCACCTGGGTTCGGTTGGCTGCTGACTGATCTTCCTCTTCTTCGTCCTTCACGCAAGGTCCCCTAACGCCCACCTTTCCTTCCTGACCGCAGTACAAGTGGGTCACCTACAAGGTCAACGACGCGGGCAACGAGGTAATCGCCGGGATCCCTTTTTGCAATAAGCACGTCGGGTTATTGGCGAGCAGTTGCATGGTGCATGCATGCCGCCACCTAGACTGTCGTTAGTCGCTTGCGCACAATTGTGGGTTTCGCTCCGTCGTACAATTGCCGGTCAACGCAGGTGGTTGTTGACCAGCTGGGGGCCGCGGATTCGTCGTACAGCCAGTTCGTTAGCGTGCTTCCGGAGAACAACTGCCGATACGCAGGTGCGTGCGGTTTTACCTGGAAATCGTCCTTTTCCTCCAGCGATCTCCGTATCTACTCTATCTTCCTTGCGCTTGTCTTCACAAATGTGGGGACCAGGGGACGACGAAGCCGATTTGGGTCAAGCGTTTGCCCTGCCTTGTTTCCTTGCTTCCATACCCGTATGTGTGCTCTCCGGTCCGCTTACACCTCATCCCCGGGTGCATGCATATCCCTGTGTTCCTGCACTGCAGTGTACGACTACGCCTACCTCAACGCGGACACCAACCAGACCAACAACAAGCTCGTCTTCGTGCACTGGTGAGCAGCGCAAGCAAGCAAGCGCGCGCGGGGCCGGTTTTGCGGTCCTGAATGGCTGACACTCCCGCATGAAGGGGCCCATCAGACACGCTATTGTGTTACATGCTCCCCATATGCCGCTGCATGTGTGCATCCCAGGAATCTTGCCCACACCAATCCGTGGAGCTTCACAACCCATCACCAATGTTACCTCCGCATCCAACTTTGACCCCCCCTGCCTCCCCATCCCTTCCTCCCATGCTTCCTCCGCCCCCCCCTGCCTCCCACTTCTCAAACATGTTTTCCCCGCTCCACACCCCACACTTGTTGTTTCATTTTTTTATTTTCCCCGCCCCCCACCCCCACCCCCTGCAGGGCGCCCGACAGCAGCACCACCAAGCACAAGATGATGTACGCCTCCACCAAGGACTTCCTGAAGTCCTACCTAGAGGGCCTTGGTGCGGAGCTGCAGGCCACCGACCTCAAGGAGCTGGCGGAGAGCGAGATGCGGGAGCGGGTGGGGCAGGCCATCACGCGCAAGTAGAGGGGCGGGGAGGGAGGAGGAGGGAAGTGGATTGCGGAAGAACAGGTTGGCGAAAAGGCAGGGGAGAGGGGGGGAGGACTGGGCGGGATAGATGGGACAGGCGGAGTGAAGCAAGGAAAGGGGAAGGAAGCGGGCGTGGGTCGGTGCAGCTAGGTGCCAATGGGATGAGGGCGCCTTGAGCAGTTTGGCGCAAGACTAGGAGGGAAGGGGATGTGGGGAGGTGGTGGGAGGAGGAGGTGCAGCAAGAGGCTCAATGACTTGTGAGCATCGGCGTGGGTCTAGAAGGCTGTGATGAGGAGGATACGAGGCGAGGCGAAAGAACTGGTGGAGTTAAGACAGTGGTAGGAAGCGTGCGAGAACAGGGGGGCTTCATGATTGGGGTTGGGGGATAGAGACCATAGGAGTAGCGTTTGGGCCTTTTTCGCAGGTGGTTTCCGCGGGGGTTAGTAGCCGCCCTTCTGAGCATCAAAAATGAGTACTCGTGCGGTAGATGCTGGTGGGAGGGAGGATGCCGTTGGAGACTGATAGGGCCTGCTTTGGATCTCGTAGTGGTTCGAGCTTACTTTCGCAACATGACGCAAAACTGCTGCTGCTGCTGCGGGAAGCCTGACCCGCTGGTGCATACGTTTGGCAAGCACCCTGCTGCGATACCTGTACTGCAATGGAGCGGCTTGCATGTAAGGGGCTTACTGCTGACATTGCACTGTGCTATGCAACATTTGACATTACCGGTATGCAAAAGCCAGCGATTGGCGTGGTTAACAGTACGGCAGGGGCCGAGAGCCCTAGACCCTGCACTACGGAAATTGTAAACGTACGGGATGGGGACTCGTACTGCCTGTACTGGTATGTTACCGCTTGGTTAATTGGAGGACACCACCTGGATTGCGACCCTTGGTCATAACACGCCTTCGTTGCGGCGCTATACCATCTACTCATTCGGTGATTAGCCCCTGGACTGCTCATAACGGCATAAGGAAACTGAAGTCCGTTGCCTGTGTTTCGTTCTCACATGCCGTGTTTCGTTCTGCGTGCTAATCATGAACACCATACGGGAAGGAAGTGTACGGCCATGGCGTTACATTAGGGATATGCTTCTAGTCAATTGACTGGGCCACAAGCTGAGCACCTACTCTCAGCAGCATGTGCCGTTTGAGCACCTAAAACAGTTGCAGCAAGATCTCCTCCACGTCCTCAGCTATAAATCATCAGGGATTGTGAGCTAACAAGTCCGGGCTATCATGTAAAGACCCATGGGTCTCGCTTGCATGCGCATGCACGCATATCATGATATCATTCACCAACATCCTCATCTACCGCCCTATCCTATCTCATATCTCCATCTCAATGAGCTACCAGCCTAAAGTAAAAGTCATTAGTCGCTACAGAATGCACACGATGAGGGTTCATGAGTGCACGCCCGTAAGGCATCAGATGGCAAGCAAGCCGCCCCATGCGGGGCCGAACTCATGCAGGTGTCGGGAAGACCTTTTCAGGTGTGGTTCCCTGCCCTTAACCTTGCGGGGGCCGTGCAATCGCCTCTTCGGCGCAGAAGCTAAAACATCTATAGCTCCTGAAAAGCCTCTAAAGAGCAGCTCCTACGCTGCTCTCCGCTGTCACAGGTCAGAGTGGGCGCCAATGCTACCGCGCGCCACAATGGTCGAATCACGACCCCCGGCATGTACTGCCTTAGGGGAACTCACTGACTAAAAGGCCTCACACGGCCCACAATAAATATCTCAACTAGCACCTAATCACCAGCAAGACAACAACCACCGTTGCCCCCTCCCGGCAACATCTCAACCTCAATCACAACAAAAGCCCTACCGAAGTTCCCAAGTAACTCTCGGCATGACGACTACAACAACTGGGAGCCCATTGTACCTCCGACCCGAACTCGCCTCAAATAATCCTGAACAAGTAGCTAACAACCTCTAAAACAACCTGCACCCCAGCAGCCTACGCATCCTCCTCCTTCACCGCAGCCAACCGGAGGTACTTTCCAAACTCCTCCAGCGACCGCTCGTATTCCTCCAGCGACGCGCACCGCCAGTCGCCACTCGCCGCCCCATGCGCACGACCAGGCGTCACCGGCAACCGCACCAGCCGCGGCGACCGCGAACGAACCGGGCCATCAGACACCGCTGCTGCCGCCGCCGCCGCCTCCGCCTCATGCGGCAACTCCGATTGCACCCATCCCAGCTCCGTTACCTCTGCTCCTGCTGCCGCCCCCTCCTCCTCCTCCTCCTCCTCCTCCACAGCAGCATGTAGCTGCTTCACAACCTCGCCAACCTCCTCCTCAACCGGAAACACTCGCGAGGACTGCGGCATGCCAGACAGCAGCAGTCGAACCGCCTCCTCAGCCGCCGCCGCCACCTGCGCCTCCATCTCCTCCAGCGACTCCGGCACCAGCTGCTGCTGCTGCATGTCACTGCAGTCGCTGCTGTTGGAGGGACTCAGCGCCGCATCATACACCAGCGCTGCATGGTCGGCTGCGGCGGCCGCATGCAGGTCCAACACCACCCGACCACCCTGGTGTCCTACAATCCCATGCGCATCCTCATCTCCCACACTCGCGGACTCCTTCGGCTGTACCTCATCGGTCGCCTTCTCCTTCACCTCCTCCTCATCGGTCTCAATGGAGAAGTCGGCAACTTGGATAACAGCCTTCGTGTCGCCCGCATCGACCGGGAGGGATTCCCCAGCCGGTAGCACTGTACCCGCCTCCGCTTCGGCAGTTTCCAGCGTTTGCTGCTCGTCGTCGTCTTCATCTGCAGGTGTGCAGCAGTCCGCTTCCGCGAGGGTGGGACGCGGGCCCTCTGCGAGTCGAGGGCTAGCGGGAGCCGGGGCAGCAACCACACCCTCAGGACTAATGGCTGTTACTGCTGCTATCGATTCTGCTCCTGTTCCTGCTATAGCGGTTGTTGGTACTGCTTCGACTGTCGCTGCTGTTGTCTGGTGTGCTCCTGCTATTGCTGCTGCTGTGGTTGTTGTTGCTGTCGCGCGAGGGCTAGCTGGGACCACCTTGAAGGGAACCGACTGCAGGTGCTGACCCCCCATGGCGGCTGCCACAGTGACGCCAACGGAGGCCGCGGGACTTGCCAGGGTCTGATAGCTCAGCTGAGCCGCCTCGGGTGTCGGCGCATCGGCGGCTGGCGGTGCCGCAACAACCGCCTCATCAAATGCCTCATCGGGAGCCTCCGTCATCGTGGCCGTCGCTGCTACTGCTGTTGCGGGGACCTTCGACTCCGTCAAATCTACGTCATTATCACCCCTCAGCAAAGCGCTGCTACTGCCGCCAGCAGCAGCCCTGGTTGGCAGCTCTACAGGCGCTGCTTCCAAGACCGCTTGGCTCCCTCCAGTGCTGCTTGCGTTGCTGCCTGCGCAACCCACACCACCGCCACCGCTGCTGCTACCCCCGCCGCTGCTGCTTCCGGAGCCGGCACCTGTCGTACCCACCACGCCCATCGAAGCCAATGACGTCTGCCGGGCCATCGCCAGCATCGCATAGCTACCCGCCGGAAAGCGTCCGCTGCTGCCACCCGACGCAACAGACCGCCCGCCCCTCGCTCCTCCGGCACTCCCGACATCCGCCGGAGCCGCCGCTGCTGCTACCGGTGCTGCCGCTGCCGGGCCTCCCTCGCCGTCCGCAGTGCTCTTAGCATGCACCACCAGAGCATGCTGCTGATGATGATAACCTCCTCCACCACCACCACTAGCACCACTCGCACCGGCGTATAATCCACTAGAGCCAACGGAAGCAGCATGTTGGGAAGAAGATCTCACAAAACGCGAGGCAGTGGGCAGCGCGTAATGCGGCACGGGGCCGGAGCGAAGGGGCGGATGGCTTTGCAGCAGCTCAAGGTAGCTGCCCGGGGAGGCGCCGCTGATGCCGTTTCGGGGAGTAACCGTCGTTGCCGCTGCTGTTGCGGTTGCGGTTGCTGGGGCTGATGCTGTGGTTGCGGTTGCTGGAGCGGTGGTGGTTGCGGACGTCATGGCAGCCAGGAACTCCGGAGGAGCGCTGTAAACTCCTCTTGGTGGTCTTGCAGTCTTCTCCTCCTTCTCCGTTGCCGCAAGGACCGGTGCTACGATGTTACTCAAGGCCCGCTGCCGCGGTGGCGGCGGTGGTGGCGGTGGCAGCGCCGATTGCTGCTTCTCTGTTAGCAACCCCTGCTGTACGGACTCTTGCACCGCCGTACTTCCCACTACTGCTGTCGTCGCTGCTATTGTTGTTGCTACTGCTGCTGTACCTGCTCCCCCCATTGAAGTGGGAGCACTAGACGGCGCGCTAGACGGGGCACTGTACGGGCCATTCTCCCTGGAAGCGACTCCTCCAACCGATTCATCCCCCATCCGAGCACCAGCACTAGCACCAGCAGCAGCAGCGGCACGAGGGCGCTCCGACAACGCCGCTCGAGCCATGAGCTCCTCCAAGCTCACAGACGCTGAAACTGCTCGTACCTCCTCCAGCTGTTGCTGCCGTACCTCTTGCTGCTGTTGCTGCCATGCAGCTGCCGCCGGTGCAGACACCCGCACGGAAGCGATTGCGTCCACTGGTGCACCCGACATACCCGCCAACAGCGATGGCGACGTGGTCTCGCAGCCAACCTTCGATACCGCCGAACTGCCGATGGCAGGATGATGAGGGTCCCAGCAGCCGGGCATCACGCCACCATGCGCAGCAGCAGCGGCGGCGGCGGCGACAGTGGGCTGATGCATTTGCCCGTACTGGTTGCCAGGCTGGAGGACGCTCATCACCGGGACCACCATGGGAGCTGTGGCGACAGCGAGGGCTGACGGCGGCGTTCGGCTGAAGGCTCTAACCGCAGCCACGGCGCCCTCGCCGCTACCGCCCAGAAGCTGTATGAGATCAGCAAAGATCGCGTCAGTGGTGGCGGTGGCGGCGGAAGGGAAGGCGCCGCCGGCTGACAGGCTACCGGGTTGCTTTTGCAGCTTGCCGAAACCGGTTGCGGTCTTGTTGGGATTGAGGAGGTTGCTGCTGGCACCGCCTTGGGACAGGGCTGTCGCTGTGGTCGTTGCTGTTGGGTTGGTGGAAGCAGCTGTGGTGGTGCTGGTGGTGGAGCAGCCAAAGCGGGAAAGCAACGCGGAAAGGTCGAGCGACGTCATCAGTGGCGGTGTGATGGGCGAGGCGACGGCGCGAGCGGGAGCGGGAACAGCAGCATGGGCATCTCCCCGTTCGGACTCCCCACGCAACGCGGATTTCGCGACTGCTTCCGCTGCAGCGATGAGCGACGCGGCGGAAGCTCCAGTAGAGGTTGCTACGGAGCCCGGCTGCAGAGGCGCAGCAGCAGCAGCAGCAGGAGGTGCTGCAGTAGCAGCAGCCGGGGCGGCTAGCACGCTGGTATCCAGAGACGGGCGGTGAACGCCCCGAGGAACAGTGTTACTTGCGGCGGGAGCCGCTACGGAGGCGACAGCGGTGGCGCCAAAGGTAGTGGCGGCGGCTCCGATACGCGGCGAGATGCGATGAGCCGTCATCGCAACGCTGCTAGGACCAATGGTAGCTGAACACCCATGCGTTGTGTGCTGCTGCTGTTGTTGCAGATGGGTGTGCAGTGGTTGTACGGCGGCGACTGGAGGAACGGCGGCGGCGGCAGTTGTTGCCGTTGTGGTGTTGTTCAGCAACGGCCGTTTGTACGGCGGTTGACGCAGGATTGAGCTCTCGAACAATGGAACACGTGGCGAGGGCATTGCCACATGCGGCAGCGGCGGCGGCGGCGCTGTAACCGACGTTCCCGCGATGCCAAGCCCATGGGTTGCCATCGCACGTCCTCCATGCCTCCAGACAGGCTGCGAGTCCTTCTCTCTTGCACGGCTAGACAGAGCTCCTCCTCCGCCGTTGTTGCCGCTGTTGCCTGCTGACCCGGCTGCTGCCGCCGCGGTGCCAGCTGCAGCAGCCGAAGCAGATGCAGCTCCCGCCTGCCTGCCCGCAGGTGCCGTCGACGGGACTCGCGCCTTCACTCGCCTGCGGTTCGGGTTGCCGCCTTCCTTTGCCGCCGTAGCCGTGCCGGACGCGCCCTGGGCACCGCCAAACACAGGACCGCCGACTCCACCAATCCCAACCATCATACCCGCAGCGCTGGCGCCACCACTACCACCAGGATCGCTACTGCGTACGCACCCCCCACCGCCGCCGCCTCCGTTGCTGCGCCAGATACCGTTGCTACCCCCAGCATCGGCTGCATGCGCCCCGCTGCGACCACTTGCAGTGGACTTCCGACGCCGCATGGAACCGCTACGAGCCTTCCCGGCTGCAGTTACAGGCATGGGCGGCGGCAGAAGGGCCGTGAACTCGAGACCAGCCGCCGAGGCGGTTGCATCTGGCAGGGAGCTGCTGCGCCCGCTGGCTAGGTCTTCAGCATGCATGGCTGCTTGGATCTGGTCCAGCATCTCCTCAAGCGGCATCGCGGCCAGCTTCTTGGCGTCCAGCTGACCCAAGCCGTGACTGAAGGGATTGGGAGCGCGACCTCGCTTGCGGCTGCTGCGATCTGCTGCGGACACTGCCGCCGCCGCGGAGGGCTGTTGCTGTGGCGGCTCGGGCAAGGCAGCAAGGGTAGCAGAACCTGCTGTAAGGAGAAGGCCCTGGGGACCAGTCGTGTTGCACTGCAGGGCAGCGCTGGCGGCCTCTGCACCCGCGGCGGCAGCAGCCGCGCAAGCAGCCACCGCTGCAGCGCAAGCAGCAGCAGCAGCAGCGGCCGCGTCAGCTCCGCCACCGCTTCCGTCTCGCTTGACTGGAACCAGCGCGGTCTGGGGAAGGGACCGTGTGGCCAAGGGCCCTGCCTCGTCCTGCTGCATGCGTTGCCGCTGACGCTTCAGCTCAGGTGGTGTTCCCGCAGTTGTTGAGACCGCTGTTGCTGCTGCTGCTCCCGCCGGGTACGACGCTCCGAGGGTTGAAGAGGACGGCTGCGGCAACTCCCCGGCATTCTCAGTTGGGCTGCGAGTGGTCCGTTTTGAGGAGGGCTGTGACCCCGGCAGCGCGCGAGCTTGTCCCTGACCCTGACCTCCTCCGTTGCCGCCAAAGCCAGGAGCGAGCAGCAGATCAACGGGGCCCGCAGCACGTGATGGAGACCTGGGTTGCTGGGATTGCGGCTGTGCGGTCGAGTTGGTGCGAACGGCGGCGCGGTCAAAGGAGCTGTCGGCATCCTCGCTACGGACACCTCGTCGCATGCTGGGGCTAGGCGGCGTGGAGGAGGTAGCGGTGTTGCCGGCCGGACCACATCGCTGCCCGGACTTGTAGTGCGGGCTCCTGACTGCGAGGGACCCCGGGCTGGTGAGTTGCTGGTGGGGTGGTAGCGGCAGAGGCGGCGGAGTGGCGAGCGCGGATTGACGGGCAGCAGCAGCAGAGATGGCGTTCTTGGCGTGCTGCGGCGTCCGCGGCGTGGTGTTGCCATCCGTCCCAGTGTTTAGCGGCGACTGCTGTTGGGTGGTTCGAATGGAAGCAACGTTGAGGATGCAGGCGTCTTGCTCAATCTCGACCGGTACCGGTGTGGTGACGTCGCTCGGGGATATCAGGACAAGCGCGTCGCTGGTGGATACGGCAGCAGCAGCAGCAGTAGCTGTCGCATCCGCCTCTGCGCTGGCCTTGTCCAGCTGATCAGGGCTGCCCTGACCAGCCTCCTTCGCAGCGACGTGAGTGGGCTGGGGGCCATGGGCGCCTCCCCAGCAAAAGCACGACAACAGACCTCGGAACAAACCCCGCTTGGGCGCTTCAATCGATTGCCTGCCTCCCTCCTTCTCAATGCTGGTCGTCCTCGTCCCACACAACTCATCGCTGCAATCAACACCACCAACAGCAGCTCCAGGCGATCCGGCCTCCAACGTCGGCTCCGCCTCCGTGGCACGAGCCTCAACCACCGCCTTCTCCGCAATTCCAGCCTCCAGAATAGGGCCCCCACCGCTGAGCAGCATGCGACTGCTGCCCCGGTGCGATAAAGTAGACGGAGCGAACGAGGCGCCCGAGCTCCGATCGGCATCCAGGCGACACGAGGAACGACGCTCGTCCAACGCAAGCTTTGCGGCAGCCGCGGCGGCAAGGGCATAGTCCTCGGCATCGGCCCCAGCATCGCAATCGGAAACAGGCGGCATGGGTGGTGGTGGTGGCGGGGACTGAGGTGGCTCTGAGGGGGCTAGCTGGGGTTGCTGCAGGTGGTTGAGCGGTGCGGTGACGGGCGCCGAGTCGGCAGAGGAGCGAAGCTTGGCTGCGGCTGTGGGGGCAGTAGCACAAGGGGCGCGCCGGAAAAGAAGTCAGTGGGCAACAAGGGCAAGAATGGGGATACTAAAGTCCCCTCCAGCAAAGCCATAAAGTGTGTACTTGAAAGGAGCCCTTGCGTGCAGCATAGGCAGCAAAGACTGGCAAGAGCGGCAGAGTAAAAGCGAGTAGCAATTTCCCACGCCTAAACCCCTGATACCGAGCTATCGTGCGACGTGTACGGTAGACGTGTGAGACCCTCACCTTGCAACTCAGCGTACGTGGTTGGCCTTCTGGAGTCTTCCCTCTCCCGGATCCCACCCCGCAGGTTCTTAGAGGACAGAGTTCCGGCCGCGTGGGAACGACACAGCCGCCTGAGCAGCGTACGGCAGGGGGACGAGGCGGCAGCCGGAGAGGTATGAGTGCCGCCTGCAGCGGCGGCGGTGGAGGTGTGACGGGTGTTGACTGCAGCAGCGGCGCTGTGACTGCTTGGGGTCTTACGCACTGCAGCGGCGGCTGCAGCTGACTCGGCGGCATCGTCGGCGCATGAGGCCAGCCGCGTGTGCGGACGAGCTGGCGGAGGGAGGGAGGGATACGTTCATGGCGTCAGAGGGCGTTGAATGGAATGAAACCAGGGAATGTGCAAGACATAGGCTGCAGGCTACGACGCCCTTTGTAAGCAGTCCTGCATGTCCCCCCCATCATGGTAACCCCGGGGTCGCATCCCACTTCCCGCCCCTCGCATGCTCTCACCTCCTCCAGGCGACGCAACACCATCCTCTACGCCTGCACCACCACCACCACCAACAGCGGTTGTGGTGGTCGCACCAAACGGCAGCGGCTTGGCTGCATCAACCCATGAGTCACAACCGCCCTGGCTCCCTCGCTGATGCGGGTGATGCGGCCGGTGGGGTGCGTTGGTGTCATGCGTGGACGACGGCTGCTGTTGTTGCTGCTGCTCTGGTGGCTGGAGCTGACAAGACTTGTCAGCAGCCGCAGAAGCCCGAAGCTGCTCTTGGAGTTTAGCAGAGGATGTCAGGGCGGCGGGCGCACCTGCTGCTGCTGCGGACGTTGGTCTTCCTCCTGCTCCTCCTCCTGTCGCTGCTGCTGCTCCTGTTCCGCTGTGACTCGAGGTGTCACGCACGTCGCGCTGAAGGAGGTTCACCACGACGGGGCTGGTGCTGCGTTTCAGCAGCGGACGAGGGTGCCGCGTCATTGCCTGCGAGGGGGACTGCGCCGCCGCCATCAACGACACGTCAAAGCTGCCGCCCGAGCCCGTGGCGGAGAGATCCGACCAGGCGGCTGGGTGGTTGTGTTGGTGGGGTGACGCGGAGGTACCGGATGCGGCGGAGGGCGAGGGCGCAGGGGCTAAGGCTCCGTTGTTGTTGCTGCTGTGGTTGTTCCGCTGGTCGGCAAGTGGCGCGTAGCCTCCTCGAGGAGACTCGGAGGCAATGGGCAACTGCCGACGCGGACCATGCTGGTGATGGTGGTGCGGGTGACGAGGAGATGGGCGGATGTGGTGGCTAGCGGAGGAGGAAGAGGATGCGGCGGCTGCTCGGGGCGGCAGAGCGGATGATCCGGGAGTCGCCGGCAGCAGTCGTTGTTGTTGTTGTTGCTGCTGCCTTGGAGGTTGCGACAGCCCGCTGGCGGTCCCCGTCGTCATGTTGGATGCGGACTCGGAGGGGTTGCGAGACGACGACACAGGTCGCGGGTGTGACAGCGCCGAAGCCGGTGACGTGGCCTGTTGCTGCCCTTGCTGCGGCTGTTGTTGTCGACCCCCCGGGTGCTTGGCGTGGGGGGCCGAGGAGGTGTTGATGTCGTTGCCTCGGGGCTTCAGCGGGGAGCCCATGATCGACTCCAGCAGCGACAGCGCAGCCGGGTCCATGTCGTGCATGTCGGGGTCCATTGCGAGTGCGGCGATGACGGCGGAGGTGGTCTTGCCGAGGGTGGCGCCGAGGGGTCTGGGGGGAGCAGGGAGGAGGGTGGACATTGGTTACGAGGGGGCATGTTTTGAGATGCAAGCACGGAAGGAGCACTGGGATAACGCAGAACGGAGCAGGCCGTTATTGCCGTTACAGGAAAGCAGTCTATGGAGTTCTGAGTCTTTAAGTCAACGAATTGGTCCGGTTGACGAAAGAGCCGCATGATCAACGTGGCAGCATCAGAACCACAGGCAGAGGCACCCAAGTGGCTTAACTCAAACGCATCAATCTTCATCGCTTACTTTGACTTTGACTGCTGTCGATACCGCCCGTCCAGTCCACTGGGTTGCAGCTTCTGGACCCGAGCAGCGCAGGTGGACAGCGTCCTCAAGCCGGCTGGAGAGGCCCGGGCAGCCGGCAGCGCCGCGGGGCTGCCTGCTGCGGCGCCCGCCGCTGCGTAGGCCGTGCGTTGGTTGTGGCGGCGTGCGTAGCCGGAGCCGCCGCGCAGGAACTTCCTTCCCGCGGAAGCAGGCGACACACCGCAGCTTGCTTGACCGACGGAAGCATCGTCGGGTTCCGTTTGCTCGGAGGTGCAGGTTGTGGAAGTTGGCGGTGGGCTGCGCTGGTGATGCGGCCTGGGTGAGTTGGCGTAGTGTGAGGTGTCCATCGGCGAGAAGGCGACATTATTGCCGCGAGGCGTTTCTCGTGGCGTCAAGCGAGGGCGGCTGACGCCATCTGGCTTCTCTGCAAATATAAAAGGAGGAGGCAAAGAGGTTGAGGAAGGCGGACAAGGTCAAAGAACCACGGACGATAGTGAAGACTGGCCATGGCCAATATGCGGGCCCTGACCAGGAGGCTTACCGTAACGAACGTTGCCGGGTGACAGTTCCAAGTCACCGTAAAGGCCATTGAAGGCCATTTGAATCCTCTCGGCGCCCTTTGGGCGCCCCTGACGAGGGGTCAGCTCTATCCGCATTGTCGCAACCAGCAACGAACGACAAGATTATGGCCGGAATCTGCGACCAGGTGCAACAGATGGTGTTAACAAGGAAATTGTTCATAAAGCTTGCGGCTGGGCGTGCGCGGTTCGCCAGTCTTGTTTGCTACGGGCTGGACCGCTCGGCGGTCAGAACATGCATTTCTGTTAGCGCAGGTCTAATATACAAGCGAAATCGTGTAGGCGACATCACTTCTGACCAGTGGTGCTCACCGTCACTGCATTTTGCTCAGAGTTGCGGAGTCAACGACCCGGTGGCCGGGTCTCATGCCGAGTCACACTGTTGCCAAAGCTTTCCTTTTCAGTCTTCGGCAACAACCTATCAAAGTTGTTATGTGTATCTCTACTGCTATGGTCCTCTTTTGCAAAAACGCTACCAGATAGGCGTCAACCAGGTGTACGGCTTCTGGTTCTGGAGCACCATAACCCACTGTGCGTTACCAAGACAGTTTCGCTTGGGGAAATTTGATACTTACAAGTCTCTGTTACGTTTATAGTAGCTGCCTTTCCGGTATTCCTTTCTTGGCAGCTAGCTGTAAAGTGGATTAGGTTACCAACCTTATGCCGTCATGTCTACAGTAAAGATTCTTTTCGCCGGTGCTGTTGAGGGGGACTTGCCGGGCCTCTTCAAAAAAGTAGAAGCTGTCAACAAGAAGAATGGGCCATTTGACGCATTGTTTTGCACCGGACAATTCTTCGGTAGGTTTCCGATCACCTTACACGCGATACGGATGGTATCAGTCTCATCTGGTAACCAGCTAAACAATCGACTATCCGCCGCCGGTGTGCATGCGTGCTTCTCCATGGCAGGGCAAGGCGACGACTTGGCCGACCCCAACGATGCCCTCATAGCCTACGTTACCGGCCAAGCCAGCATACCCGTCCCAACATACTTCATCGGGGGCTTTGGTGAGCAACATGCCGTACCGAGCACATCCTGAGTTGCGGGACATCCATCTACTTGTCTTCGCACCGCTTTTAGAACGCTAGGCAATGCCTCCCTCCCCCGTCTCCCACCCATGCCAGGCTCCCATGGTGCAACCTAAACATACACGGTTAATCAATAACGTCCTCCTCCTTATATCCCACCCCCCCACCCACACCCTCCACTAGGCTCCGGCAGTGAAGCCATCCTAGCCGCACTGCCCGCCTCCAAGGCGCACCTCAAGTACCTGGGGCGATCGGGAGTGGTGGGTGCGGGGCGGGGCGGGGCGGGGCGGAGTGGGGTGGGATATCCATGGGTGCGGTGCGGTGCGGGGTGGGGTGGGGTGGGGTGGGGTGGGGTGGGGTGGGGTGGGGTATCCAGGGTGCCGCCATAATGGGTGAGATGTAAAAAACATGTGATGCATGCGACACGACTACGATGTTGCGGGATGGGGGTACCAAGAAGTAACCAAGGGGAGGGCCGGTGTGGGCGCATAGGCGGGGCGTGTGGAGCAGCACAGGCGGGTATGCTGCTGCTGCCTGTGTTGGTGGTGGTGGCGGGCCGCTGTGCATGTGGTTGTTGTTGGTGGTGGTGGGGGTGGTGGTGGTGGTGGGGGTGGGGGTGGTGGAGGGCTTTACACTGGCATATCAGGAGCTGACTGACGGGGAGGCGGCTGCCTCCCATTCCCCTTTCCTCACCCCCCCTCCCTCCCCTCCCCTCAACCCCCCTCACCCTCACCCCCTCACCCTCACCCTCCCTCACCCCCTCCCACCCCCCCTAGACCAGTATCAACGGCCTCAACGTGGCCTTTCTGGACGGCACCTACAACCACCCCACCTACACCGGCAGGGGGGCCGCACCCACGCCTCAACCCCAACCCCCCTCCACCTCCGCCTCCGCCTCCAACCCGCCCACCTCCTCCGCCGCCGCCTGCCGGCACTACTCCCCGGATGATGTGGCCCTGCTGCGCTCGCAGCTGGGTGCGCTGGCGGGCGAGGTGGACGTGCTGCTGACGTGCGAGTGGCCGCGGGGGCTGACGACGGGGCTGGGGGGGCAGCTGCCGGAGGGTGGGGCGGGGAGGGAGGGAGTGGGACTGGGAGCGATAAAGAGGAAACGACTAACTGATCGTGTGATAAGGCATCATCGTGGTTTGCAACATGTGAGCCAGCCCGACCCGCCCAGCCCGAATTAGCCAGGCTAATTCTGGGAGGGAGGGCGGGAGGGTAAACAGTTGCATGGGGCTACTCCGGGGTATCGAGTGCATCATGTGATGTGTGTGGGGGGTGTACGACGTACCCGTTACGGCATGACATGGGAACGCCTTTAGCCGCACTCCCCACCCTCCCTCTCTCCCACCCCCCACCCCCC